GTTTAGTGAAATATATTAGGGTTAAGTGTAGTTATAACTGATTAAGTGGTATCTGTTTTGATAGGGCTAGCTATAACTGGTTTAGTGAAAGCTGTTAGGGTAAAACTTCACTGTTAATGATTTAGATGTAGTTATCAGAGAAATTTGTAATTATAATTTATTGAGATTTAGTTATTAGGACAAATAGACATATGTTGCTGGTTTAGAGGTAACCATTATGACGTGGGATAGTATAGCATGTTTAGACTGTATGTGGACAGCTACAACTGTTTAAAGGTAAGTAATAATGTAGTATTTAGGCAGCTACATGTATAAATGGTTTAGAGGTAGATATTAGGTTAGGTGAGCAGCTATAACTGGTTTACAGGTAGGTATTTGGGAAGGTGAGCAGCTATAACTGGTTTAGAGGTAGGTATTAGTGTAGATGGCAAACTATAACTGGTTTACAGGTAGGTTTTTGGGTAGGCGGGTAGCTATAGCTGGTTTAGAGGTAGGCATTAGTGTAGATGGTAAGCTATAAATGATTTAGAGGTAGGTATTTGGCTAGGTGGGTAGCTATAACTGGTTTACCAGATACGTTACGTGTTTGCGTGCCAAGCCTTTACTTATACAAGCAATATTTGCATGGTAGTTATTGTTGACATGTTTTCTTATAGAATCGTGACATTGTCCTTTATGTAAACTTTGTTGGCGATACGCTCTTAGTTTCATATCCGTAGTTTCTCGTGCACGAATCAGAGGGATACCACAATTACTAACAATATTGTTCCTGTTTTACAAAATCATATTCCATCCTTAATCTGATTACAGATCCTAGTTTATCCCTAGTTTATCCCTCCAATACATTCCATTTATTAATAAACTCTATCCTTCGACTCCAGATCGATATAAAAATTCGATAGAACATCGCCCTAATTCGGACAAACTTCCTCTCATTAATACCATTACAAGGAAGGACAGTGACGGTTCAGTGATCAGTTTTGATATTTTGGACCACGTGTGTCCAGGCTTATACGAGTATTATTACTACCTCTGGGACAAATATCTACCTAACATTTGGATTTAAATGAAGGAAAAAACATGTCATGTCTCCCTTGTCACATCTTTCTGTAAGTACAGTACTGTCAGGTCCTGTAATAATGTCTATAAGCAGCTATCGGTTTACTAGTACATGGTATGAGATCCACTTGTTTACTCATGACCGAGAATGTGCCCGCTAAAGTTAGCTGAAGAGTTCGGGTTACCTCATTATCACATGACAAGCCAAGCCCGACAATACACACCGACCTTAATTACCTTGGTCTTTTCTGTCCTCGCATACTAAATTCATCACATGGCCTAGAACAAGTGCGATACTTTAAATACTCGAAAAAGTTCTTAAGATCAATACCGTTTTTCATATCGTGCTATTTTTAGATTTACAATGGACGTAACGTATATAGATTTATATCACGTACATGTTGTTATCTTAACATTCTTATCTTTTCTACAAAACTCCTGATTGGTTAGTTATATAATTTTCGTGGATTAGCAAAAAGTGTTGATGCTTTAATTTCTATAGTTTTCCTTTTAGGAGAATCAAAAACCTTGTATTGATTTCTTTTCCTTTTTTGTAAATTTTTTGAAAATTTTCTGGTGCTTTATGACACTTTATATTTTTATTGGTTTGTCGGCAGTTTTCATTTTTGTCTTGTCTTAATTACTTATCAAAAACCTTGCATATCTTTATGATCGTTTATTTTTTCCCTTCTGTTTTGCAGTCACAGACACCTTAGACAAGTTACTAACTGAAAACACTAACCTTATTCTCTGAAATTTTGTAGGTCACCCATAACCGGATTCATAATCGGGCTGGATATTTCACAATACCAAAACGTGTTTTTACCACTAGCATTGGCAACTCGACTGTTGATCTAGTCTATACCAGCTAAACTACAAGTTCTATCTTGTCATTGTAACTCATTTATCTCAATATTTGATGGAAGATGTATTGATATTTAACTTTTACAGACGAAGAAAAGAACTGAAAAAGAAAATGTCAAGTAACAATAGTAAGGAAATATATGTCATCTGTAGGATAAAATCTTTAAAAATGAGACTGAGTTATTAATTAATTGGATCGTTCACTGCAGTGTGTTTTATTCCCTCGGAAATCTCTCTCGCACCTTGTGCTCTTGACCGCTTATCTGTACTTGTTTATTAGGTCACTATTAATAACATAACAAACAAGATTCCCTTCGACCTTGACGTAAATGATTCAGTACTGTTAACTTCACCTGGCATAACGAAGAATCCTTAAACAGGTAGGTTACTTTAAGTGAAGGGGAAGACCATCTCCTCATTATTAATGATTTATCTTAAGTTTTTGCTCCTCCAACAATTCCATATCTTCACCGAGGTCGGCCAGGGTGGTGCGGTCTCCGTCACAACATGGGAATTCAATAACTTGAGTAGAAATCGTGTAGAGTTACAGCACCACTTTGGCTTGCCAATGAAAGATGCATAAAATGCAGTGATGGTACCTGTTGTTATACATCGTTTGGGGAAACTTAACACTACAAGGTAAATCTAATCTACACATGTAGTCTGAACCATGTCACTATGTGAAGGTTGAACATAACTTGTTGTCTGGGTATGTCACAATTTGTACATCAAGATGTTGTAATTAACAGTTTGTTTCATCACTCTGGTTCAGGAAGAAAACTGTTTGTCGTCGATACTTACGGTACATTAACACCACACTCGTGCTGAAACATCACTGTTCTTAAGGAAAACAAGCACACTGTACTGTATGTCTGCTAAACTGTGTGTCGGAAACGGTTCACATTTTAAGTTCATGTTTATAACATTGTTTATTCACGTGGTATACATAAGGTATAAAGGTATATATTAGCCCATTGTTTATATTCACCATACCAAGGACAACACATTCAGTCGACTGTGTATATATATATATATTGTATGTTTTCTTTTATTTTCAAGATTTATGAGTACATGTATATAGCACAGGACAATAGCAAACACATAAGTCAAGTGGATGACATCATCATCATCATCATCATCATCATCATCCGTCTTTAATTGTTAGTAGTCCAGGTAGTCCATCTTATATTCAATAACACCAACACTGGTGACTGTCCGCTAGCCTCGTGTCCTCATTCCCTGTGTATTCTCAGTTCTGTAAGATGTATGTTAAAACTCTTTTTTAAATCTTTCATACATGTTTTTGTGTATTTATCATCTGACTTCAAAAGATTTTCTCAGGTAGATTGGTTGCCGCATGCTACAGGCGAATGCCTTTCCATAATAACTGAGATCTGGGGAGTGCTTATAACCTTTGTGATAATCTGATAGAATTGGACAGTATGGACTGTCACAACTGAACCGATGAAGGTACAGTTAAATCCGTCAACTAGAAGCATCATGCACTGATCTCGTTTGGTTTTTTGGGACACCTGAACCGGTGGATACCAGGTGGAGATCGGTATATTGTAACGAGGTACGGTTACTCTATCCGTGGTAAAATTGATGTCCGAGAAAATAAAAAAAGTAGCCACTCCTTATTCTTTGAAGTGATTATTCATTTAAAATTCTGATCACATATGTTCAATAGCACTGCTTTATTTTTTATATGGTTCTAAAACCTCTTATAGTTTCCAACAGGTTAGCAACTCTAAAAAGATTAATGTTGAATGGAATAAACTAGACTTTCAAAGGACTTTTAATTGCCATTCTGGTTTGGGTGCGCCCTCTTTTTCTTCTTGGTCAATAACCATGAATAAAAGCACTGGACAAGGACTATGATACGGAGTGTCACGACGGTTTGTGTGCGGGTTTATTGTTTGTACGAATTCCAACCTCTGCGGTGAAAATCGAGGTCACTATTGTAGAACATTTGATGTCAATGCTGATTATTGAAAATAAGTTTCATGATATTAAACTCTACAGTTTCATCTTAATAAACTTTCAATGTTATAATCAGCCTCTTAGTATCAAGTATTTAACTAGGAATGGAAATCCGACACATCTTATATGGAAGGGAAATGTTCGAAACAAACCATAGAAGTTTAGATATTTTGTCAGAGTAACAGAAGCAGGTCCTTGTCTGTCAGGTTGAAGGGATTTACGTTTAAAGTTTCCCATTAAGAAGAATTAATTGATTAGCGAGTGAAAAAGAAACTTTACTCATATATGATGCGAGAAAGTAAGTACAAATGGCTAGTGATGACATAGTATATGCTATTATTATGTAACAAATAAACAACACAGCGGGTAAAGTATTTTTACATCATCAATAGCACTCTTAGGTATTGTTACATTTGGTATTGCAAGAAGTCAATTCCATGTGTAACAATTATTGCTATATATTTTAAAACAGATTCTATATGACAATTTACGACGAAAATGTTGTAGGTATGAAATTCTGTGCTTGCAAGCATATATTTTTTTTTAAATCGAATCAATTTCATCAAACTTTGTGAACTCATTAACCAAGTTCAGAATTTAAAGAACGTCATTGAGGTGTGGAAACATTGGGTAACCTAATCATTAATGTATGATAGCGGTAGAGACCTCCGTTTGTGCTGTTGGAGCCTGTATACATACCATAGTATACTGTTTCCGAGTGTGAGATAGGATGCCGTCCGCACTAACTATAGATTACTGAAATAGATAGACGTCTACTATTACAGGTAACTATTATAACAGCTCACATTATCCTGCCACATGAGGAGGTCGATTATTTTAATGACCCATCATCCTCCTCCTTGTTCATGTTCATTTCTCCTAACAGTCCTATTTCAAAATCAGGTGTGTGATGGATACGGTCTATTGCACTTGGATTTATTACGAAATATCCATATAAATGTTTAAAGTCATTGCTGTGTGGTAGCTAGATTTACGTTGTCGCAGGTGATCTGTATACAGAGGTGTATTCGTGTAACTTGGTTGTGTTCATATCTTTGTAGACCTGAAGTTTCGAAGCAGTACTTAGAACTGCCATGGGAGTCCTGAGACAGCTAAAGGAGCTGTTATGGAAAAATATCATCCTCCGTCGACGAGAACCGGTAGGTAATTTACAGCAGATCAACAGTGGATAAGTATGCTGTATAACATGTATACTCTCAATTGACTTATAATATACATCCTGTATCGTGGATGTAACAATTTTCTTAATTCAGAGATTCATCTTTTACATATTGTCTAATGATTGTCTCATGTATATTGTATTTCAGAATAATAATTATTATAATTATTATATAAGGTATAAATATCCGCAATTACGAATAATGTGTGTAGCTACTGCTAAATTGTAAGGAGGCTGTCATAGTCTTTGTCTGATTCCCTTTGTCCTGAGATATAAACAATTATATGATGAAATATTCCAAATATGCATCCTAGGATTGCTGTGTGTGAAACCACTGAAATTAACATGTACAGGCCAGCCACTGAGTGTAGACGTAAATCTCTGACAGTCATTGATAATTTGTTGACCACATAATTAGAGTGACGAATTAACGTTGTAATGCACGCACCTTGATTGATATAATTATACTTGTGGTAATATTACACCGCATACCTTACAGACAAGTAGTTCATTAATGGTTATAACGGAGATCAAATAAGTATGAAACTGAAAATATAAGTAGTGTTTGCCTACATCATAATTATCTATTCATGGATGAGAGTCAACAGATCTCAGTGAAAAGTGATATACCTGTTATATTCTCTACTACCTAAGACTAAAAATATCTTAATAAACACATCAGCTATCACAGTTTGGTGTTGCAACATGAGCATCATGCATTGCATAACGTTTCGTTTAAAACACTTCCCGTTAAAGATTGAACCGGATTCATCCATCCGTAACTACCCACAGCAAGTTCTTTGTTGAATGTAAATAAGAAGGTAAAGATGACACTGAATCATACACAGGAAAGATTTCGCAATACAAAGACGACTTAGTTTGTCAATATGAACTAGCTGAATTGGTTTTCATTTGGATTTATTTCAACGATTTAGTAAATAAAACTTCTCGCATTTAAATCGACTGTCGGTGCTGTGCAGGTGCATTTACATGAACTCACGTTTTCTACAAGTTTGCTTACCTCTTTATTGATACTACCTTCAAATCATCGCAAAATGTTCATTTCATTTCTATGTATATGTAATAGAATGTTTAAAGTGGTAGCCATAATGAAAAGCTGGATATATCCAACCACACGTTTACAGAAACATCAAGAGAAAATTTGACAAAAAGATATATATCAAACTCACAAAAACTCTTTATAACGTACAAAATGAAATCGACGACGTCCGCATGTAAATATCGGTAAATCCAGGTAACACACAACAACCAGACTCAAGGGCCTACTGACGAACATCGAACACATCTATCTTCATATCGTACAAGAAAAAGAAAATTCTAGTGATGAGTTGGTATCGACATTCACGAGGCTTCATTAAACTTCATCCCTGGAAATACTAAGTATTTCATCGTCATCTATGATAGTTCGCGATATCGGCAACAGGCCCCATGATTAGAGAAATTATTCTCATTTTGTAAATGTTCAGTTTCTCGATAGTAACCAACCTACTTCCCCATTCTGTGAGATTCATATCGTAATTGAGCTAAATGCAGAGATGTAACGGTTGGGTGCGTTGTACGTAAACGTCGTATGTCCCTATGATTTTAAGTCCTGACGACTACCTCAGATGGGCGTGGTATATTAAAATTTATGTTATCTAATGACCAAACATCATCAATATATCTTAAAGTGATATTGAGAACTAAACAATGTTTTCTATAACACATCTGATTTTGCTGCTTGTCCTGTAATCTACACTAGTTATGGTCCCTTAAGGAAGGTTTTTACTGTTGGACCTTCTTTGAATAAAACAGTATTTCAATATCAGTATGTAACATATCCACCCGGATTTGTAATACAGATCGTAGATAAAGTGATACTTGATGTTTAACACAGATAACAACCGTTACACACCTTAAAAGCCACTGCGTTACGTAAGAGTGATGTCAAATGTACTTTATAATGCTAATGTCATATACCTCAAGGAGCTACATTTGAGAGTTTTCTCAAAGGTATCGTTCATGAATAATATTGTAATACTGGTGAAATCATGATGGAGTCACGTTCGAGCATTATAAGATGTTATCATATAATAATATGTTTTTTTCTGTTTAACACATGAACAGCTTTACAAAATGTATCATACTTCAGAAATATTTGATTCTCGTAAAATCATGATGGAGTTAACTTAAAGTTTTATAAAATGTATCACATGTAAACAATATTTAGATACTGTATACCTCAATGAGTAAAGTGTTTCACAAAGTAAAATATATTTTTAATGTGTTAGTATTGAGACGTGCGAGAAAAACGACACGATGTGCATGTTCATTATCAAAGCAAACTTGCAGAAAACATAAATTATACCATTATATATATATATTTATAAACAACATTATGTAACTAAACAAACAAGAATAATACACGATACTTACTGATATTTTATTACGACAACAATACAGAGACACGTCCGAATGTTGGATTATCATATAACAGTATTGTAAAATCATAAAATAACGAGTTTCTGGTCGACAACGACTTCGTCGAGTTTGATGGTTAAACCATGCAATAGACTATTGGCATAATTTCAGGAACTAACTGTACCCCTCTTTTAATTGACTTGTTTTCGTTTTCAAACGAGAATGAAATCATCGAAAAACTTATCAAAACAGGTTACAAAGACCTTGAAAAGTCTTTAAATTTTACTTTCAAATATATATATATCAACACAAAATAGGTTTTCAAAAGGTACAGTTGGTGGAAAGTTTACGGTCGTCATGGTGATATCATTGATAAATATTCTATTTCTTTGTGTGATATGAAGCTGGACGTGTTTGGTGTTCGGTAGCATACCTGATGGTTCCGTTGTGAGATATGAAGCTGGACATGTTTGATTCTCGTTAGTATACCTGTTGGCTCCGTTGTACGATATAAAGCTGGACGTGTTTGATTCTCGTTAGTATACGTGTTGGTTCCTTTAAGGACCTAAATTTTGAAGCCGATTAGGAGGCTAAAGAAATTTCGATAGAAAAAAAATGCCAAAATCTCAATTTTCATTTATCGGATCGTTTTTAGAATTAGATAAAATTAGGACACGTTTATAACAGACATACGTCTAAATGTTTTTAGAAAAACGACATGTATAAACTCATCATGTTAACGTGTTTTTCCAGCATATTTTGCTTCTGGAGATACTTTGGCCTTTGATAATATTCGGCATCGTCGCTGTTATCAGACATGGAACACCAGGAGATAAAAAAAGCACATGTAAGTTTTGAATTAATAACATGATATTGTAATTACACAAATTCTTGTAATTTTCGTGTCACAATGCTGTTGGTTGAAAGAGTTGTTTTTGAGGGGCGGGGTTAGAGGAGATTGGACGGGAAAAGACACTCTAGTTTAAAAACCTTTCACTATCGCAATATTACATTACGATTAGTACCATTGGTTGTAATTCTTGATTCAGGTTCCTATGCCGACAGAGCCATGCCCAGTGCGGGAATGCTTCCATTCATGCAGTCAACTGTGTGTAGTCTTAAGAATCCTTGTGAAGCCGAAGAAACTGTGCAGCAACGTCAAACGTCAGCTTCCAAGTACGTATAGACATCCTCAAATACTCTCAGTTACAAAAAGAAGTTCATATTAGATAGGGCTGATATCAGTTGCAGAATCCATTTTACTTTCCATACTCTACTATTATTGTAAAAATCAAATACCTTATATGACGTAATGGTGTATCCAAATGTGTATTTATAATACCCATTACTATAGCATATTCGCACCGCGATGATATAGTATGGCAAGCTAACACATGATTTCCATGAGTATCACGTGATTTAATTAACCAGTATCACTTCACGTTTGTGAGTGTAATGTATGGTTTATAACATGTCACGCTAACGTCATTTAAACATGTTCTGTCACCATTCCTCTAAATTTGTGATTCATTTACCCAATGTTATATCTCTCACTCTTTCCAGACTCACTTCCCTGGTGTCCGATTTACAGCCTTATCTAACAGCCAACGCGTCTGTACAGGCCCTACAGACATTGGAAAGCAGTGTTAAAGTAGTAAAGGGATTAAATGAACTTCTTAGTCCAAGAAATAGTTCTGATGGAAAGATACAACAAGGCCTGGTCACGGCTCTCGGTAAGGTTTCAATGATGTATATAATTACAGTTCTCTTGGATACCCTGTCCTCTCGAACCAAATTACTACCATTCATGAATACTAGGCATCACGTCGATATTGGTAGAAATGCATTTATAGATTAACATTTCTTCTGTTTTTTTTTTAGGAAATGATACGTTCACCGTTAAGAATCTCCTAAAGGATACTGCTAAAGTAAAACGTGTATTGGTTGAGGAGCTGAAGATTATGACGCCTGAAGTAGCTGACGCGTTTCTAAATGCAAACGTTGATGTAGTAAAGGTAGGCGACATTACTACATCAGTTTATTTACAGCTTTTGAGTAATTTGGAGTATTTTGGCGTACCTGTCGTCCTTAGGCTCCGTAGTATGTTCCAGCTTTTGTCTACGGAAAATCATGTAGATTTATGCCATGTCGTTTTTGAAACTTCTAAAGAACAAAATTTTAATTATTTGATTTAAAATATATTTCAATGTTATAACGTTTTGGAATAACCTTTCTTTATTTCTGAACAAAAACGATATTTGTACTGATTAAGCGAGGAAAATGTTGCCCCTTGTAATTATTGACTTGTTTTCTTTCATCCTACGTGTACTTTAATTTGTTTACAGGTTTTCCAATCGATCGGAGGCATAGACCTACGTTATATCGTGTGTAACGTGGATGAACTAAAGAAATACATGATTTTTGATAAGAGTGTCAACGTTGATCAAATTTCGGAGGAGCTCTGTGCTATTGACACGGAGAAGATACCAGCCATTACGGATATGGTCCAGTCACAGCTAGATATAGCCGCAATCATAAGATCGGTAAGTTGTCTGCTGAGTAACAGGGTATGATTAATGATGTGAAATTTACAGGACATGATTGACGGTGTATAATTTACTGGGTATGATTGACGGTGTATAATTTACAGGATATGATTGACGGTGTATAATTTACAGGATATGATTGACGGTGTATAATTTACAGGACATGATTGACGGTGTATAATTTACAGGACATGATTGACGGTGTATAATTTACTGGATATGATTGACGGTGTATAATTTACTGGGTATGATTGACGGTGTATAATTTACAGGACATGATTGACGGTGTATAATTTACTGGGTATGATTGACGGTGTATAATTTACAGGATATGATTGACGGTGTATAATTTACAGGATATGATTGACGGTGTATAATTTACAGGATATGATTGACGGTGTATAATTTACTGGGTATGATTGACGGTGTATAAATTACAGGATATGATTGACGGTGTATAATTTACAGGATATGATTGACGGTGTATAATTTACTGGGTATGATTGACGGTGTATAATTTACAGGATATGATTGACGGTGTATAATTTACAGGATATGATTGACGGTGTATAAATTACAGGATATGATTGACGGTGTATAATTTACAGGATATGACTGACGGTGTATAATTTAGGAAAGAGAATTGGATAAGATAGTTTTTTAATGTGGTTTTGGTGACATATGTAATTCTGTGATCATGTATCTGTTAACGGTGTGATAGTGATAGCAATGTACTTGTCATAAAACATTTTTATCATTTAACGACTCACGTCCTAGGCTCCATTACATACCTTACAACTTTGTAAGTGATTTATTCGTGTTTTTTTATTGCTGGTTTGAAACGATAAATTTTGATTCCTTTAGAGTAGGTTTATTTTATTTCTCATTTTCATTATACAACAACTGTTTATTCAGATTTCACATTTTCATTATACAACAACTGTTTATTCAGATTTCACATTTTCATTATACAACAACTGTTTATTCAGATTTCACATTTTCATTATACAACAACTGTTTATTCAGATTTCACATTTTCATTATACAACAACTGTTTATTCAGATTTCACATTTTCATTATACAACAACTGTTTATTCAGATTTCACATTTTCATTATACAACAACTGTTTATTCAGATTTCACATTTTCATTATACAACAACTGTTTATTCAGATTTCACATTTTCATTATACAACAACTGTTTATTCAGATTTCACATTTTCATTATACAACAACTGTTTATTCAGATTTCACATTTTCATTATACAACAACTGTTTATTCAGATTTCACATTTTCATTATACAACAACTGTTTATTCAGATTTCACATTTTCATTATACAACAACTGTTTATTCAGATTTCACATTTTCATTATACAACAACTGTTTATTCAGATTTCACATTTTCATTATACAACAACTGTTTATTCAGATTTCACATTTTCATTATACAACAACTGTTTATTCAGATTTCACATTTTCATTATACAACAACTGTTTATTCAGATTTCACATTTTCATTATACAACAACTGTTTATTCAGATTTCACATTTTCATTATACAACAACTGTTTGTTCAGATTTCACATTTTCATTATACAACAACTGTTTATTCAGATTTCTCATTTTCATTATACAACAACTGTTTATTCAGATTTCACATTTTCATATTCTCATTGTAAATAGGAAAAAACATATTTTTTTCATTTGCATTGTGACTTGACCAAACAAATTCATGCTTAGAATGATCTTGTTTTGATTAACGTCAGACAATGCCGTTTATCTGAATCATCAACCCTGCACGAGCAGAGTTCCCATCTCGTATGAGATTTAAGATGTAGAAACTGAGATTTGTGGGTAGTTTCTAAATATTCCGTGAAGACGAAACTCTGGTTAGATCTTGCCTAAAATGATTACATCATAGATCTTTAAAATCAATATAACTTCCTGTTCTTTAATGTTATAGTGATATCGGTTTAAAACTTTAACATCTCTCATTTTACCCTGATCGACATAATTAAAGAGCACGTTGAACATCGCCTACTGGTGTTACAGAATTAAAGCACTGTCGACAAGACAATTTAATTAAATTGTTCTCCTACCATCCAGATGGAAAACTCATCAAATCGAGAAACTGAAATTTATTGAAATATGGGACTAGCTTACATCCCCATCTAGATTTTGACTTTACTTTCAATTACTTTGTATTTTCGTATTCACCTTCTAGGCTTCATGATTTAAATCCCAAGCATCACTGATGAGTCCTAGAAGGACGAAACACCTGTATGATACAATTTCATTCACTGTTTGGCTCTACTGTACCTAACTATTTTGTTAGTAAGAGGTGTTATTCACTTTTGTGTCTTCTGTACTATCTTCCACTAGTAATGTGATTCATTACTTACGTAATGTGAGTTAGGATTTCCTTAAGTTAAAGAAGATTAATGAAATTTTGGTCTGATTATTGCATTTTCGTATGCATTATACACAGTTTTATAAATATTTTTTTTTCATAGTAGCTTTTTCTGGTAGGACCCTAGACTTATATAGGACCGTATAGGAGTATTTTCTGAAATCTGTTCTGCATGTCCTTGTTGTAATTCTCCTCTTAGTCTAGTGACCGAACTTTCCATAAATTTGTTCTAAGAATAATAATTTCTTGACATTAAGATTCAGTTGAAGCCCTACAAAGAAACGATACACATCTACTTGTTCTGGTTCACTTAAAACAAAAAAACTCCAACCCTTTTAATCATTTCACAACATTGAAATGCTGTGTTATTTCTAATATTAATACGAAGGTTTTAGATAGTAACAACAGTTCTTATCAAAATAAAGCAGGAAAAACACCTTTTATTTTAAACTGGTGTGACTACTAGTCCTACGAGAGTGTCATGGACATCGGGACTAGACTTGGGGAGAGTTTTACTAGTACCGCGGGAGGGTTATGTACATAATGATGAGACTTGGGGAGAGTATTGTTAGGTCTTCAGTGTTATTTATCACTTTAAAATATCACCTTTAACTTTAAAATCTCCCATTTAACCCAGTTTGACGGTATGAATCAAGAGGACATTGAACATCACCTGGCGTTATGTAATTATAGCATTGTTGGCTGATCAATAGATCGATTAACATACAACAATCTAATCGACTCTCTGTTCTCAATCACTTATGTGTCTGGGAGATTTACATTTTGTATAGATTGTGTGTTATGGGAGAGAAGTTGTAAATATGAACAGATGTTGAATTAAGTATAAGTACATATCCATTCGTCTTGTTTTACTCCTGCTAAACAAACGAAAGTTTGTATGGGGACATGTCTTTAAACATGCCATGATATAAACACACAGACTTTACCGCCAAGTTAAATAATATTTACAAGTATAGGATATCATTCGGTTGAATGTAATTGGATTTTTACATGCCATACGTATATATAAGGGCAATGAAATATTTGCGAAGGTACTGGAAAAGGAAGGTTTTGAGATTCCACAAAAGAAATGCTGGTGTTTTAATAACACACACAAATCTGCTGCAGTCAAACACTTCAGACCAGGAAATAATCCATCTATAAAACAGATCGGATATTGAGATTTCTTTACTTGTAAATACCTTGATCTTTTCTCCTACAGTTCTGAAAATAAGAAACAGTTCTGACCCAATTAATTTGATATTTCCCTGACTCGCGTGATATAAATTAGAAGACAGCTAAACAACATAAATACTAAATGTAACGTATATTTTTGTTCAATAAATAATTATTAAGCATGCGACAACTATACGCTTTCATATTCATTGACTTGTGAATGAAATTGATAAATAGAGTGTCCCTTTACCTTGAGAGTGTTATAAAGCATTTACACTGCCAGGGTTCTTTTCGTTACACCCTAATTACATGTATGTTAATCAGAAGCACACGAGGCGGATTTTGTCGCGTGCCAATCTGATCCTATCAGGAACAGATCCTACTAACTTTCTTCATAGGTTTGTGAATATGAATGAAACTTGGGTCCATCATTTTAGCCCAAATGCCAAAGAACAACAATGCAATCATCATAGTTCACCCCCGCAAAACAAGATTGTTCCATCAGCTGGAGAGGTTATAGCCTCGGGTTTCTGGGATGCTAATGGTAGTCTGATGGCTGATTATCTTCCTAAAACATTCAATGACACATATTATGCATCACTCAAAACTCAGTAAAGGTGTGTTGTTCCACCAGGACAATGCTCCTGTTCACAAGTCTGGCATCGCCATGGTTACCATTAACGACTGTGACATTGAATTACTGAGCATACGCCTCATTCGCCTGATCTCGCGCCATCAGACTTTCATCTGTTTCCAAAATTGAAAAAGGCCACTTCCGGTATCCACTTTCGGTCAGATGATGACGTCGTATATTAGTGGAAGACTTTCTGAACGGTTATGACAAGGACTTCTTTAAAAAGGCCCTTAAACATCACTGACAAAAGTGTATGGATACTGAAGGGAATTATGTTGAAAAAGTAATGTTATATGTCCTCAAAAAGTCAAACGTTTAAATATGAGGTCACAACTTATCAATCAGCTCTCGTATGATGGAGATACCTCTATGTGTAGTATCCTATGAGATTTAACAATTTATAGACCAATATTTGACGAACAATTCTGTATCCTTGTTTGATCATTTCAGGCGAAAGCCCTCACATCATTGACACAGACGTATGAATTGGGAGATGCTATGGAGGATATCGCTTCAATGGTAGACGTCCTGTCGGGAACCTCATCTCTCGGGAGCATGTTTTCCTCGATGTCGATGTTGCAGGAACTTCCTTCCTTGATGACGAAACTTCCAGGCCTCGTCACACAGGTGCAATCGTTTGAGGCATCAAGGTATGATATATAAGCTCTAACGCTTTGATGTTGGCGAGGTTTGTAAAAGTAATTAGCGATAAGAATTCCAGGTAATCATTATGTCAAACATATAATTGATGAATGTTTGAGACAAGGAGTCTCTGCCAATCTTCAGCTGTGAAATGATAAAGAATTTTCACAATTTTGTTTCAGCCATGTTTGAAATGAAAAGTTAACACCTGGTTGACTCTAACCAAGCTTTAGGCAACTGAACCTTAGTTATTATGTCAGTGATGGTATATAAGAAACATATATATATATATAGTAATGTTCTATTTCTGTTCACCTGGTGTTTACATTATGTGGCAAATAATGTAGTTACTGAAGATCTACATATTACATGTCGACCATTGTATCATTGAATGCGGTACATAGATGAAAAGTGGGCTTTGTGTGTGACTTATTTGTGTTCAAGCTGTGTACTTTAGTGTTACAGTTCTATTTGTATGTGACTTATTTGTGTTCAAGCTGTGTAGTTTAGTGTTACAGTTCTATTTGTGTGTGACTTATTTGTGTTCAAGCTGTGTGGTTTAGTGTTACAGTTCTATTTGTATGTGACTTATTTGTGTTCAAGCTGTGTACTTTAGTGTTACAGTTCTATTTGTGTGTGACTTATTTGTGTTCAAGCTGTGTAGTTTAGTGTTACAGTTCTATTTGTGTGTGACTTATTTGTGTTCAAGCTGTGTACTTTAGTGTTACAGTTCTATTTGTACGTGACTTATTTGTGTAGTTTTATTGTTACAGTTTTTGAGGTCGCCTTTTGTCTTATTTGTGTTCAAGCTGTGTAGTTTAGTGTTACAGTTCTATTTGTATGTGACTTATTTGTGTTCAAGCTGTGTACTTTAGTGTTACAGTTCTATTTGCATGTGACTTATTTGTGTTCAAGCTGTGTAGTTTAGTGTTACAGTTCTATTTGTATGTGACTTATTTGCGTTCAAGCTGTGTAGTTTAGTGTTACAGTTCTATTTGTATGTGACTTATTTGTGTTCAAGCTGTGTACTTTAGTGTTACAGTTCTATTTGTGTGTGACTTATTTGTGTTCAAGCTGTGTAGTTTAGTGTTACAGTTCTATTTGTATGTGACTTATTTGTGTTCAAGCTGTGTAGTTTAGTGTTACAGTTCTATTTGTATGTGACTTATTTGTGTTCAAGCTGTGTAGTTTAGTGTTACAGTTCTATTTGTATGTGACTTATTTGTGTTCAAGCTGTGTACTTTAGTGTTACAGTTCTATTTGTGTGTGACTTATTTGTGTTCAAGCTGTGTAGTTTAGTGTTACAGTTCTATTTGTGTGTGACTTATTTGTGTTCAAGCTGTGTAGTTTAGTGTTACAGTTCTATTTGTATGTGACTTATTTGTGTTCAAGCTGTGTACTTTAGTGTTACAGTTCTATTTGTATGTGACTTATTTGTGTTCAAGCTGTGTACTTTAGTGTTACAGTTCTATTTGTATGTGACTTATTTGTGTAGTTTTATTGTTAAAGTTTTTGAGGTCGCCTTTTGTCCGGCGTCATCCGTCGTGCTTCGTGAACGATTGATATTTTCGACATTCTTTTTCTATTTCCTTAATAACCAAAAGGCCCAGAATTCTGATATTAGGTCCACAGCATTTTGGGTTACCATGTTTATCAAAATAAACGAACTTGACCCTCTTTCAAGGTCATTGGGGTCAATGTGTTGAAATCTTCAAACAAGTTCTAAATAATAAAAAATGCCCAGATTGCTGATATTGGGCCTGTAGTATGCTCGGATGAAGTTTCTTTCATATTATTTACCTCAAATTAAAAAAAAGCTTTTTCAATGACTTCTTCTGAATAACCAAAAGACTAAGAGTGCTGATATTGAGTCTATAGCATGATGGGATAATGACCTACCTACAAAGTGTGTCGAAGTGAATGACCTTGACCCACTTTCAATGTTACAGGTGTCCAATATATTTATATGTTTAAATGATTTTCTTAATAAAAAAAGGCACTTTTAGGGTCACATGTGTCAAATGTGTTGAAATCTTTAAGCGATTTCTTCTCAATAATCAAAAGGCACGTGGTGCTGATATTGGGCTTGTAGCATGTTGGGTTGAAGGACAACCAAGTGTGTAGAAATGAATGGTCTTGGCCCACTTTTAATGTCACAGAGGCCAAATATCGCTGGGACTGATGAACAGGTTCTAAAACTGTCTAAAGACAGGAAGACCTCAGGTGACCGTTAGGACCCATGGGCCTCTTGTTTTTCTGTGTAGTTAAAAAATTACCCTTTCGTTCATGTTTGGCAGTGTAGTTTTAATTTTACCGTCTCGTTCGTGTTTTGCAGTGTAGCTTTAGTTTACAATTATGTTCTTACGATGCCCTTTCCGTGAGAGTGTTGTTTGTGTGTTGCAGCATTGACGAATTGCTGATGTTCCTAGACCCCATTATACGAAATTTCGCTCCAAATTTCACGGACTGGCAGACAATCATGAACTTGGCAGATCAAATTAAATCAGCGGCGGGCGCCATAGGATCAGGTAAGATCTGAAGTGACTGTAGTGGCACCATGACAGGAAAGTATTGGCACTTTTCATGAATTAAACAACTGGATTTATTTAGAATTAGATTAGCTTGTTCCTATCTCGAGGTAACATTTGTATTGTTAGTTTAGTAAGTAGTCTTTAACTACCATGCGGCTTCTTTCCATAAACCTGTTTGATATTTTCAGATGGAAATCTGAACGTTACAGCATTACTAGGTAATGGGTTAGGAAATCTCTCCAGTATCACAAACATGTTGGACATCGATCCTGAAGTAGCAGCACTTTTTCAGACGTCCGGACAATCGGCTAACGACATATCTGCTTCTATTCAGGCTGCAATGGAGGGACAACCTATGGACCAACGGTAAAGCATTTTTGACCTCGTTCAGTTTCAGTGTGTGGGTTTTCTTCCTCTCCTATATCTATATCCTAACGATCATCATTCAATACAAATTTTTGTTTGCTCCTTCAGAAACAAAGATTCTAAGGGACAAAAATGTTGTTGCGACTGAGGAAAATCAAATTATATGTCAGAAACAATTGATGTCACTTACTTGTAAATAAAACAGATTTTATATTTTTCAACATGAAATGGTTAAAAAAACGTAGGACGAATCAATGAGAACGTGCGTGCAGGTTACAACAAACTTTGAGGACTAAAAGTCGGCTTGGAGATTCTACCACTTGGTTTAAGACTTTAAGACAAGCTGTGTTGGAACGGGTGTTTTCTTTTATCACGTAGGTCTTTAGCACAGCAGTTGGACAGCCTCCACATGACGATAGAGATGTTCGTGGGCAAAGACTCTTTAGACCAGATGTTGTGTTCAGCTGACAGTGTCATGGACATGCTGACCACTATGGTCCAATATGCTGAAGGTATTGTTATACGACACAGCAAAATACAGAAAGTGCTCGCAACCAGCAAGTGACCGAACACCAAAACGCATTTAGGAAGTCAACACACAGAACACGCATTCAGCAAGTCAGCAAAGACCAAAACGTACACAGCCAGTCATCAAACACCAAAACGTACTCAGCCAGTCAGCAAACACCAAAACGTACACAGCCAGTCAGCAAAAACACCAAAACGTACTCAGCCAGTCAGCAAACACCAAAACGTACTCAGCCAGTCAGCAAACACCAAAACGTACTAAGCCAGTCAGCAAACACCAAAACGTACTCAATACTCAGCCAGTCAGCAAACACCAAAACGTACTCAGCGAGTCAGCAAACACCAAAACGTACTCAGCGAATCAACAAACACCAAAACGTACTCAGCGAGTCAGCAAACACCAAAACGTACTCAGCCATTCAACAAACACCAAAACGTACTCAGCCAGTCAACAAACACCAAAACGTACTCAATACTCAGCGAGTCAGCAAACACTAAAACGTACTCAATACTCAGCGAGTCAGCAAACACCAAAACGTACTCAATACTCAGCGAGTCAGCAAACACCAAAACGTACTCAGCCAGTCAGCAAACACCAAAACGTACACAGCCAGTCAGCAAAAACACCAAAACGTACTCAGCGAGTTAGCAAACACCAAAACGTACTCAGCCAGTCAACAAACACCAAAACGTACTAAGCCAGTCAGCAAACACCAAAACATACTTAATACTCAGCCAGTCAGCAAACACCAAAACGTACTCAGCGAGTCAGCAAACACCAAAACGTACTCAGCGAATCAACAAACACCAAAACGTACTCAGCGAGTCAGCAAACACCAAAACGTACTCAGCCATTCAACAAACACCAAAACGTACTTAATACTCAGCCAGTCAGCAAACACCAAAACGTACTCAATACTCAGCCAGTCAACAAACACCAAAACGTACACAGCCAGAGAGCAAACACCAAAACGTACTCAGCAAGCCAACAAACACCAAAACGTACTCAATACTCAGCAAGTCAGCAAACACCAAAACGTACTCAGCGAGTCAGCAAACACCAAAACGTACTCAGCCATTCAACAAACACCAAAACGTACTCAGCCAGTCAACAAACACCAAAACGTACTCAATACTCAGCGAGTCAGCAAACACTAAAACGTACTCAATACTCAGCGAGTCAGCAAACACCAAAACGTACTCAATACTCAGCGAGTCAGCAAACACCAAAACGTACTCAGCCAGTCAGCAAACATCAAAAGGTACTAAGCGAGTCAACAAACACCAAAACGTACTCAGCGTATCAACAAACACCAAAACGTACTCAGCCAGTCAACAAACACCAAAACGTACTCAGCCAGTCAACAAACACCAAAACGTACTCAATACTCAGCGAGTCAGCAAACACCAAAACGTACTCAGCCAGTCAGCAAACACCAAAACGTACTCAATACTTAGCCAGTCAGCAAACACCAAAACGTACTCAGCCAGTCAATAAACACCAAAACGTACTCAGCCAGTCAACAAACACCAAAACGTACTCAGCCAGTCAGCAAACACCAAAACGTACTCAGCGAGTCAGCAAACACCAAAACGTACTCAATACTCAGCGAGTCAGCAAACACCAAAACGTACTCAATACTAAGCGAGTCAGCAAACAACAAAACGTACACAGCAAGTCAACAAACACCAAAACGTACTCAGCCAGTCAACAAACACCAAAACGTACACAGCCAGACAGCAAACACCAAAACGTACTCAATACTCAGCGAGTCAGCAAACACCAAAACGTACTCAGCCAGTCAACAAACACCAAAACGTACTCAGCCAGTCAACAAACACCAAAACGTACACAGCCAGACAGCAAACACCAAAACGGACTCAGCAAGCCAACAAACACCAAAACGTACTCAATACTCAGCAAGTCAGCAAACACCACAACGTACTCAATACATAGCGAGTCAGCAAACACCAAAACGTACTCAGCCAGTCAGCAAACACCAAAACGTACACAGCCAGTCAACAAACACCAAAAAGTACTCAGCCAGTCGCCAAAAAACAAAACGTACTCAGCCAGTCAGCAAACACCAAAACGTACTCAGCCAGTCAACAAACACCAAAACGTACTCAGCGAGTCAGCAAACACCAAAACGTACTCAATATTCAGCGAGTCAGCAAACACCAAAACGTACTCAATACTCAGCCAGTAAACAAACACCAAAACGTACTCAGCCAGTCAGCAAACACCAAAACGTACTTAATACTCAGCCAGTCAGCAAACATCAAAACGTACTCAATACTCAGGGAGTCAGCAAACATCAAAATGTACTCGGCCAGTCAGCAAACACCAAAACGTACTCAGTCAGTCAGCAAACACCAAAACGTACTGAATACTCAGCCAGACGGCAAACATCAAAACGTACTCAATACTCAGGGAGTCAGCAAACATCAAAACGTACTCAGCAAGTGAACAAACACCGAAACGTACTCAGTCAGTCAGCAAACACCAAAACGTACTCCGCAAGTCAGCAAACACCAAAACGTACTCAGCAAGTCAGCAAACACCAAAACGTACCGAATACTCAACCAGACAGCAAACATCAAAACGTACTCAATACTCAACGAGTCAGCAAACAACAAAACGTACACAGCAAGTCAACAAACACCAAAACGTACTCAGCCAGTCAGCAAACACCAAAACGTACTCCGCAAGTCAGCAAACACCAAAACGTACTTAATACTCAGCCAGTCAGCAAACATCAAAACGTACTCAATACTCAGCGAGTCAGCAAACATCAAAATGTACTCAGCCAGTCAGCAAACACCAAAACGTACTCAGCGAGTCAACAAACACCAAAACGTACTCAGTCAGTCAGCAAACACCAAAACGTACTGAATACTCAGCCAGACAGCAAACATCAAAACGTACTCAATACTCAGGGAGTCAGCAAACATCAAAACGTACTCAGCCAGTCAACAAACACCAAAACGTACTAAGCCAGTCAGCAAACACCAAAACATACTTAATACTCAGCCAGTCAGCAAACACCAAAACGTACTCAGCGAGTCAGCAAACACCAAAACGTACTCAGCGAGTCAACAAACACCAAAACGTACTCAGTCAGTCAGCAAACACCAAAACGTACTCCGCAAGTCAGCAAACATCAAAACGTACTCAGCCAGTCAGCAAACACCAAAACGTACTCAGCCAGTCAGCAAACACCAAAACGTACCGAATACTCAACCAGACAGCAAACATCAAAACGTACTCAATACTCAGCGAGTCAGCAAACATCAAAACGTACTCAGCAAGTGAACAAACACCAAAACGTACTCAGTCAGTCAGCAAACACCAAAACGTACTCCGCAAGTCAGCAAACATCAAAATGTACTCAGCAAGTCAGCAAACACCAAAACGTACTCAGCAAGTAAGCAAACACCAAAACGTACTCAGCCAATCAACAAACACCAAAACGTACTCCGCAAGTCAACAAACACCAAAACGTACTCAGCAAGTCAACAAACACCAAAACGTACTCAGCAAGTAAGCAAACACCAAAACGTACTCAGCAAGTCAGCAAACACCAAAACGTACTCAATACTCAGCCAGTCAACAAACACCAAAACGTACTCAGCAAGTAAGCAAACACCAAAACGTACTCAGCAAGTCAGCAAACACCAAAACGTACTCAATACTCAGCCAGTCAACAAACACCAAAACGTACTCAGCAAGTAAGCAAACACCAAAACGTACTCAGCCAATCAACAAACACCAAAACATACTCAGTCAATCAACAAACACCAAAACGTAATCAGCAAGTAAGCACTTCCAGAAGTACAATTAAACAATCACGAAAACGTGTTTGGAAATCAACAAGTGTAAGTTAAAACATTCAGAAATTTAAGCACGAAAACCACAAAGCAAATTCATCACGAGTACTACAGAAAAACCCACCCACCCAAGTTTTACTCTTTTCTGCTTCGTGAAACTGTAAACTGGTCAGCTTGTTGTCAATAGTATGTGACCGGATGGAGTGTTATAACATTTCAGTAAGATGGCACTTAATAAAATTGTCCGTTAGAACCCTCATCACCATTGGACATTGTATATAAAAAAAGCTTCTATCTCCAAATGGAAACATATAGTGTACACTTCAAAAATACATCACTACATAAACTTGTTGTTCTTAATCTTCTTTCGTCTTCTTTCGAATCAGACGATAAAATCATGTGATGTTGATTGTAAAAGTTACATTGTTGGTTGATATCACTTACTTTTTATAAAACAAAACACTAGCAAAAAGAAAAATGTACATCTTAAATGTTGATCTTATACAGATATCAAGAAGGAAACGGATCTAACGTTTGGACTTTTTATGGTTAATATGAACTCTTTGCTGAGGAACTCCCAGGTGGACAGTACAGATACATATGTCATCATGAACGCCATTTTTAGACCACAAGTATTGACGGTGAGTATTAAGATTACTTGTTCGTGACTTCAAATTTAAAACAATGATGGATGTATAACTGAGTCATTAGCCTAAAGTTGTGCATCTATCTCAGCTATCACGTCCGTTTTCCCGGGGAAAGATAATTTTCCATTTGTCTGTACTTTTTATCACATATCTATTTTTGAAACTATGCAGGCGATGCTGCGAGCCCCAGAAAACTTCTCGGCTGTGTGTGAGCATGCCCTAGGAGAGCTGATGGCCGATATGGATCCTCAAAAATTAGCAAATACGAAAGCTCTAATGTGCGCAACGAATTTCTCCCCATTGTTTCAGACAATGCGTGACACCATCAATGTTACATCCATTGAAAACGAGGTAAGGAGTGATCTGTGGTCCTTGAAATGTCACAACTGGTATGAAATGTTGTTACAAAGATCACATTCTTACAGTGATAGGAAACGGACCTGGAACCTTCTATTTGCTAAACCAATTAAGCTATAGATTCCCTATATCGAAGCGATACAAAACGATTTTTGTTTTACCAAAGTAAACTTCAACAAACGTAAAGTCTGATTTAACATAAACATTCATGGTGTTGGAGTGTAGATCTCCTGGCTACAGAAATGCAGTCCGGATAAACACTAAATATTGATATCTAAATGGTTACTTACTTTATGTCCCCCTTATAGTTGACCTCTGACCTTCTCAAAAATGTGCTGATGACAAATAACCCTGAACTGGCAGTTTCCCATAACATTGGTGATCTGTATCCTTCTTTTATTGATATTAAAGATGGCAGATGCTTTTAAGAAGCTTGGTATGTCCTTGGAAGGATATAACTGTACTGGCGATGCTCGTTTGACTATGGAAGAACTGTATCCGGTGGCGATGAACCTTTCAACACGACTATCAAATCTGGCAACTCCGACCTACATTTGGGAGCAATATGGTGTTGAAATGGTCATGGACTTCCCTGAACAGAACTGGATGTGGATTCAGGAAGTAATCACACAAACGATACTGAACAATACGTAAGTATATCACATATGGTCTTACCTTCTGTGTAAGTTTTATCAATAACATGAAACAAGAATGATATTCTGTCCCAATTTTCAAACAAAGCTTGCATTATCTGATGTGGATGTTATACAGAGCTAGTACAATACATTTATAACACATTGATAGACAGACCTGCTTACTTGATGTCTATTTGACAGCTGGTCGAATATGGTTACTATGATGGGACCTATGATGGAGGACACGCCCCTTTGGTCCATGATGGGTCCGATGTTATATAATGTCTACACACAAATGGACTCTACGATACAACAAGTTGAATTCATGGAAAGTAAGTATCGTCACACTTTCTGTGTATTTCTATAACATGTGTTTAATAAAATCAAAACTACCTTTTAATTGATTAAGTACCTTTTTAACCAATCATACGACTCAATAGACCCTCTTAATGATTCCATTGGCTGGGGCTTCCAATTTACCTACACCAAGTCATTTGTAAATTGTTTTCCTCTCAGAACAAGTGTGGTGCTATATTTAGATTATCAATACATTGTAATGATGCATTTCCCTTTGGTATGGCTCTTCTTTAAATGACTTCACATTTCATATGGTTTGTCTCTTCTATAATTGACTTCACATTTCATATGGTTTGTCTCTTCTATAATTGACTTCACATTTCATATGGTATGTCTCTTCTGTAATTAACTTCACATTTCATATGGTTTGTCTCTTCTTTAAATGACTTCACATTTCATATGGTTTGTCTCTTCTCTAAATGACGTCACATTTCATATGGTATGTCTATTCTGTAATTAACTTCACATTTCATATGGTTTGTCTCTTCTCTAAATGACTTCACATTTCATATGGTTTGTCTCTTCTCTAAATGACTTCACATTTCATATGGTTTGTCTCTTCTATAATTGACTTCACATTTCATATGGTTTGTCTCTTCTATAATTGACTTCACATTTCATATGGTATGTCTCTTCTGTAATTAACTTCACATTTCATATGGTTTGTCTCTTCTTTAAATGACTTCACATTTCATATGGTTTGTCTCTTCTATAATTGACTTCACATTTCATATGGTTTGTCTCTTCTATAATTGACTTCACATTTCATATGGTATGTCTCTTCTGTAATTAACTTCACATTTCATATGGTATGTCTCTTCTCTAAATGACGTCACATTTCATATGGTATGTCTCTTCTCTAAATGACTTCACATTTCATATGGTTTGTCTCTTCTCTAAATGACTTCACATTTCATATGGTATGTCTCTTCTCTAAATGACTTCACATTTCATATGGTATGTCTCTTCTATAATTAACTTCACATTTCATATGGTATGTCTCTTCTCTAAATGACTTCACATTTCATATGGTATGTCTCTTCTGTAATTAACTTCACATTTCATATGGTATGTCTCTTCTGTAATTAACTTCACATTTCATATGGTTTGTCTCTTCTCTAAATGACTTCACATTTCATATGGTATGTCTCTTCTCTAAATGACTTCACATTTCATATGGTATGTCTCTTCTATAATTAACTTCACATTTCATATGGTATGTCTCTTCTATAATTAACTTCACATTTCATATGGTATGTCTCTTCTCTAAATGACTTCACATTTCATATGGTTTGTCTCTTCTCTAAATGACTTCACATTTTATATGGTATGTCTCTTCTCTAAATGACTTCACATTTCATATGGTATGTCTTTTCTCTAAATGACTTCACATTTCATATGGTATGTCTCTTCTATAATTAACTTCACATTGCATATGGTATGTCTCTTCTATAATTAACCTTACATTTCATATGGTATGTCTCTTCTATAATTAACTTCACATTTCATATGGTATGTCTCTTCTATAATTAACTTCACATTTCATATGGTATGTCTCTTCTATAATTGACTAAACTCTGTTGTTGTGTGTTGACATTGTGGTAAACTCTGTTGTTGTGTGTTGATGTTGTGGTATATTCCGTTGGTACATGTTGACGTCATGTTGTATTTTGATTTATGTAGACACTAGGCTTAAGTTTGTTGTGACGTTCACTAATGTAATGTTTTTATGCACACGTATGAATATATTTATGGTATTAGTAAGTTTTCATACATGTAATGCTAATGACGGATTTTAAAAATAAATATGAAAGCGTAAGGTATTGTTTATAGTACAACCTTATATTTTCCTTGTTTTCAACAGAGATGATGGATCCATCCAGCGATACAGGCAAGCTGATGAAATACGTCATCAATTACATGCCAGAAATTATGACAACTATGATGAACCCCAATTCTTCGCAAATGGTATGGAGAAAATACATTTGTCCTACACAAACCTATGTGGTTTTAAAAATATGCCTAATTGTGGTTACGTTAATCATAGCAACTCATCATCACAGACTGTATGTCACGGTGACGTGTGTATGCAACTCCCACAGATTTTCGACAAAATGTCTTACCTTATAGCCCGTTTTCTCATCTTGGATTACTTTGTCGTTATTAACCACAAACAGTCTGTTTCTTTACATGGCGGATGTCCTCAATGAAGCAGACTCTCATGCCCCTCTGGACACAAAGTCTTATTATCTTGTTTGTTGCAATGGTATCTTGTAAGTCGTTCTTTTGTCCGTGTTTTACCCTCGTTTCAAGACTTTATAAAAAAAACAACAACCCTGAACATGAAATAGATAACGGTACGATCGTTGTTGAGCTCTTGAGTCAACACTTCATGTTTTTAACCACAATCTTACAACTATATGGTGCGTTCTTTTTGTAGCTGACGGAGGTAATGAGCTCCCCAGATCCTGTCCAGACAATGTGTGATCAACACACTCTACAGAAGATGGGAATGCCGGACAGCGTGCCCGTAATGGACATGGAAATTGCACTGTGTAATATCAACTGGACTGAGGTTGTGGTCGGCATGACTGCCTCGTATGACGTTGAAGCAATGATGCAACAAGTAGGTGTATTTAACCCCCTTATTACCTACTCAGGATGACCTGTAATACATTCAAAATCTTTCTAATAGGATCTGTAAGCCATTTAATGAATTATAAATATGGTTATATTCGTGTAGGATCCGAGAGCTGCTTAATGAATTGTAGACATATAGAGATATTCATATAACCATTACAATTTGATCCCAAATACACTGGACCAAATATTCAATTTTTAAACTAATTTCTTCCTACAACGTAGGCATTGAATTCATAAAGGCAACCAAATATTGATTAATATCACTGCTGCATTGTTGAATAGTAACTGGAGCCAAATCTAATTATTGACTAACTATCACTTATAGATTAATAGCACCAACACCAAATGTAATTTTTTATTGAATATCATTTATTAACAGGAGTCAGATTTAATAATTGATTAAAAACACATATCAATGGCAGCCAAATCTAATCATTGATTAAATATGATTATTCAACACTAGAACTCATTCTAGGAGGCTTGTAAAGAACATGTATGTTTGGGATCACTTCACAAGTAAACTACAGATTTGGATATAGATCTAAGTCTGTGAGTAGATACACATGATGAATTAGTTTATAATATTGCACATAACAGTGAAAACAAAGATATGACACCCAGGGTTGCCTGGATCATTTGTCTGAAAACTACAACCCCCAATTCCACAAGACACCATGTTAAAACATTCACTTAAAGTTTCCTTATTTGACTGCATTGACAGCTATACAGTACCATGATATTGCGATGTTTTTTCCAGGTGGCTATGTATTTTGAGCCGAATTCAACTGTCAGAGTACCAGATAAATTTGATTGGGATGGAATGGTGTCCAACATGGAGCAAATGCAGCAGCTATACAGTGGAGAAAGTGCAGTGGCCGATATGATAATGACTATAAATTTTACACGTCTGGAACAAGCTATGTCTACCATGTTGATGTCCAGTTTGCCTGACATGACAAGAATATCTACAATGATGGAGTCAGCAAGGTACAGTTTTAGTACTTTTCCAGTACTGAACAACTATAATTATAGATTTATTTTCTATACTTAACATTTTTACATTCACTTATCACCATGGTTGCTTTAAGAATATAAGAAATGTCCTGGATTTTCCAAACTTTGTCCCACGGCTTTTGAAAGTCTTAATATTGGGGGACAACTCTTCACTTTCTAGAAGGCTATTCTACAATTTTGTAGAAATGGTAGTAAGATTGTTGATCCATGGAGATGTCCCAGTTTGTTGTGGAAATATAATGCCATTTAATGTTTTCTTGGTCACTACTCTTGATGCCTCATCTCTTCATAACTTTACAAAATTGTAAGAGTCTATATCATATAATCCATGTATTTTATATAAGGTTCAATAAGATCTCCTCGTGCCTTTCTGTAAGATAAAGTGGGATGTTTCACTTACTTTATAGATATTTTGTGTTAGTTATCATAGCATATGAGATTGTGTGATTGGTGTTTTGTGTACAGATACGTAAATATTTGTGTTATTTTAAACTTGTCACTTTCTGTTACAGCATGAACATGACATGGGAAGAACTCATATCAACCATTACTGGCATGGGCAACCTCAACGGGTAAGCAAAAAAATTATCTTAAGGCACGAGTGATTTTTTAATGGTTTGATCAATGATAAATCCGTGATTGACGCATTTTGTTGTCCGTATGAAGACATATTTCTGTGCTTTTTTGTGCAGTGGGTTACAGCAGTCAGACATGATAAACATGTTACTAGACATGCTGTTACCTGGGAACTCGAGCACTGTAATGCAAGAGATACGGGCCATGGAGGCAGTGTACACCAACCAACTGCATACTTCTCTACAGTTCATCATCAAACATCTCACCTACTTCAACAGTAAGTTTATACTAAAGAAACCTCTCAGAAAACCAGGTTATAAAGCATTGAATATTTATTACATAATGTACTGTGTTTGTGGAAAACAGGTGTGGATATTTTTTTTTAATAGAATCTGGAATCAACTGTTTCTATTTTCATGAGAAATTGTTATACTGCATGATCTTGTTACTGTTTAATATGACATTTCTAATGTGCTTTGATGTGTTAGTGTCAGTAATAGTGACGTCATACAGGATATCACATGAAAACTTCAAAAAGAAGTTGATTTCAACCATTTAACTGTTATTGAATGCATAACTGTCATTTACCTGTCCTCTGACTGACTGTAAGATTTAAGGTTTTTTAACATTTTGTTTTATTTGAAACATTGTAGCAAATAAAAGCAGTGGAAACCAGTTCCAATAAAACATGGCACATTGCCAACTAATCCAGCACATTTGGTCCAATATTTTTAACTACTGCATGGAAAGGCATGCAGTATCCATATGATATAGGGTTCATGGTAACAGTAGTTTGTGGATGTGAAGCATATGTACAATTCAGTTTGTCAATATGGAAATGAAGATATGGATCACAGACAATATTACAGTATTTTGTCGAGGTTTTGTCTAAGTTATCTCCTTTTTGTATGTATGTATATATATCTTAGTTAGGAATCACAGTACTGTGTACAGATCAGCTCCATGATCTCCGATTGGTATATAGGAGTTCATAGTGGAGATTTTTGAACCAGAGTATTTTGTAAAGATTGTGTCAGAGTTATCTCCACTTGGTATTTATTCATTTCTATTGGAGTGTTTTTGAATCGCAGTATAACATTAAGGTTGTGTCAGTTACCTCTTTGTGTATGTAGATGTATATCTGAGTGTTTGGAACCTCAGTTTGGTGTGATAATTGTACTGAAGATATGATACCAGGGGAACGATGACACTGGCCATATCGAAGTTGGGGTCCCGATCAAATTATTTATTTGGTTAGAAAACAATTTCCATACTGTCATGAAAATACAACTTGAAAAGATAAAGCCTGGATGGAGAATGGTGTGTTATGATATACTGAAATCAGGGTGTCCTTCTGTCTGTGGAAGAAAGTCTATCTGGAGTTATCTTACCTCGTATTCTCTCAGTCAGTTATGAATTTGCTGATCGTATTTGTTATATTCGAATTTCTATATAGAAATATATGATAGTGTTGGCCATTGTGCAGAGGTTATGTGAAGAGAATTAATTCTAAGATGTTAAATATATTTTCTTCTGGAAAACGTTTTGCTGTTTAATACTAACAATGTTTCTATACGTTCTTGTGAAAACTTTGATTTTTACTATCGGTAATTATGCAAACATTATCTTTCAATATGAAATTGTCTGTTAATTTCTATAACTGTTTGACAAAGTTTCATATGATGTTGGGAAAATTTGATAGTGGTTGATAGTACATGCACATAAGTTTTGATGATTATTCTGTGTTTTAGAAGCTGATTCAGTAGATCTGAGGGCATATCTTGGCTCAGCAGAGCTCAACAAAATTTTGGATAATGTTGCCGCTGGTCCTGATGTTAACTCTGTAGTGTTGGAGACACTTCGAGCAATGATGACAGATACAAATTTGGTGAGAATGAATTTTAGGTCTAAAGGTTTTTATTCTGAACTTATGTAAAATAAAACTGTATTGATCAAAATTTCTACTACATCTGTATTTTCTACGAGGTTTTTATAACAATATCAATTATTTTGTCTCTCCAGGTTAACTACCTCATGAACAATTTAGACCAGCTGTGTACAAACCGTTCCATATTTGAAGGGATTTTCAAGGTTCCACCTGGTAACAATATTGACCTTGGTCAAATGTATTCTTCCATCTGTGGACTAGATATCAACATCACTAAAATGTTTGAGGAAATAATACAGAATGTTGATGGACTTTCAGATGTGGTAAGTCAGAAATTGATGGCTTGCTAAATGTGTACAGAAATAACTCCATAGCTTACTGGTTGTTGGTACCGTAAGTGAGAGTATGTGTTAAGTATATTCATTGAGAAGCCTTAGTGTTACATCGGGTTGGCCATGGCTGTATAATAATCTGACAAAGAGTTTAGCACTGTTTAAAACAACAGATTGTAGTCTTAACCAGAGTGACACATGTTTCTGATGAAAGTATGAGATTTTTTTTTTTGTAGGTGGAATATATAAACAATGCGATGATAAGGCGATATTTTTATACTGATACATGCCACACAAGATTAAATATTCAACTTCATTTTCTGGTCACTACATTTTTTTTTCTGAAATCTGTATCCCTAAGATCAAGTTATTGATAATTCAATTTCAATTAAGTATTGTGCTTGTCCATACTGTAAATGCATAAGACAGCATTTCTAAATGAAATGAGTTTAATAAAATATTGGCGGGAATGGTCATTGTTTCATTCTCGGCGTTTAAACACTAGAGTGATTTGTTTCTATGATTGTCTGGTGTTTTCTCTTGTTTTCAGGTTGCTATATTAAACACTAGAGTGATTTGTTGCTATGATTATCTAGTATTTTCTCTTGTTTTCAGTTTGCTATATATATGTCACCACCTCCGGGGTTAGTGTCGGTAAACTACTCAATCATTATGGCTGACCAGGATACTGTGAACAGTCTGATGGAGAGCCTCATCATGCACCCTCCTGTTATTACAATTGGGGGCAATGTGAACTGGATGAACATAACACTATACATAGGACAGTTAGAGAGTTTCATGGGGGAACTCTCTAGTGCCTTTACCATGGATAATCTGGCACAGTAGGTCTTAAAAAACATATTAGGCCAAAATTTTCATGTTGGATGATGAAGGATTTCTCGATTTTTTTTTCTAATTTCTGCTATATTTAAACTAAATGTGTCAGGCAAAATTTGAGAGAATGAATGTTTGCAGTCGTGAGCATTTACATAGATATATACTTTTCTCACTCATGTGGAAGTAAATAAATTTCAGAGAACATAATCTTGAATTACCGGCAGATTTGAGAAAGAGAACATGATATTCTTGTTTAGAAAAAAAATTCCATTCACTATGTCTTCTTTTATTTTGAGGCAAAAAACTGATAAAAAATTAAATAGGTTAAACAATATGATCTAATCATTGTTAAGTCAGAGTTTTTCCATACCTCAAGCATAGATTGATGTTGACAAGTTTGTTTGAATGCAGTTCATACTGATTAGTAAAATAAGAAAATTCGATTCCACTAAGATATGTATAATTGTGACCACTTCCACAACTTAACTTTCAGGTTACAAGAACCGGGTTTGGACTCTGCATTCTCTAGTTTGCAATCCATACCAGAGATGGAGTCAATGTTACAAATGATTAGTTTCTATGTTAAAACTGCCAAGGAGCGTCTTACCCAAAGTATAGGTAGGCAACAACACCAATATTAAAATGTTGAACAGCTGTCCAGAAGCTCTGTCCGAGAAGATATGATGTAGGCTTCATAAATTAATATGATAAAGTCAGTAAAATTGCTTTTGTAGTGTAAAACTATGTAAGTAAGGGTGAAATGTTAATAAGAGATAAATGGAAACTATTATTGGTTTGATAAAATGATATTTTGTGATGGATAAGTAGCCTGTTGTACCTATAAACTACATGTTGTTTAATTCATCCATTGCCTAGCATCATATATCTTTAATTTGTTATTTGTTATATGGGTAGATGCCTCAGAGGATCCTCTAGCAGCATTGAAGGGCTTCCCCACTTTACAGAAATTAATGGAACTGGCTGATGACATTCCTCATCTGTATGCTGTTCTTGTTTTCAATTCTATATATCACTCAAAGCAGGTAAATATTGTTTCTTCACTTTCATAGGATTTTTATCATCTTTAGCCATAGTCCATTGTTCTGTGATTAGTAATTCAATATTTTTGATTGTTTGGGTTTTTTTTTTACATTATTGTGTATCAGGGTAACTCGGTTGATACATATTTGTTTCCTAGGTGAACAATGTATTAATGGTGGAATCCTGGGAGGGTTTCTGTGTGCTGAGTGATCTCCCCCTGGATGTACCTGGCTCTACCTTCAGTATGAGTGACTTCCACACAGAATTGTGTTCCCTCAATCTGACGGCCCTAGAGACAGAAGCTGCAGCCTACCAGGCCATATCATTTGGTCTACTGGTCAGTCTCTGAACTCTCTATTGGTGTTAATATTTGTTTAGAAAGTAAAGCTGTAACTGAATAGACATGTCTTGTCCTTTCATCACAATTAACAACAGCTGATAATGTAACAAAACAAACCAAAAAGAAATCATGTGAAGCCAATTTTAAATCAAATAAAAATTTTAACCTTTAAATTTTAGAATAATTTTAGAACATTACAAAAATTAATCATTTAGTGTTTGACTGTGATTTCAACAAAGTTTGAATTTTATAGAAATGTTGTACAAATCAAACTCTCCTGGTACATATGCCTTTCTGGGCATATCCCAAAATATTTTACATATGTAATCTGCAAATTCACAGAAGAGTCTATCACACATTAAAAATGGTTGTTGTATTCTTCCTTATATTACAGAATTACACTGTAGATGTTACAAGCACAGTGGTTAACATCACCCAACTGAGTGAACAAGTCAGCGAGATATTTAACCTTCTTATCACAATAGAGAACAGCACGACTGAAGAGGAGATGATACTACCAAACTTTCTTAACTGGACAGTGTGGGAACAGGTCAACTCGCACCTCTTCTCAGTCATTGCAGACCCAGACAGACTCATGAAGTGAGTGTGCCAAGGCGGTGGTGTTCTTAACATGTTCTGTGTCATTGGGATATCAAAAGCTGAACTGATATCTGTGTGAAGACTAGAATTAAACAGCTTTGTGACAGGGACTAGAATTATACTGACTTGTGACAGGGACTAGAATTATACTGATTTGTGACAGGGACTAGAATTATACTGACTTGTGACAGGGACTAGAATTATACTGATATGTGACAGGGACTAGAATTATACTGATATGTGACAGGGACTAGAATTATACTGATATGTGACAGGGACTAGAATTATACTGATATGTGACAGGGACTAGAATTATACTGATATGTGACAGGGACTAGAATTATACTGATATGTGACAGGGACTAGAATTATACTGATATGTGACAGGGACTAGAATTATACTGATTTGTGACAGGGACTAGAATTATACTGATTTGTGACAGGGACTAGAATTATACTGATTTGTGACAGGGACTAGAATTATACTGATTTGTGACAGGGTCCAGTATTATACTGATTGATGACAGGGACTAGAATTATACTGACTTGTGACAGGGACTAGAATTATACTGATTTGTGACAGGGACTAGAATTATACTGACTTGTGACAGGGACTAGAACTATACTGATTTGTGACAGGGACTAGAACTATACTGACTTGTGACAGGGACTAGAATTATACTGACTTGTGACAGGGACTAGAATTATACTGATTTGTGACAGGGACTAGAATTATACTGACTTGTGACAGGGACTAGAACTATACTGATTTGTGACAGGGACCAGTATTATACTGACTTGTGACAGGGATAAGAACTATACTGATTTGTGACAGGGACTAGAATTATACTGACTTGTGACAGGGACTAGAATTATACTGATTGATGACAGGGACTAGAATTATACTGATATGTGACAGGGACTAGAACTATACTGATTTGTGACAGGGACTAGAATTATACTGATTGATGACAGGGACTAGAATTATACTGACTTGTGACAGGGACTAGTATTATACTGATTTGTGACAGGGACTAGAATTATACTGATATGTGACAGGGACTAGAATTATACTGATTTGTGACAGGGACTAGAATTATACTGATATGTGACAGGGACTAGAATTATACTGATTTGTGACAGGGACTAGAATTATACTGATATGTGACAGGGACTAGAATTATACTGATTTGTGACAGGGACTAGAATTATACTGATATGTGACAGGGACTAGAATTATACTGATTTGTGACAGGGACTAGAATTATACTGATATGTGACAGGGACAGATGACAATTTTAACTTACATTGGCATCTACATCTCTTTCTTACAGCTTAGTGACATCTACGTCCCAGAATACAGGAGAACTCCTTAACCCTTGGATGGCTGTTGAACCTGCCATACAGGAACAGCTTCGGATTCAATCTATTGTGTATGGTATAATTGGCGTGTTCATGGACAAATTGGACAATCTAAGTAACAGTAAGTGAAACATCATTACAGTAGGCCCTTTATCAAATGATCTGTTTTCAGTTACTATAGAGCTTTCTCATCCACTAGGATTAACCATGCATCAACACAAAGTATGAAAGTCATACATCAAAACCAGCAACTTTACCAAAGTCTGAGGATAAAATAAAACTTTCTAGAAGGAGATTTTGTATGTCTGTTTCTGTTACAAACATAGTTTTTGTATGTCTGTTTCTGTTACAAACATAGTTTTTGTGTGTCTGTTTCTGTTACAAACATAGTTTTTGTGTGTCTCTTTCTGTTACAAACATAGTTTTTGTATGTCTGTTTCTGTTACAAACATAGTTTTTGTGTGTCTGTTTCTGTTACAAACATAGTTTTTGTGTGTCTCTTTCTGTTACAAACATAGTTTTTGTGTGTCTCTTTCTGTTACAAACATAGTTTTTGTGTGTCTCTTTCTGTTACAAACATAGTTTTTGTATGTCTCTTTCTGTTACAAATATAGTTTTTGTATGTCTGTTTCTGTTACAAACATAGTTTTTATATGTCTGTTTCTGTTACAAACATAGTTTTTGTATGTCTGTTTCTGATACAAACATAGTTTTTGTATATCTGTTTCTGTTACAAATATAGTTTTTGTATGTCTGTTTCTGTTACAAACATAGTTTTTATATGTCTGTTTCTGTTACAAACATAGTTTTGGTATATCTGTTTCTGTTACAAACATAGTTTTTGTATATCTGTTTCTGTTACAAACATAGTTTTTGTATATCTGTTTCTGTTACAAACATAGTTTTTGTATGTCTGTTTCTGTTACAAACATAGTTTTTATATGTCTGTTTCTGTTACAAACATAGTTTTTATATGTCTGTTTCTGTTACAAACATAGTTTTTGTATATCTGTTTCTGTTACAAACATAGTTTTTATATGTCTGTTTCTGTTACAAACATAGTTTTTGTATATCTGTTTCTGTTACAAACATAGTTTTTGTATGTCTGTTTCTGTTACAAACATAGTTTTTGTATATCTGTTTCTGTTACAAACATAGTTTTTGTATGTCTGTTTCTGTTACAAACATAGTTTTTATATATCTGTTTCTGTTACAAACATAGTTTTTGTATATCTTTTTTTGTTACAAACATAGTTTTTGTATATCTGTTTCTGTTACAAACATAGTTTTTGTATGTCTGTTTCTGTTACAAACATAGTTTTTGTATGTCTGTTTCTGTTACAAACATAGTTTTTGTATATCTGTTTCTGTTACAAACATAGTTTTTGTGTGTCTCTTTCTGTTACAAACATAGTTTTTTGTGTGTCTGTTTCTGTTACAAACATAGTTTTTGTATGTCACTTTCTGACACAAACATAGTTTTTTATGTGTCTGTTTCTGTTACAAACATAGTTTTTGTATTTCTCTTTCTGACACAAACATAGTTTTTTGTGTGTCTCTTTCTGTTACAAACATAGTTTTATAGTTTTTGTATGTCTCTTTCTGTTACAAACATAGTTTTTGTATGTCTGTTTCTGTTACAAACATAGTTTTTGTGTGTCTCTTTCTGTTACAAACATAGTTTTTGTATGTCTGTTTCTGTTACAAACATAGTTTTTGTATATCTGTTTCTGTTACAAACATAGTTTTTGTGTGTCTCTTTCAGTTACAAACATAGTTTTTGTATGTCTCTTTCTGTTACAAACATAGTTTTTGTAAGTCTCTTTCAGTTACAAACATAGTTTTTGTATGTCTGTTTCTGTTACAAACATAGTTTTTGTATGTCTGTTTCTGTTACAAACATAGTTTTTGTATGTCTGTTTCTGTTACAAACATAGTTTTTGTATCTGTTTCTGTTACAAACATGTTTCTGTTACAAACATAGTTTTTGTATATCTGTTTCTGTTACAAACACAAACATTTTTTGTATGTCTGTTTCTGTTACAAACATAGTTTTTGTATGTCTGTTTCTGTTACAAACATGGTTTTTGTATGTCTGTTTCTGTTACAAACATAGTTTTTGTATGTCTGTTTCTGTTACAAATATAGTTTTTGTACATCTGTTTCTGTTACAAACATAGTTTTTATATGTCTGTTTCTGTTACAAACATAGTTTTTGTATGTCTGTTTCTGATACAAACATAGTTTTTGTATGTCTGTTTCTGTTACAAACATAGTTTTTGTATGTCTGTTTCTGTTACAAACATAGTTTTTGTATGTCTGTTTCTGTTACAAACATAGTTTTTGTACGTCTGTTTCTGTTACAAACATAGTTTTTGTATGTCTGTTTCTGTTACAAACATAGTTTTTGTATGTCTGTTTCTGTTACAAACATAGTTTTTGTATGTCTGTTTCTGTTACAAACATAGTTTTTGTATCTGTTTCTGTTACAAACATAGTTTTTGTATGTCTTTTCTGTTACAAACATAGTTTTTGTATGTCTGTTTCTGTTACAAACATAGTTTTTGTATATCTGTTTCTGTTACAAACATAGTTTTTGTATGTCTGTTTCTTTCAAACATGTTACAAACATAGTTTTTGTATGTCTGTTTCTGTTACAAACATAGTTTTTGTATGTCTGTTTTTTGTATGTCTGTTTCTGTTACAAACATAGTTTTTGTGTGTCTATTTCTGTTACAAACATAGTTTTTGTATGTTTCTTTCTGTTACAAACATAGTTTTTGTACGTCTGTTTCTGTTACAAACATAGTTTTTGTATATCTGTTTCTGTTTCTGTTACAAACATAGTTTTTGTATGTCTCTTTCTGTTACAAACATAGTTTTTGTATGTCTGTTTCTGTTACAAACATAGTTTTTGTATGTCTGTTTCTGTTACAAACATAGTTTTTGTACGTCTGTTTCTGTTACAAACATAGTTTTTGTAAGTCTCTTTCAGTTACAAACATAGTTTTTGTATGTCTGTTTCTGTTACAAACATAGTTTTTGTATGTCTGTTTCTGTTACAAACATAGTTTATGTGTATCTGTTTCTGTTACAAACATAGTTTTTGTATGTCTCTTTCTGTTACAAACATAGTTTTTGTGTGTCTGTTTCTGTTACAAACATAGTTTTTGTATGTCTGTTTCTGTTACAAACATAGTTTTTGTATGTCTGTTTCTGTTACAAACATAGTTTTTGTATGTCTGTTTCTGTTACAAACATAGTTTTTGTATGTCTGTTTCTGTTACAAACATAGTTTTTGTATGTCTGTTTCTGTTACAAACATAGTTTTTGTATGTCTCTTTCTGTTACAAACATAGTTTTTGTATGTCTCTTTCTGTTACAAACATAGTTTTTGTAAGTCTCTTTCTGTTACAAACATAGTTTTTGTATATCTGTTTCTGTTACAAACATAGTTTTTGTGTGTCTCTTTCAGTTACAAACATAGTTTTTGTATGTCTGTTTCTGTTACAAACATAGTTTTTGTATGTCACTTTCTGACACAAACATAGTTTTTTGTATGTCTGTTTCTGTTACAAACATAGTTTTTGTATGTCTCTTTCTGTTACAAACATAGTTTTTGTACGTCTGTTTCTGCTACAAACATAGTTTTTGTGTGTCTCTTTCTGTTACAAACATAGTTTTTGTATGTCTCTTTCTGTTACAAACATAGTTTTTTCTGTTACAAACATAGTTTTTGTATCTCTTTCAGTCAAACATAGTTTTTGTATGTCTGTTTCTGTTACAAACATAGTTTTTGTATTCTGTTTCTGTTACAAACATAGTTTTTGTATGTCTGTTACAAACATAGTTTTTGTATGTCTGTTACAAACATAGTTTTTGTATGTCTGTTTCTGTTACAAACATAGTTTTTGTATATCTGTTTCTGTTATAAACATAGTTTTTGTGTGTCTCTTTCTGTTACAAACATAGTTTTTGTAAGTCTCTTTCAGTTACAAACATAGTTTTTGTACGTCTGTTTCTGTTACAAACATAGTTTTTGTATGTCTGTTTCTGTTACAAACATAGTTTTTGTATGTCTTTTTCTGTTACAAACATAGTTTTTGTATGTCTGTTTCTGTTACAAACATAGTTTTTGTATGTCTGTTTCTGTTACAAACATAGTTTTTGTGTGTCTCTTTCAGTTACAAACATAGTTTTTGTATGTCTCTTTCTGTTACAAACATAGTTTTTGTAAGTCTCTTTCAGTTACAAACATAGTTTTTGTATGTCTGTTTCTGTTACAAACATAGTTTTTGTATGTCTGTTTCTGTTACAAACATAGTTTTTGTATGTCTCTTTCTGTTACAAACATAGTTTTTGTATGTCACTTTCTGTTACAAACATAGTTTTTATATGTCTCTTTCTGTTACAAACATAGTTTTCTAGTTTTTGTATGTCTCTTTCTGTTACAAACATAGTTTTTGTATATCTGTTTCTGTTACAAACATAGTTTTTGTATGTCTGTTTCTGTTACAAACATAGTTTTTGTATGTCTGTTTCTGTTACAAACATAGTTTTTATATGTCTCTTTCTGTTACTAACATAGTTTTCTAGTTTTTGTATGTCTGTTTCTGTTACAAACATAGTTTTTGTATGTCTGTTTCTGTTGCAAACATAGTTTTTTGTGTGTCTCTTTCTGTTACAAACATAGTTTTTGTATGTCTCTTTCTGTTACAAACATAGTTTTTGTACGTCTGTTTCTGTTACAAACATAGTTTTTTGTGTGTCTCTTTCTGTTACAAACTGAGTTTTTGTATGTCTCTTTCTGTTACAAACATAGTTTTTGTATGTTTGTTTCTGTTGCAAACATAGTTTTTTGTGTGTCTCTTTCTGTTACAAACTGAGTTTTTGTATGTCTCTTTCTGTTACAAACATAGTTTTTGTATGTCTGTTTCTGTTACAAACATAGTTTTTTGTGTGTCTCTTTCTGTTACAAACTGAGTTTTTGTATGTCTCTTTCTGTTACAAACATAGTTTTTTGTGTGTCTCTTTCTGTTACAAACTGAGTTTTTGTATGTCTCTTTCTGTTACAAACATAGTTTTTGTATGTTTGTTTCTGTTGCAAACATAGTTTTTTGTGTGTCTCTTTCTGTTACAAACTGAGTTTTTGTATGTCTCTTTCTGTTACAAACATAGTTTTTGTATGTCTGTTTCTGTTACAAACATCAGATATTATACCATCTGTTGATCTTTAGAAAGATGACTTACCAGTATAAGAGTGCACTTTGATTTATTTTATTTCATTTTTTCAGAAACTGTTATCAATTTTGATGAAATATTAGCCAATGACCCAGAGACTTTGAAACTGTGGACCATTTTGAAAACACCAGGAGTACTAGAAATATTGGTGTCTTCTGCGAACTCCCCACAGGTAGAAATCTTGTATAAAATGTACATTTGGATTGTCTATATTGAACTAAAGTTTATCATTTATACTAAAATATATTGATGTTCAGTGTGACATAATTGGATATTTAATTAAAGTTTGGTTTATAATCTACTTTTTAGTTCTTTTTTCTTTGATTAGCTTCGGCTCAGTTTAATCAATTATTAATTTAATTATTTTTCTCTTTAAGTTATTTTAACTCATTAATTACATAAAGAGATAATAGAATTAGCTTCAGAGGACCGTTGCTATGGAGGTATATCTATATTTGGTTTGAGTTAATTCACCCTGTATTTGCACACCTTTCAGTTTACCCAACTGCTTCTGATGGAAAATGAGACTGAAGCACTCCAGGTTATATGTGATTCCAATACCAACTTGACTTCCTTCCTCAATGTACCTGGTGGTGTACAGGTTGATCTGGGTCAGCTCCAGGCTGATTTCTGCCAGGTCAGGTTTGATCTACTGGAACAGGAGTTTTTGGAGGAAATCATGATGGTTATCAGTAAGGTATGGAGTCCATAGACACACCTCTCTAGGGAATTTTTCTTGGGTTAGTTTCCTAGCATATGTCAATTTCAAATTCCGTGTTCTTTACATTATTGTCATATCTAAATCTGGATATCAAAGATAGTCACAATTTTCATCACACCAACTGAACACCTAACATATGTAGGTGAGACAAAACCTGCTTTGTAAGATTAAAGTTCCACTATTGATAAAAGCAATATATTGACGTGATAATATTAACTAGGATGAAACAAATTTTTTATAGAAAAAATGTATTGATGAAAAATAATGGAGTTGGCTTTTGTTTTGTTGTTCAGTATATGGACAACAGCACAGAGTTGAACTGGTCGAATGTCACATCACAGTACATCAGGATGTCCCAGTGGATAGAGATTTGGTCAGTCAATGCCCCGACACTGGACCTCCCCTCCTTAGCCAATCTACAGGCGATGCTAGAACAGCAGTATGGCCAGGGTCTCGTAGATTGGTCATGGTATGTATTAAATCTCATGGTTTCTCTGTGAATACAGAAGAATTAGTAGTCAGTATCATGTGAAATCACCCTCCTACTACAGATATCTCGCTACATTCATGACAGATTGGTAATCATATGTTATAAAAGTGACTAATAATTTCCTCCCCTTGTGATGTAGGTTGTGTAAGGACTGATATTAAAACAACTTTATATTACAGGACTACCATGTTTGGACAGACAATGGGCCCTATCACTGATCCAGATTTAGAAAAAGCAATTGCAACAGTGAACCTAATTTTGGAAGTGGTCAACAATAGACTTGACCATCTCACTGGTCAGTATCAAAGACATCTGTCAACATAAACTGTCTACTCTGGCTATTCTGAAAATGTTTTGTTAAACAAGCTTTACTGGTTAGCTGGTGCTGCATTGTGCTGTAAAGGTTTTAAAAAGACTTGATTTTGAGAATTAATCAGAGGGTAGATTGGTCTGATACCAGTTACTAATGATAAAACTGAAATTACAAATAGTTATATAGTAATTTGATATTTTTTTAAATAAGCACATAAAATTTCAGCAGCAGTAGGTATAACTTTATTCTGTCTATTTTTAGATACTGTTAGTTTGACAACACTTCTTCGGAATGACACTGATGTGGAACAAGTCTTGCAAGCTTATCTGAATATAGTTCAGTACAGCACAGACCTCCTGTCACCAGATAGTGACATAAATGTAGAGCGGGTAAGTTGGTAGTTATTTAAGTGTTCACAGAAGACGGGGCCACTCACGGACAAACAGTCCATCTCCCAGAATATTGTAGCTAGACACGGTATGATAGATTTGTTTATGAACATCTACATTTATTAATAGGATGCAGAAATTCTTATTTAAAAGGAAGACAAATGCTGTGAAAATGCTTTGAATTAAGTGTTAAAAAGATGATCCACCTTGGGAATATTAAACCTAAAATTACATTCAGGTTTTCAATTAGTAAGGATTTGAACCGTTAGTTGTCTTTTTTTTAAAAAAAATTAAAGTTCACAAATTTGTATGTTTTGTTTTTCTTTCAGCTTTTACAGCTCATAGAAAATGGGAGTGTGTTGATGTCTATGTGTCAGAGTTCTTCACTGGCCACATACTTGTCCAAGAGTGGACAGGCCACAAATTTGACCATTAACATACAGACAGCTATGTGTATGAACCCAGAGGTTTTCCTACAGAACCTCCAGTCACAGGCCGAGGCTGACTACATAGCAACACAGGTAACATACACGTTATCAGTTAACTTTATATCTAACATATATATAATATCATTACACAAGCTTTGATGATCAAGTCACTGTTGTTTTATTGTCCCACTATCAGGCAACAATAGGGTTGTCACACCTTCCAGCTCATGTTTCAGAAGAATTACCTCTTTTTTAATACAAACTTATTTAAGTAATCTTGCTGCCTTGTTAGGAGCCTTTCAAATGAATGTTGGGCATGTTTCATTTGTCAATGTTTTTCTAGTTGGTTATCAATTTCAAAGTATTGAAGATGATTTGCCTAAAGGAAACATTTCTAAATCACATACATTGTACATGTGTGATATGGACACTAATTATTCCCAGCGAAACAAGTTTGCGAGGGATATTGATTTGGGCTCCTCCTGTCTGTCTGTCCATTTGAGGGTTTTTCTGGGCTATAACTTCACAACAATTCAATGCAGCTCCACAAAACTTTCTGTATGTATTAGGTTAGTGCCCTAGTTGTGCCTTTTTTTATTGAGGACATTTTATTATTTACTCTTTTTTTTTACTATCAAATATTTGTGACTTCCTGTATTACTCCAGAGCTTTGTTCCTGGCCAATAACAACCTCTATTCAAACATCAACAATCAAACACACAGGATCTACATCAAGATATAAACTCTTACTATAAGTTGATATATATATGAAAATAAAATGTTAAAGATGCAAGGAAATTTGATTGATAATTGACAAAGGGAGAGTTTACATTTTGCACGCGCTTTCACTGTGTTAGATCTTCTAGTAATAGTAGTGGTACATAAATGAGTGATGTCATAAATTGTTATACCGTTATATATATATCATATTTGGGTTTTATACCAACAGCTGGATGTGGGGGTTAATGCCACACTTTGCAGTTCACTGTAAGGTCATTTTAACCTTCATCACTCATTCAAGGTCAAATATTGTAAGGTGAAAAGAAAATTGGTTTAAAGAAGGAGAGATGTGAATTTGTTTAAGAAAAAGAGGAAAAAGAGATTGAGATTTGTTCTGCATGTCTTTCTTCAACCCTGATCTATCTCTCCGTTGATTGTAATGAGCTCTTCTTTGCCAATGATGAAATATATAGATGATATATACAATCATGTGTTTAACAGCTGATGAGGATTTGGAACAGCTCAGAACCTTTGAACGTGAACTGGAATGATCTGAACAATAATGTAGAAAATATGACGAGGCTTCTGACAACCCTACTTGAACAAGAACCAATGGTAGACATGGGTGCTTGGAACCTCTTTGGAAACTTTAGTACCCTGATGCAGTCTTTTGATTCCCTTCTACAAGACCCCTTCAAGTAAGTTACAATTCCATTATATATCATTTTGTATTTAAAATTTCTCACATTTTCAGTTACTGCATAATTTCTTGTAATACTGCTAAAAACCTTGGCAATCATGTAAAAACAACTCACCCATGATACATAAAGATAGCCACTGCCTTTACAGATTACTCGAGATGTCCGCAAGTGTGAATCCTTTGATGGCGACAGAGGTAGATCCAGAGCTTGGTCCATTCCTTGATGTGTGGCAGCAAGTGTACTCCAATGTTCATTTAATGATTTCTTCTGTAAAGGGTAAGACATTCTGGTTTAAGTCTTATGTTATCACTTCCCTCTGTCCCTCTTCATCCCCATTGTTCCTTTCCTTCAGTCTGGGACTTTGGGTTTCTTTCACTAAGGACTAGTGAACACAGAATTTTTAATAGCCTGACGTAATTTGCAAATTATACTCTGATTTTTATAAAGCATGAAACATAATATCTATCCAAAATCGTGGAAATGATCAAAAGATAAAAACAGGCTCGAGAGTCACTTTTCAAGTAGAATTTGTGTGTACAAGATATTTATGGCAAAATTAATTCCAGCTCTAAACAGGAATTCTTAGAAATAATTTCTGAGGGTGAATGGTGGAATTTGTATAAATACCTTTGTGGCTTTCTCACTGTGTCTATCCATCCTGTTCAGTCATGTGTTCATGTCATTCCTCGAGAAGTTGTCAAATACGTACATGCATGGGAGCAGGAGCATTTAGTCCTTGCAGAGATTTTAAAATTTTTACAAAATGTTTTATCTATCAGATGGAAAACCAATTAATAGTAGTTTGCTGCTAAGCCTATTTAATGCCATGTCATCACTGGATATACAACAAAGCTTGATGGGGGAATCTAACTACATGCAGATGGTGAGTATAATAAATATGTGACTAGTTACTGGGTCATTTATATAAAGAATAGGATTGTTCTTTGATAAATTATTTTACGAAGTAACAATTTAATTTATTGATAAATTATTTTACGAAGTAACAATTTAATTTATTGATAAATTATTTTACAAAGTAACAATTTAATTTATTGATAAATTATTTTACGAAGTAACAATTTAATTTATTGATAAATTATTTTACGAAGTAACAATTTAATTTATTGATAAATTATTTTACAAAGTAACAATTGAATTTATTGATGAATTATTTTACAAAGTAACAATTGAATTTATCAATAAATTATTTTACAAAGTAACAATTGAATTTATCAATAAATTATTTTACAAAGTAACAATTGAATTTATTGATGAATTATTTTACAAAGTAACAATTGAATTTATAAACTCATGCAAGGCTGAAATCATTTAAATGACTTTCAGTTGGAGGACATTGGACAGCATACAGATGTCCAGGGGTTTGTTTGTGATGTGGCTGCCCTTGATCATCATTTTCCTGATGCCGACACTATCAGTTCAGCACTGTGTGGCAAACCAGCCAACACCTGGTTCAGCATACTTCAGCAGACGTTTGGCATGAACAGTACCATTCCAAGTCATTTGGTTGAAGTGGTAAGTAAAGTCAGAAGTAGAATCTTACCTGGCAAGAGTGTCTCAATCAGTCCTCATCAGATATCACACACCTGGGTAAGACTGCCCTTTCATCAAGCTTTGTATATCTAAGAGTCATTGTTCCTCACAGATATCACACACCTGGGTAAGACTGCCCTTTCATCAAGCTTTGTATATCTAAGAGTCATTGTTCCTCACAGACATCACACACCTGTGTAAGACTGCCCTTTCATCAAGCTTTGTATATCTAAGAGTCATTGTTTCTCACAGATATCACACACCTGGGTAAGACTGCCCTTTCATCAAGCTTTGTATATCTAAGAGTCATTGTTCCTCACAGATATCACACACCTGGGTAAGACTGCCCTTTCATCAAGCTTTGTATATCTAAGAGTCATTGTTTCTCACAGATATCACACACCTGGGTAAGACTGCCCTTTCATCAAGCTTTGTATATCTAAGAGTCATTGTTCCTCACAGATATCACACACCTGGGTAAGACTGCCCTTTCATCAAGCTTTGTATATCTAAGAGTCATTGTTCCTCACAGACATCACACACCTGTGTAAGACTGCCCTTTCATCAAGCTTTGTATATCTAAGAGTCATTGTTCCTCACAGATATCACACACCTGGGTAAGACTGCCCTTTCATCAAGCTTTGTATATCTAAGAGTCATTGTTCCTCACAGATATCACACACCTGGGTAAGATTGCCCTTTCATCAAGCTTTGTATATCTAAGAGTCATTGTTTCTCACAGATATCACACACCTGGGTAAGACTGCCCTTTCATCAAGCTTTGTATATCTAAGAGTCATTGTTCCTCACAGACATCACACACCTGGGTAAGACTGCCCTTTCATCAAGCTTTGTATATCTAAGAGTCATTGTTTCTCACAGATATCACACACCTGGGTAAAAATGTCCCTTCATAAACATTACACTCTTATAAAGCATTGAATTATTTTGGAAAAGTTGGAATTTCAGGGTTAATGGGTCAAGGTCTAGGGTATTAGGAGGCCATTATGGGATATGTATTGAGGAGGTCAGTAGGGGACATGTATTGCTCTAGCGATACTAAATATGTGTGTTTATTTTGTGTTGTATGCTGTATTTAATGAAAATAACTTTTTTATTCCCATGTTTTACTTTGAATAATGCTATGTTATTGAACAGCTGAAGACAGTATTCCCTCAACACTTTATGACGTCAACTGGTATGACGTGGGGTGAACTCTTCAACCAGATACAAAATTTTACGGAAACAACAATGACATTAGATGCAACCCACACTGAGATGTTGATGCAGGCTATTCTTGGAGCCCTCGGAGACATGACCCAGTCAGACCAGACGATTGGCAGGTAAATCATCTTTGGATTATCGATCCTATTTTGTAGATTAATGATGCGAGATGTGTCTTCTGTGGTAAAAATAAACTCGAGACTTATCCTGGGTGCATTACAATGTAATATATATAAATTGAGGCATTCAGGCGTTGTCTTTTGACTTCAAAGAGATGACATACTCGCTACAAATCTATGTAACAATGTAATTTCATACTGCATCTTGTGAATATTCCTTTGTTTTCTTATCATAAGAGTTAAATCCTGTTATCAAGGTATCACTACAACATGTTATATATATAAACAGCTCCTTGGAATGGCTGAAAATGATTGATGAAAATCCAGCAACTTCAGCTCAAGGACTTCTGACCTTCCTCATGGAGATAAACAAATATCTCAACCGACAGATGCAGCTCCTTCAAGGTAAGATAGTCTACACAACCATCTCTAGACAAAATTCAATCAAACTCCTCAAAAATGTTTAATACAATGATATACACAGCCAAATGTTTGTATGTAGTCCCCAGATCCGCTTTCGCGTAACCCGGTTGAAACAGTTCATGTGGTCTGGAATTATTTGCAAATATACCAGATTTGGCAACTGATATATGTAAAGCTCAAAATGCACAGTTTCAGAACTTCCTGTTAAGTATAAAAGAATTACGTAAAAAAAATATGATGCCCTTCATTTCATCGATACTTGATAGAATAATGCTTTTGGAAATATATCACTGCATCGACCCAACTTTATACTGAAATTCTGTAAACAAATGATATTCAGCAAGTTATGTCTGGACCTCTCAATCTGTGTCAGATATTCTGCAGTCTTGCTTCTGTCACAATATGTGCCTGGCTTTTTTCTTATAAGTTCAACCAGTTCAACCATTTTAACCACTTACACAAAAGGGGCCAAGGTCTCAAACTTCTGTGGAATGTGAATGTTAATTTAGTCCTGATGAAAGGCTATCATACAGAGTTATCTCCCTTCAAGAAACCAAGAGCTTTATCTGAAACATTAGTTATAAAACAGAATTTGGATAGTAAATAACACTGACGTTGTACTGGAAGCAGCACATTTAGTTCTGTCACAGAAATCTACAGGAGTTGGCTTTGACTTTTTCAGGTAGTGGCAATAATATTCCTCTGTCAGTGTTATTGCCCAATAGCACCTTACTGGCTGACCTTCTGGAGCAACTGAATCATGAAACAGCAGCAGGACTCCTAACAGCATACATTAATCCTGAAGAGGTTGTTATACACCCATATATATATATATATTACTGGTTAAAGCAAGAATATAGTGTAGCAGCCTTATGATAACTGGTAGCTTCTCATTAAATTTGATATTTCAGGTTTGGTAAATTTATGTTAAGAGCTGAAACTATTGCTGTACTCTTACATCTGTTTTGTCAAGACTAACTCAATATATACGTTATCATATGTTATCAAGTTCTACCAAACAAGTCATAGGTTTTAAGGAATTCTAGGATGGATTTCTATGGTCTCATAGAAGTTTTATTTCTACAATTGTATGTTTTAAGTGAGATAAAATGTTACCCCAATGATGTTTTTACATTTCAGTTTTTGGAGTTGACACTTACTGACAGATGGACACAAGTGGTGTGTAATGCTAGCCTGTTCCAGCAGACCTTTACATTCCCAGACGGAACAAACACCCAGATGATCCAACAAGACCTGTGCACTGATGCACAAAGTCATCAATCTGTAGTCACTGAAATTCTTCAGTCACTAAACGTGGTGGATGTTCTCACTGCTGTGAGTGACCTGTTCACATATTTTTCTCGTGTAATCTTTGCTTTGTTAGGAGAAGAATAGCCAAACCTTTAAGATCTGGATGTCTTTTTTATAATCTGGGTGTCTACTTGACTGAACATTAAGCTGTCTTTCAGCATTGTAGTTAGCACAAATTGTCTAGGAATAATATGACTTTCACATACAAATACTGTGTTGCTTGTACACATTCAATAATGCTGCAATAAGGTCAGGGTTAAGCTAAATAAAAGAGCAGGATAGGTCAAGGTCAAATTTACTGTTACTAATTTAAATTAAACAGAAGAAAGGGATACAATGTCGTTGTTGTATTTGTAAAGAAAATGAAGAAGAATAACAAAAATGTTGCTTAAATCCTGTAGTACGGCATTTGATATTGAATCTGTGATGAAATTATAACATGTTGGACACATTAGAGGACTGTAAAATGATGCTTTTAACTTTGGATTAGTTTGATGACTGGATCATGGGAAGAACCCCTGCTGTACCCATGAACGATACCTACGTGTGGCAAGCTCTTCAACATAACATCGAGATACTTTTAGTCAACATGGAAAAGATCACAAATGTCACTCTCTCTACCAGTGGATTGGAACAATGGTTTTCACCCATCATGAAGGCATTCGACACATTAAGCAGACCAAATCCTGAAAGGTATATTGTTAAAAAGTGAACAATGTTAAAGTATATGATGAAGAAAGTTTCATATCAATTTATACATATTTAGATCCTGTAGAAATGTTTAAATAAAATTGTTCTTCATTGGCAGTAATGACTTGTAGAATAACTTAAGAATATGTAGTGAAAATGTGACATTATAGATTTTTTTAATCTAGGGAGTGTCGAGATCAGTCAGTTGTTCTCCACAGAACAACACAATAGAAAATTAAATTGGAATAAAAGCTTCAGTCTCAGCCAGATATGTGAGATTATAAAGATGTCTGATTGTTCCTACAGTCTCAGGCAGATGTGTGAGATTATAAAGATGTCTGATTGTTCCTACAGTCTCAGGCAGATGTGTGAGATTATAAAGATGTCTGATTGTTCCTACAGTCTCAGGCAGATGTGTGAGATTATAAAGATGTCTGATTGTTCCTACAGTCTCAGGCAGATGTGTGAGATTATAAAGATGTCTGATTGTTCCTACAGTCTCAGGCAGATGTGTGAGATTATAAAGATGTCTGATTGTTCTTACAGTCTCAGGCAGATGTGTGAGATTATAAAGATGTCTGATTGTTCTACAGTCTCAGGCAGATGTGTGAGATTATAAAGATGTCTGATTGTTCCTACAGTCTCAGGCAGATGTGTGAGATTATAAAGATGTCTGATTGTTCCTACAGTCACAGCCAGATGTATGAGATTATAAAGATGTCTGATTGTTCCTACAGTCTCAGGCAGATGTGTGAGATTATAAAGATGTCTGATTGTTCCTACAGTCTCAGGCAGATGTGTGAGATTATAAAGATGTCTGATTGTTCCTACAGTCTCAGGCAGATGTGTGAGATTATAAAGATGTCTGATTGTTCCTACAGTCTCAGGCAGATGTGTGAGATTATAAAGATGTCTGATTGTTCCTACAGTCACAGCCAGATGTATGAGATTATAAAGATGTCTGATTGTTCCTACAGTCACAGCCAGATATGTGAGATTATAAAGATGTCTGATTGTTCCTACAGTCAGATGTGTGAGATTATAAAGATGTCTGATTGTTCCTACAGACAGATGTGTGAGATTATAAAGATGTCTGATTGTTCCTACAGTCACAGCCAGATGTGTGAGATTATCAAGATGTTTTTTATTTTACAGTATCGGCCAGACATGTGAAATGATGCTGTCCTATGTAGACAACACAGACTTATACACTTCCTCCATACAACCCATAATGTTAGGTGTTCTCAACAACATGGCCATGACTACCACCCAGATGGCCATTCAGTCTAGTAAGTAGACATCAGTGTGCTTCAAGGAGGAGCAAAATACGATAATATTTCTTATACAAGCCTAGCCTGAGAGTGAGTTCTTATACTATCTCTGTCAATACCTGGTATTTACCTCTGTTTATGTCACAAATGTAGCCTGAGAGTGGGTTCTGATTCTGTCTCTGTCGATACCTGGTATTTACCTCTGTTTATGTCACAAATGAAGCCTGAGAGTGGGTTCTGATTCTGTCTCTGTCGATACCTGGTATTTACCTCTGTTTATGTCACAAATGTAGCCTGAGAGTGGGTTCTGATTCTGTCTCTGTCGATACCTGGTATTTACCTCTGTTTATGTCACAAATGTAGCCTGAGAGTGGGTTCTGATTCTGCCTCTGTCGATACCTGGTATTTACCTCTGTTTATGTCACAAATGTAGCCTGAGAGTGGGTTCTGATTCTGTCTCTGTCGATACCTGGTATTTACCTCTGTTTATGTCACAAATGTAGCCTGAGAGTGGGTTCTGTTAATGTTTCTCTTGGTTTATCTGTCAGTACGTTGTCCTTGTTAGTCACTGCTCTATCATTACCTGTCAGATAGTTCATTAAAGTGGAGTAATAGGACATTACAATTACCAAGTTTTTTTTATGTCATAAAGAAAATTGAAATCTTTTATGTTAATCATATATGACAGTAAACATAGTATATATCTGATATATTTGATCAGACTAGAGATTGAAGTCTATATAAAAACCTACAGCATTTCTTTTTATGTCACAGCTGTACATATCTTTGATGTTTCATGCAGTAACACAGTTACCTATAGAGCGACCATTTACTGTGTTGTAGTTGTGGAGGATTCTCTATGTGACCTGGCCAGCTGGAATATATCCGCCCTGACAAAACGAATACAGGACACAAACCTTACCCAGCTCATCATTAGTGTAAGTGAGGATGCCAGGCTTTAATGAACTGAAGCCATCAATTATATAGCTCAAAGGTTTATACATATGTAAATGAATAGCTGCATAGGAGTCTCCTCAGTCAATTGTGACTGAGTTAAGTACGATATACAAAACCATTTTGATGATGAGTGAAGGGTTTAATGCTTATTTTGCAGCTTGGGTCACCAGTCACAGATGTATCTGGGACTTTCCAGTGTTCTGCTATGGTAGCAGCTTCAAATGATCTTGCCAAGATGTGGAATGAAAGTGTGGCGCGAATGACGGCCAGCAGTTCTTCCTATGATTGTTTAGTCGGTAGCCTCCAGGCACCCCTCAACTTCTTCTCTGATGCCTCGCAGTAAGCAATCTACCATTGTGCTCAAAGTGATGAAAATGTTTTAGTGATGATATATACCATTAATTGTTTGTTAGATAAAACGTTTAAGTGATAAGATGTAAGAAAAATGTTTTTTGTTTGGTTTGAAAAGAGGCCTATGTGATGGTAAACAAGTAAAAGTGCTTTAAGTGATAATATGGGAGAAAAACATTCAATTTGGGAAGTGCTAGGCAAAGGTATAAGTTAAAATTTGCAAGTAAAACTTCTTCATTTAAATGGGGTTAAAGGGGTTTTATTACACATTTTGGTTAAAAATCTGTAATGAAAAATCATACAGAAATAATTTTGTGTCATATTCGGTGCAAACATAATATTTCAACATTGCAGAACATTTTCTTTGGTATCTGATCTGTTTGGTGTGCTGATGGACCCGGCTATTCTGTCTCTGGACGACACAGGGAGCCTGTTACCACTGGTGGAATTTATGTACAACGTCTTCATGCAACAACAGAATGGTGAGTCCTCCAACAGCTGGTAACAGCACAGCTTTGTGTCACATTTAGGTCGTATGGTAAAAGAAGATATTTTTAACCTTCTAAAAATAGTAACAAACAAATCATGATGCTGATGCTGGGGCCATCAGTATGTGTGGCTTTTATTTATGCATATTACAAAGCAAATAAATTTCTGACTTCTCAAATGTCTTTTTAGCCAAAACTAGACCTTTCTGTATAAAACTTTTGTGTATTTGGAATAAATTTTAGGTTGAAAACCTTTGAATTTGTCAACCTGTCAGATTAATTACTTCAACGATGTTCAGATTGTCTTTTTATTTAAATTATTTTGTTCACACCTCCAGTAAATTATGTACCTCGACATACATGTGTATAAAAAAATTGTTTCACTCACTTAAACTATTTTTTTTCTGAATTATGTAATTTCTGAATCAGTCATTTTAGAAAGTGTGGTGGGAAGGGTGAGACATTAGATTTGATGGATTCTTGTTGTAGTGTCGGTGAAGCTTGTGGATGTTCTGACCAATGCTGGTAGTTTTGAGGAGGGCTTGAGCAACGTGCTACAAATATCACCAGAGGTTTTGGCTCAGTTACTCAACTCAACGCTCAACATTGATGGGGTAAGGGTATGAATATGTCATCTGCTAGAGAAATGTAAAGGAATTCTAAAGTTGGTAGGTTCTGGTGAATGCTGTAATTCTCCACTACTATTTTACATCATTTTGTGGTTCATACTTGACTAACCTGAAATCATATTTAGACTCTAATATATCATTTTCTGAAACAAATTTGGATTGAATTCATCATAACAAGAACTACTGTATGCATTTTTTCTGTACGTAGCTGTCCATGCTGGATCAGTCAGCAACAGACATTGCCAAGACTCTGTGTGACCCTGACAAACTCTCAGAAGTGATCTCCCTACCCCAGTTTTCAAATGTCAGCATTGAGGAATTAAGCAAACTTCTGTGTGGACCTAATATAACATCTACAGTGGAAGTGTTCACATCCTTGTTAGATTTCTCAACCATCTCTTTCATAGTAAGTAATAAAAACTTCAGATATTAGATAATTTAAACATGCTGAATTAGGCTCAAGGAAACTCTAAGCAACTTATCACTTTTTAGTAAATAGGCATGATGATGAATATGCATATCATTGATATCTGCTGTGTAAACAACATATACAAACTGTAATTAGTACATTCATATTTAACACAATACTTTCAGTGCTAAAATCATATTACTAAAACATGCCCGATTACAGTATACAAAATTTCAATTGTTATCAGTGTCTATATCGGAACAGTTGGGTGAGAGATTATTCTTTTTTGAAAACGTGTTTAAAATAAACATACAGTGTAAATGAGTCTGTAGCAGAACCACATGGATTACTGTCTATAAGGAACATTTCCTGGTAACAGATGTAATTTTTAAAGTCTGATTTACGTGTGACCTTATCATGTTGGTATTCTTAGATTTCAGATGTATAGTTAGACTTAAGAATGTGTTTCCTTTGTAGCTGTCAGACAGTAACACTGACCTAAGTATGTGGTCCGTTCTCTCAGCACACATTGCAGAAGTGATCAGTAATGTCCAACAGTTGACAAACCTACCGACCATCAACATCGACTTCAACAACCTCAACACACTCCTGCCCTACCTTCAGAGGTTCATCTTCGACTACGGACCAGAGGCCTTGGTGGATAGGTAACACAATATTTTGAGTTTTGACAATATGTAAATGACTGTGTGGTATCAACTTTGTTATATTTCATACCAGTAAGCTTATTTTTGTGGCTCGTACATCTCCTTTGGTGTTTTTTTTTTCCTTCCAAAACCTGCATTTATTTATATACCACCTAACATTCAACTTGAATGTCATTGATTGAAGATTTTAATGAAAGAAAATATTCTTGTTTTAAATAATTTTCAATTTGAATGTAAACAGTGTTCATTTTGAATGCCCAGATTGAAGATTTTAAGTGCAGGAGCACTCTCAGCAGAATTTTCATTTTGAAAAAGCACACTTTTATTTTATCAAATTTTCAGTTTGAATGTCCTGGTTGAAGATTTTAAATCTTTAACTGATGACGAGATGGCTGTAGCTTTGATGGCTGATGCTCAGCTTATCATGACAGGAATGACCTCTCTCAAGGTTATCAGGAACTTTATTCCACTCAACGGTAGGTAACCTTAGTATGACTACAGTATGTAATGGTGAAGAAATACTACAACATTACTTCAGATTACCAGTGTGCCGGTACAAATCTGATAGAGATTATACAACTGATACATGATAGTCACTAAACACCATAAATTTACACCATAATTTAAGACATATTTGGGTCTAACACAAGATGACACAAGTAAATCTACCTTGTGGTCAGTTACAGATTTCTCTTGGTCTCATTTCTGTAAAGGAGAGTAAATGATGGTCCATTTATCACAAAAGATCTCCCTTGAATTCAAACATAACATTAGATATGTGTGTACATAACATCATATGAGAATTCTCAACGTCTAGGTAGTGATTGATTGATTTTGAATGTGACAGTATAGGCGTGTGAAACAATTGCTCTGTCCATGGGCTGTTGTTTATTGACCCATCAATTACTGATTGTAATATGACCCCTCATCAGTGAAAATGATCTGAAGCTAAGTCCATAATTCTGTTGAGGATTACTACAATATCTGTTTTCTAACTGATGTGGAAGATGAGATGTCAGTCAGTACTATGAGTTTACTGATGTGGAGGATGAGATGTCAGTCAGTACTTTGAGTTTGTCAGTCAGTACTATGAGATGTCAGTCAGTACTTTGAGTTTGTCAGTCAGTACTATGAGATGTCAGTCAGTACTATGAGTTTGTCAGTCAGTACTATGAGATGTCAGTCAGTACTATGAGTTTGTCAGTCAGTACTATGAGATGTCAGTCAGTACTATGAGTTTGTCATTCAGTACTATGAGATGTCAGTCAGTACTTTGAGTTTGTCAGTCAGTACTATGAGTTTGTGAGTCAGTCAGTACTATGAGTTTGTTAGTCAGTACCATGAGTTCGTAAGTCAGAACTATGAGTTTGTCAGTCAATACTATGATTTACTGTATGTTGCAGTTGTCCTACAGCAAGTGCTGAAAGACTCCAACAGTACCAAACACTACATGATCTCTGAACTTGGATTAAGTCCAGAGGTTGCTGAAGCTGTGTTGAGTGGAGCCATTGACTACAGCGTGGTGAGTGTCTGGTAAAGCTTTGTAAGTTGTTGAGTCATCTGATCTGAAGGGTCAAGATGACCTGTTGCTATCCTGCTATGTTTCTTGTCATCTGCCATCTTTTAATTTTTACTTTAAAACACTCTTCCTACTGAAAGCCTGGATGGATTACAAGCAGATTTGGTTTGAAACATTACCATATTTTCTGGATTATAAGTCCGAATGATATATTCTGATGCAGCTTATATATGGATCAAATTAAAAACTTCCTAAAAACTGGCCCTGCGGCAAATATACCACTATAGTTTATAGTCTGGAATTTACGGTATTCAAATTTTGTATGAAAAATCATTAGGGAGGGCAATCAATTTTCAATTCAGAAAGTTGATTAACCCCCTAAGGACTAATTGGCAGGGCCCTTAAAAGGGAAGTTAGGAAATATTTCAATTTAAAACTCTACTCCTTAATTCTTGGGTGGAATTCAACCTAATTTGGTCTGAAACATTATCGGGGAGTGGCATTGATATCAAGTATGCATGAAGTGATCTTAGGGTTGTCCTGACCAAATCTGATTTTTTGGTTTGATCCAAAATCTAACATAACCCATCTTGAACATGATAGCCACAGTGGCCATTTTGGTGAGCTGTTCAATTCATCTTTGATCTAGGCTCTGTTCATTTGTCAACCGTTCACATCCATAACCTTCTGGTTATGTGAAAATGAGGCCTGTTTGTTGGATTAGAAGAGTATGTTTGGTTGAAGGTTGAAATGATTTTATTTACAACAATGATGAGTAAGTATATGATATTAATTATACCAGAAGTTTAGGGATATATATGACTTTTTGATGTACATTTTATGTAACAACAGAAGAATTTATCACCGGGTGTTTAGGATCCCTGTTTAGAAAGTGTTTTGTTTCATTGTTGTGTTGTTGTGACTTCAGCTATTGCGGTATGACTACAAAGACTTGGAGAAACATGTGTGTGACCCAATGCTCCTGTCAGGCTTGCTCAATCTGACAGCCTCAACTAGTATCCAGGTGTCACAGATCAGCACCGCTCTGTGTAATCTTAGTGATGCTCAAACTGTCAATCTCACTGAAAGTCTACTACAGAACTTAGACGTTGGAGAACTTGTCGAAGAGGTGAGAAAAACTTTTAGATGTTCCTGGTGAAGGTGGGGTACACTGGAATCTTGTTATCTTTACTACCAAAGGATATGAGAGCAACTTTTAAACATTTTCCTGATGATGGTGGGGGTCAGATAGTTTGATTATCGATGGAGTCCAATTGTCAGGACTGCTATCTTTGTAGCTTTATTGAGATTTTATGATTACAGTCATGGCTGTTAAGTCACCTATCAGGGAATCATGAACACACACACCACAGCATCCACGCACACACCACAGCATCCACACACACACACACCACAGCATCCACATACACACCACAGCGTCCACACACACACTACAGCATCCACACACACACCACAGCATCAACACACACACACCACAGCATCCACACACACACCACAGCATCCACACATACCACAGCATCAACACACACACACCACAGCATCCACACACACACCACAGCATCCACACACACCACAGCATCCACACACACACCACAGCATCAACACACAAGCATCCACACACACACCACAGCATCCAACTCAAAATCTACCTCTAAATGGACAGAAACATTAAAGTAAAAACATAACAGAAATATCATTATTTCTTTAGCATTTTTTTTATATTTTAGCATTTTCACTGATACAAAATTAACTTCATTGATATTTTAAAGTCATTATCAACTGAGGAATATGGAGCTGAAGAGCAGCAGGCATTTCATTTCTCCTAAAACTTAATGTGTTTCAGTATGTGAAATCTGGAGTGAACGAACTGTTGAACTCTTTCAATGTGACACCTGCTGAAGTCTCTGATTCACTAACAAAGCTCAGTGCTGCTGAAGAAGAACTAACCGCAGCTGCTACAATTTACAAAAATGGATCTGCTGACCTGAATCTCAACATTTTGGCATCTCCAGAGGCTCTCACAGGTAAAGCACCTTTATTTTGGTTTATGTGTGTTCAGGAATGATAACAGCACTTATAAACAAGGCAGTTTCTTACCGCCATGGTAATACTATCTTTCCAATCAATTTTAATTACTGAATGGTAATGTTGACATATTTACAGGGAGCTCACTGCCATCAGTATCCAACCTTCTGTGTGGAGATAATTCAGACAGTCTCTCCATAACTGATTCATCTGGAATCTCGGGCAAAGTAGGTTCCTCTAAGGAACTGACTGCTGACCAACATAAGGAGAAGGAAGAACTAGGAGGTAAGAATAACACACAAGCTGCATTAGGGTGATCATATCTGTTTGTCTAACAGCTACATTGAGAGGATCGCTGATGTCACACTTTGTCTGTCCACCCAGTTATCCATCCAATATTTCGTAGAATTAAATATCACTAATGTATGAAAATTTTAAAGAATCCATCTGGTAGTGCAGTCCAATAGGTTTTCTCTCACCAACTCTCTGATATCATACATAATAGGAGCATGCATATATTCTAAAAGAGGCCTGTATTCATGAAACCGTTCTCATGCTCAAGCATAGATTTTGTGCTCAAGCAAACATTTTTATAATTCACCTAGATAATATAAAATAATACAAATGTCAAATTTAAACCTTGAATATAACTTTGACTTGAAGTCCTTTCAAAATTGTTCAAATTTTTAATTTAAATAAGACATAAGGCTTGAGCACAAAATTCATGCTTGAGTATGAGAACGGTTTAATGAATACAGGCCTCTATAACTCTATTGATATCTGTCTGGTTTCTGTAACCCTATAAATACTGGTTTCTGAAAAGATTTTATTTTTCATTGACCTTGCAATACATGTGGATATTTAGATGACTTATAAGTCATTTTATATCACTACACATTCTCACGGTTATTAGATCAATTGATAGGGCCAAATTCAGACCACCATTTCCATATCTACCTTAGAATGATTAAGGTAAATTCTTTTTAATATCTATATAGTAATTTTGACTGGTTTTATGATGATGTGGATATGTGTTGAAATGCCGTTATATCTCAATGTCCATTTCTCTCACCACAGAGGGATTCTGTAAGGACTTGTATGTGGATATTATTACATCGGAATATGGGCCTGTTGTTTGGACCTACCTGAAGCCATTGATACGGGGTAAAATCCTGTACAGTCCTAACACTCTAACAACTCAAGAACTTGCTTCAATGGTGGGTACTGTGTGTGGCAGATAAAATTCTCTGTCAAATAATTGTAATATGATTTTAATTGCTGTTGGTTATAAATGTGACTTAAAATATGTGTTTTTTGTATTAAATTTATGCTGTAATTCTTATTTATGACAGTGTGTGCATTTCTTTTATTTATCAGATGTATAATTCATCGTTTGGAATATTGGAGGATGTCCAGTACTACAGTCGCCTTTGGGCCAAAGGATTGACTGATTTAAACGAGCTCAAGTCAGATCCAAATCTCATGGATAACATTAATGTAAGCTGCAAAATTGTGAATTATTCTTACAAGATATCAGTGTAGAAATAGACAAATATCTACTTTATCTCTTGCAATATTTGCTGATATTTTAGAAATTTCCATTGGGGCCATAGGGGAGATTATATACATCAAAATTTTCAAACTTCAAGAAATGCATAAAGCTCATTTTCTAGACACTGACAGGTGAAGACAATATTCAGTTGTTTCATGCCTTATCTGACAATATTCAAACATATTTCCCCATCAACAGTTTGGGCTGGCTGCCTGGTAACCGTGTTTTAGCAATTTTCTTGAGAAACAGTGTAACATGTGTAATTTACATTTTACATAAAGAGTCGAACAACATAATTTAATCTGTCTTTTTTTTTCGAGGAGGGGGGGGGGGGGGGGGGGGAACAAATTTGATCTTTGAAGTAATACACAACTATGAAGATTTATTGATATTTTGTTCTTAGAATTGGGGATCATAAATCATGAGTTTCCCTCACTAAATGAGAGACAAAGCTGGACTGTGTGAGTGAACGTCCTGTTATAGTCTTACTGATTAGTTTACCCATAGACAATAAGCAGAACTCGCTGGATATGAAGATAGGTTATATTACCCACAGACAATAAGCAGAACTCACTGGATATGAAGATAGGTTATATTACCCACAGACAATAAGCAGAACTCACTGGATATGAAGATAGGTTATATTACCCACAGACAATAAGCAGAACTCACTGGATATGAAGATAGGTTATATTACCCACAGACAATAAGCAGAACTCGCTGGATATGAAGAAAGGTTATTTTACCCACAGACAATAAGCAGAACTCGCTGGATATGGAGATAGGTTATTTTACCCACAGACAATAAGCAGAACTCACTGGATATGAAGATAGGTTATATTACCCACAGACAATAAGCAGAACTCGCTGGATATGAAGATAGGTTATATTACCCACAGACAATAAGCAGAACTCGCTGGATATGAAGATAGGTTATATTACCCACAGACAATAAGCAGAACTCGCTGGATATGAAGATAGGTTATATTACCCACAGACAATAAGCAGAACTCGCTGGATATGAAGATAGGTTATATCACCCACAGACAATAAGCAGAACTCACTGGATATGAAGATAGGTTATATTACCCACAGACAATAAGCAGAACTCACTGGATATGAAGATAGGTTATATTACCCACAGACAATAAGCAGAACTCGCTGGATATGAAGATAGGTTATATTACCCACAGACAATAAGCAGAACTCACTGGATATGAAGATAGGTTATATTACCCACAGACAATAAGCAGAACTCACTGGATATGGAGATAGGTTATATTACCCACAGACAATAAGCAGAACTCACTGGATATGAAGATAGGTTATATTATCCACAGACAATAAGCAGAACTCACTGGATATGGAGATAGGTTATATTACCCACAGACAATAAGCAGAACTCGCTGGATATGAAGATAGGTTATATTACCCACAGACAATAAGCAGAACTCGCTGGATATGAAGAATGTTATTATTGATAGGCTTAGATCCTGATCTACGTATATAAGATCCAGCTCCTAATTATCATTTTGTATTAGAAATTTCTTTTCTGATGAAGTCCTCAAGGGTTGTCCATTGAAGCCCCAAATGTCACCAAGTTCCTGTTCCCAGATAGCTTGTGAAGAAAGTTTGGGGTCCTTAAAGCTAATGTTATTTAACTTTCAGTTACCTTTCTGTTTTCCTTTCTCAGGGCATGACATCCAACACTCTAGTCCAGAGTGTGTTACAGTCTTTGACTGGCATGTCCACGGACAACCTGGTGTCTGGACTCTCCTTGCTGGATACGTTTAACCAAGATGACTTGACCAGTATGGAATACCTAGCAAACATGCTGATAAACTACACGTCCTGTCTAGAGATCAACAGATTCAAGGGCTATGACACAGAGGCTCAAGTTATGCAGGCTGCATATGAGTATGGATCCACCAATAACTTACTGGCAGGTAAATGATTTTGTGTTTACTCCGTGGGAGGAAATCAAATTATATTAAAGTAGAATATCAATGCCACGGGGAAATACGACAGGTTTACCAATTATGACCTGTGGGGATGAATGATTTGTTTGTTTGGATTATTACCTTGTGGACAGCCAGGGTCATTTGAGACGGGTCTCTTTGTAGCGGCTGGTGGCCACCTCACTGTACAATATATGGGGATCTGTCACATGTTATTCACAGCAATTGGGGTAAAGTATCTTCCCCAAGAACACAACCATGACAGCATAATCTTGCCCATCTCTCAGCTTCCTGAGAAACACAAAAAGAAATTACTAGCAGTTGAATCATGCACATTGGATTTTTGTCTGAAGTAAGATAGACCAACTCTCCAACTGACTGAGCTATCGGTTTAAAACAATATCATATATCGCAAATAATTTCCTCCCAGACTTACAGCTGAACCAGTTCCAGGTGTTGTACCAAGAACATTTACACTTTTGTTTCAATGGAAACAAAGACATGGTATTGTGAATTTGATCATAGCCATACAGTGCATACTTAAAATTGATGGCAGCCCTTCATGCTTATGTAAATGTATAAGGTTGTGGTCAGCATCAAGTTAAGAGTGCAGGTGGTTGGTCAGCATGGGTATGAGTCTTCAGGTTTTAGGCACATAGAGTTAAGGGCACAAGAAGTGTGTGGTCAGTTTGGAATGTAATCCAGTAGGTTTTGGTCAGTGTAAAGTTTAGAGCACATGAAATGTGTGGTCAGTTTGGGATATAATACAGTAGATTTTGGTCAGTGTAAAGTTTAGAGCACATGAAATGTGTGGTCAGTTTGGGATATAATACAGTAGATTTTGGTCAGTGTAAAGTTTAGAGCACATGAAATGTGTGGTCAGTTTGGGATATAATACAGTAGATTTTGGTCGGTATAAATTTTACAGATTGTATGGTCTGTTTGCACCTCTTGTTTATATTTGTGATACTTTCTAAATGAAATTACTCACATGTTGTTTAATATAAAGTCCTGATTTCAATTTCAGTGGTTGTGTTTGATAATCTAGAAGTTAGTAACAGAAAAAAGAGAGGGGCTACAAACCAGCTACCAAAGCATGTATCGTACAAAATACGTATGGACCTGGAGAATGTCAGGAACACTGTGAGGCTAAAGGAACGGTAAGTACTATACAAAATACGTATGGACCTGGAGAATGTCAGGAACACTGTGAGGCTAAAGGAACGGTGAGTACTATTGTATCAAACCAAAGCATGCATCATACAAAATACGTATGGACCTGGAGAATGTCAGAAACACTGTGAGGCTAAAGGAACGGTGAGTACTATTGTATCAAACCAAAGCATGTATTATAGAAAATACGTATGGACCTGGAGAATGTCAGGAACACTGTGAGGCTAAAGGAACGGTGAGTGCTTCATCACTAAGACTGGTGTTGGGTATAAAACCAATTCTCAATATTATATACAGCACTGTTGAAATAGATATAATGTCATCATATGTAATCAGGGCTTTAGAATAAGATTGAGGACTTGTCTGATTTCTTCAGTAAGTTTATCATCCCATGAACAGCCATGGTCAGTGTGAAGTGTGATCTCCTTTTAGTAACTAGTAGCTATTTATTTCACAGTATGTCCTGCAAATGGTCACATGTATGCTATCTAGAGCAATTTGTGTAAAGGTATTTTGGTCTTGGACACTACTGTGACAGCACCGGAATCTGTGATCATAGTTTCCTGATAAACACAATTGTCTCATTTTCCACTTCGCTAATACCTTATATAGGATATTAGTATGACGTGTCGTTTTTATTTTACTTAACAGGATGTGGAGGCCATACCCAGAGGATGACATGGTATTTGACATGAGGTACACACGAGGATTTATACAGCTTCAGGACATGGTGGACACAGCCATCATACGTATGCAGACAGGAGAGTCACCCAACGATCCAGTCATCCACACCAAACAGTTCCCGAGTCCCTGCCACGTTAATGATATGTTAGTAGCTTCCTGTGTTCTGTTATATGTTGTAGATATATATACACTATAAAAAAAACAGTATTCTACTGTATACTTATAATGTAAGTAATAACTTTATTACAGATGAACTGTTTATTTTTTTACTTAAATCTTTGATTACTTACATTTACAGGTATATGAATGCCCTCAGTATGTACTTACTACCAGTCATGATGACTTTGGCTTGGGTCGCGGCTTTGGCTGTTGCTACTAAGAATTTGGTGTATGACAGACAGGATGGTCAGGAGGAGGTATATTTTACTTTTATTTAAATCAACATACCAGACAAAGATATGTAGGATCTTACATGAGTTTTCATTTCATATGAAATTTCATGAAACAAAGTTTTTATCAATTTTTTTCAATCTCATGTAAAATGATAAAAAACTTGAGACACTTTTTATTGCATAACTCTGAAAAGTTACATTTTGACAGGTTTTAAGTCAAAATGAAGTGGACAAAATCAAATGGAGGCAGATATCTTGTTTCACCATTTATAATTGATGATATAATGTTATTGTGCTGCTAATGATAATCACTTTAGAGGGTCATAGACAAGTGAAATATAAATAAAAAATATCTAATTCCCATGAATGCGTGAAGCGCTTTTTCATCCTGTCAGCCAATAAAAACATGCTAAAATGTTATGCCACATGTGGTACAATATGGATGTTTATACAACAGTTGGAATGTTTAATTGTTGCCTTAGGAGTTGAAGAACACCCACCTTCTGTGGAAGAAAATGCGGTTATTTAATTCAAATTCTTTGTTAATCGAGACTTATAGGGTCACTGTTTGTTTTGGGGAAAGGAGAGTGGTAATCTTATTTTTGCACTTTTGGCGACAAAGATATTGTGCTTAATGATTGCACTAATTACAGTTCCTGTAATTATCATGGATGTGGAATTTCAACGTGGTGCTTATTTGATAAAAAGTAGAAATATGTTAAAATTTTACCATGCCAAATTCAGTACATTTATAGCATTGCTGGTAGATAGCAATATTTGTGAGATTATTAATTTTGTATCATAGAAGAATCAAAATCAATGTGTTAAGGCTGTATACCTGGAGACCAATGTATAAATAAGGACAATCTTGAAATATTTAGCCCTGCTAATTTAAACAGCTAAACATTATATGGATTAAATGTGAGTTTACAGTCACGTGTACTAGTGTACCAATGATGTCTACTTCTGAATGTTACAGGCCTTGAAGGTGATGGGCCTACATGGCTCCCTGAACTGGTGTATGTGGTTCCTGAGCGCCTTGGTGATCATGTCCTTCACCTCAGTTATTTGTATTTTGATACTCAAGGCTGGTGATCTCTATGCCTACTCAAGCTTCGCCATCCTCTTCCTATACTTCTGTATATTCTGCTTTTCCAGTCTTATGTTATGGTAAGTCGTACCAACTAGATGGTCTTAATTACCTGGTTCATGGAATTTACACTATGGCAGACACCAAGGTATCATGAACTTCAAACAGTATAGTTTTCATTTTCTAGGGTAAAATTAAAATAGGGAAAATTACAAACAGTTGCTTTTGATTGACACTTGAAGAATTACTTCAATGGAAGAATCATGTGAGCAATACAAATAATTTCATTTAATGAAATCCTCTGACAATAGCTATGTAATTCTGTATGATGAGTTTCGTGTCATTTCAGTTACATGATCAGTGCACTGTTTACACAAGCTACACTGGCTGTGCTGACTGTCCTCATGGTCTACGCTGCCTCCTATATCCCATACATGGTCCTCATAGCCATGGAGGTACAGATGAAATTCTGGCAGAAGATCCTTGCTGTAAGTATTACAGATTCTCAGCCTTGCTGTAATACTGACAGGAGATCCTTACTATAAGTATCACAGTCTCAGCCTTGCTGTAATTCTGACAGGAGATCCTTACTATAAGTATTACAGATTCTCAGCCTTGCTGTAATACTGACAGGAGATCCTTACTATAAGTATCACAGTCTCAGCCTTGCTGTAATTCTGACAGGAGATCCTTACTATAAGTATTACAGATTCTCAGCCTTGCTGTAATACTGACAGGAGATCCTTACTGTAAGTATCACAGTCTCAGCCTTGCTGTAATACTGACAGGAGATCCTTGCTGTAAGTATCACAGTCTCAGCCTTCCTGTAATTCTGACAGGAGATCTTTACTGTAAGTATCACAGTCTCAGCCTTGCTGTAATACTGACAGGAGATCCTTGCTGTAAGTATCACAGTCTCAGCCTTGCTGTAATACTGACAGGAGATCCTTGCTGTAAGTATTACAGATTCTCAGCCTTGCTGTAATTCTGACAGGAGATCCTTACTATAAGTATTACAGATACTCAGCCTTGCTGTAGTTCTGACAGAAAATCCTTGCTGTAAGTATCACAGTCTCAGCCTTGCTGTAATTCTGACAGGAGATCCTTGCTGTACATATATCAGAGTCTCAGCCTTGCTGTAATTCTGACAGGAGATCCTTACTGTAAGTATCACAGTCTCAGCCTTGCTGTAATACTGACAGGAGATCCTTGCTGTACATATATCAGAGTCTCAGCCTTGCTGTAATTCTGACAGGAGATCCTTACTGTAAGTATCACAGTCTCAGCCTTGCTGTAATACTGACAGGAGATCCTTGCTGTAAGTATCACAGTCTCAGCCTTGCTGTAATTCTGACAGGAGATCCTTACTGTAAGTATCACAGTCTCAGCCTTGCTGTAATTCTGACAGGAGATCCTTGCTGTAAGTATCACAGTCTCAGCCTTGCTGTAATACTGACAGGAGATCCTTGCTGTAAGTATCACAGTCTCAGCCTTGCTGTAATTCTGGCAGAAGATCCTTGCTGTATGTATACATTTTTTAGCCTTGCTGTAATTGTGATAGGATATCATTGCTGTAAGTACTACTGTTAGTTACCACAGAATGATGTTTTGTTTCAGTGTTTGGCTTCCACCACTTCCTTTGGGTTTGCTGCTCAATACATTGCTCGCTATGAGATACAGATGGTGGGCATGCACTGGGACAAGATTTATGAAAGTCCAATGCCTGGAGATGAGATGTCTTTTGCCTGGTGCTGTCTCATGATGATCATCGATGGTGTCATCTACCTCATCATTGGCTGGTACCTAAGGAGCATCAGACCAGGTACAAAGTCTCCAACAGAGTCCAAACATCATTGACCAATTTATCATCTGCATGCTTCACTATTAGTTGTGTTTATCTAAAAATTAATGTAGATTTATTTTGTAAGAAACAAATGTTTGAATCAGAAAAGCTCAACTCTATCACACCTGAACATGAAAATCAAGCTGACATGTTAGTTCTGTAGTATTTACTGTCATCTAATCAAAATCAAGCTCTGCAAGTTGTTCTCGAGTGTAAGTGGTAAAATCTAACATAAATTATTGCCCTGGGTGATTTTTCAGACTTATAGTACCTGGTATATGTCTGACATGTTTACTGATCTATATATGCACAAGTACACAATGATAACAGAGAAATATTGATGTATTTACAGGAAAGCATGGAATATCTCTGCCGTGGTATTTCCCAGTGTCTCCATCCTACTGGGGCTGTAAATTTATCTCATCAAACGCTAAATACAGAGCTTATCAACAAGGTAATGCCCAGTTCCAACTTCCACACAACTTTCTTTGTTTAATTCAGTGCCTATGTAGATTTCGGTTTATATATAAGCATCATTTTATTGTTCTCTTGGATTGTTAATTTTGTCAACTGTTTTTTTGTCAATACTGTTACAATTCAGCTGTTACTCTTACTTGATGGCCTTATGGCAGATTTGATGGCATTCACTAAGGCAGCATGAGTGTGATGTCCTGATTGAATTAGGACAGTATTCCTAGTCTAACCCTATGTGTTTAGGTTTCTTCCCACTAAGACTGTGATCTTTTTTACATGCCAATAAAAATGCTCAGTTTTTAAAACTTTCTATCCTTTTTATAAAAGGTATTTACTGCTGTAATCGGTACAAGGTGCTACAGTGTAAGTCATGGGGTGTGTTTTATAGTATATTTTGCTGTTATAAAGATGGTGTATCATGCCTATCGACCATTAAGCTTTGATTATTTACAGAACTTGTTGAGGAGATGCCCACCAATATGACTGTTGGAATGTCTGTCCAGGGCCTGTGTAAATCCTATGGTAAAACAAAGGCAGTTAAGGATTTAACGGCAGATTTCTACGCTGGACAAATCACAGTTCTCCTGGGGCATAATGGAGCAGCTAAGACAACCACTATGTAAGAGAGCAATACTGTTCTGTTATTAGGAGAAAAAATACTAAACTCCAATAAGTAAAGTGGAGCAATCATTGAAGCCAGGTTTCCATACAGTATAATCTACTTCCCCTAAAGATGGTTGTCAACAGGTTTTGGCCTTATATACATAATTATGATATATTGCTATGTTGTTTTAATGTGTATTTCTGGTGTGTTACAGAAAAATGATGACAGGTGTATTGGAGCCGACTAAGGGAGAAATCTATTTGCATGGACAACCTTTATATAAATGTTCCAAGAAAATTGGAATATGTGCACAGCATGAAACCTTGTTCCACTAGTAAGTGATACTTAAATTCTCAAACTCCAACCATTTGGTATGTATATTATCATCTATGATTAAAGGAAATCTTCTGTACATGTGAGATGGCTGGAAGCATATAAAAATCCCTACCTATACTGTGTAATTATATATAATCAGCATACAGTTATGTTGTGTTGATCTTTGTGGAAAATTGCTCCCAATGACATCTTCAGGATTTTTCAAGAAGGCCCAGAGGCCAAAAAAGTTTTCTTTTTGTCTTAAAACTTTTATGCAAATGGACATGATTCAACCATATTTTTAAAATCAACACTGATAACATGGTGATCAATTGTTTAGGATCTGTTAAACAGAAGTGGACTTTTCAGAAATTAATTGGCTCTTCAGACTAACTTACGTTTGACCAGTTGTTGATAATTTCGTTGTTGCAGTATGACTGTAGAGGAACATATGGAGTTTTATGGCAGTGTTAAGTCCAGTATGTCTTCAAAGGAGCTGAAATATGAGAGAGAACAGTAAGTGTTTGATTGTAAAACCTGAAGGTGGAGACCAGTGACGTGGAATGCCTTTTACACAGTGCATACATATAAATTTAGATGTTTAAATATGGTTGGTCTTTATAGATGAAAGAATAGGGTCTTTTTATCCTGTCTGATCATAAGTATGAAATAAGTTAGCCTTACCCTCTAGATAAAATCAGGGAATCTCTGCTGATCCTTTAGACCTTTTGTTAATATTCTGTAAATAACAACAGAGTAGCTCTGCTGGCCCTTTAGACCTGTTGTTGATATTCTATAAATAACAACAGGGAATTTCTGCTGGCCCTTTAGACCTGTTGTTGATATTCTATAAATAACAACAGGGAATCTCTGCTGGCCCTTTAGACCTGTTGTTGATATTCTATAAATAACAACAGGGAATCTCTGCTGGCCCTTTAGACCTGTTGTTGATATTCTATAAATAACAACAGGGAATCTCTGCTGGCCCTTTAGACCTGTTGTTGATATTCTATAAATAACAACAGGGAATCTCTGCTGGCCCTTTAGACCTGTTGTTGATATTCTGCTGATGTTGAAGTCTCATGCTTACAGTCTTTGTTGACATCTATTGTTTTCGCACAAATAACCATTTCTTCTGACAAATTTTACTAAATATTTTGCATGTGCACACCTTCCCAGGTCACTGTTTTTATAATTAGAATATTGTAACACTTGTATTTAGTAGGAGACTGAGTAATTCTAGGCGATATCTTTAACCCGTTGTGAACATAAGTCTTTATCTTACCACAGGTTGCTAAAGCAGGTTGACATGTGGCATGTACGTATGGTTCGTGTGTCAGACCTATCTGGTGGGATGCGGCGCAGACTCTGTGTGGCATTGGCCTTTGTTGGAGGCTCAGAGGTTGTCATTCTGGATGAACCAACCAGTGGCGTAGACCCCAATGGCCGACACTCAATTTGGAATCTCCTTCTACAGAGAAAGAGTGGTCAGTTAATAGAGATTTCGGTCAGTGGCCGTACCGCTGGTCAGTTAATAGAGAATTTTGGAGACTCATGACTTTTTTCTGTTCACTTATGTACTTGCAGATGATATAATTGTGTCAGCCATGAGGTAAATTTTAACAAAGTTTAGAATTTTAACTAAAAGAAAACAACAGATAATCTTTCATGGCTCATTTGAATGTTACAGACAAATTCTTTATTTTGATTTCCATCCCTTAAACATGCTCAATATATGACCGTTAGGTTTATGACCATTTCAGGTTGTACAATACTGCTATCCACTCATCACCTGGATGAGGCAGACATGATCGCAGACAGAATTGCTGTTATGGATAATGGACGACTGATGTGTGTCGGCTCCCCACTTTTCCTTAAACAACGACTGGGAAGTGGATATCATCTAAAACTCACCAAACTTGGTAGGTTGTACATTTGTTAGAATAGGTTAGATAAAAGTTATACACTGTGATTTGACATGTCATATCTGGTGCCTCAAATCAGTCGCTGTGTTACCTAGAGTTTGACAGGATAAGTTTTACAGGTGACTGTAATGCGACTGTAAAACCTCTATATTATACAGATGAATGTAACTGGGTCTATGTCCTGGACTGTCTGAGAACCTGTATTCCTAAAATCTTTATATTATACAGATGAATGTAACTGGGTCTATGTTCTGGACTGTCTGATAACCTGTATTCCTAGAATCTTTATATTATACAGATGAATGTAACTGGGTCTATGTTCTGGACTGTCTGAGAACCTGTATTCCTAAAATCTTTATATTATACAGATGAATGTAACTGGGTCCATGTCCTGGACTGTATTAGAACCTATATACCAGAAGCTGCAGTGGTAGAGGACATCGGATCAGAGATGACCATCAAACTGCCAGTACATGCTGGAAACATGGAAAGGCTTTACAGTGCTCTTCATAACCTGGACAAGTACAAGGATAGTCTCAACATTGGCAGCTATGGCATCTTTGACACTACATTGGAAGAGGTTTGGTTTTAAACAACATTAACAATTGTAAACAAAATTCATTTATTTTTTATGGATAGTCTGAATTCATTTCTATTTTCTGATGTCAAAATTTGACTTTCAATGCTATTTCAGGTATTTTTGAAAATTTGTGCTGTGGCTGAGAAAAATATTCCCCTAACGGATGAGGTTGTGCAGAAAGCCAGTGAAATGCAGTTCGATAATAGACAACAGAGAATGTCCAAGAGCAGAGATCTGCATGCAGGTATTCAACAATAGAATTATTTGTTATAGGTTCAAATTATCTGTAGGGACAATAGTTGGTACTAAATCCTACACTACTGGAAAACCTTCCCGTGGATAGCCATCTGTCACTGATATGTTGTGTAACCTGTAGGAAGCAATGGGACCTTGATAATAAGCTTTGATTATCACTAGCAAAAAAAACAAAATGACGATGAGTTTCTCTTGTGAAATTTGTAGGAACATTCAAATGACTCAGTTATGACTTTTGAGTTTTATAAACAATAACCCCTTTTACCACAGCTCCACAGAAACATTCCAAGAGGGCTCGAGTCCGAGTGTCTGAGGGAAGTCAAAAGTGGCAGCAGTTTGGGGCCTTATTGACAAAGCGTTTCCATCACTACCGTCGTAACTGGAGGATGTTCCTCTCAGTAATACTGTTCCCGGTGTTGTTCGTGGCAGCAGCCCTTGGCTTGACACTTATCAAACCTGATGAGATAGAATCACCGTCCCTGTTACTCACTCCTGCTCTCTATGGTCCAAACAGCTATGGATTCTACAGGTTTGTTACTCTAAATCCATATGTCCCGTCAGAAACAGAATCCAGGCTCAGTGTTATGTACATCATTATTGATAGGAAAATGCATTCAAAACAGTAACAGATAAGTCAAAATAATAACAGATAAGTCAAAACAGTAACAGATAAGTCAAAATCGAACTGACTGGGTACCATGAAACAACGATTTGTATTGTATATAGAATGACCTACTCCAAGTACTGTTCGAAGGATATCGGAACGTAGGTTTAAATAATGATTGTTTATCATGCACACAACACTAGTGTGGCCAACGATAAGGACTGACACTAAGATCTTATGAACTAAAACATTGAAATCAATTACTAGACTGTAATGTAATGCAGAACGGTTCACTGAATGATAATGTTACTTTTTTATCACTTTCGTGTGCTAGTGATTCTGTCCAGACTGCACAAAGTCAGAAGATATCCCATCACCTCTGGTCCAATCCCGGCATGAGTACGACCTGTATGCCAGGTGTGGATTATGGGTAAGTAAAGACTTATCGTTCTTCAAACTAAGTATTTGTATGACAATTTTATATATTTTGACACATTATGAACTACATTTTAATATTATGAAAAGAAATTTTTCAAGACAGCTTTATTCATTGAGATAAAAGAATCTCTTTATAAAATGTTTATTTATGTCATTTTATGTCTTCGGTTAAAGATACCTATTTCCACATTTTAAGGCTGTTCTTGGCATTGGTTTTAGGATAATTCTCTATATTTGTGTCAATAAATTTCCCTACATCTTAATTTACTAATTCTGTCCTGGTATTTTTTCTCTCTATAGTACTGATGTTTTTTTGTGGCAGATCACCATTTGTTTGTGAGGCAGGACAAACTGTGTTTAGCAGCAACGTCAGTAACCAGGCAACGTATGATGCAGCACAATGTACGTGTTCTGATTACCGCTACACCTGTAACAGCCACGCCCACTCAATCACCGTACCACAGGTAGTCACTAACACCACCGACATCATCCAGAACCTAGGTACACATAATGTCACCGACTATCTCCTGAAAACATATGAAGCTCATAAGGAAAACAGGTGTGTATTGATGTCTTCTTTCTAAGGTACAGTCCCCATATTGATAGGATACTCTGTGTTATACCCCCTCTAACGAACTTAGGGTGGGAGTATAACTAGAATCTCCCTGGCGAGATGTCGTCCACAAATATTGTTCACAGAACTCCTCCTAATCTGGTGTACCGATTCCATTGAAACTTCCTATGAAGATAATGAATTATATGTAAATATGCATGCATTTTTTTCCAGAAATATATTTGCAGTAGTAACTGAAGTCTTTTCATGTGTAAGGAGGGGGGATTAAGATTTACACAAATTTACAATTGTTTCCAGTTTGAAAGTCAAAGAGTGGTCTTCAACAACAGATTGGTGCTTGCTTTTTATCCTTATTATATTGGTATATTTAACCAATCCCTAAATCTGACTCTGGCATATTCTGCATTTGAAAATTTTCTTGTGAGTTATATCCCTTGTTATGATGTGATATTTTGTAAAGATTTTCTGGATAAAGCTGCTTACTCTCTCAACCAATGCTGATGAAACTAGATACACTGGTCAGTGCCTAAGACAGTTGTGCTTTGATTTATTTTTCATTTTGATAACATTTTTTGGATTTATGTCCCTTTAGCGACTTCTGTTTCTCCAGAGTAAACATTACATTCTCTCACTTATATTCGGTTTATTTTCAGATTTGGTGGTATATCTTTTGAGACCACCTCTGACAGTACATCTAACATGAAGGCCACAGTCTGGTTCAACAACAGGGGGCATCATGCTTTGCCAGGATACTTAAATGCATTGAGTAACTCAATTCTGAGATCAAAGATCACACAAGGTGACCCTGCAGAATACGGTATTACAGCCTATAATCACCCCATCCTCCTAACCAAACAACAACTCAGTCAGGAAAGCATGTAAGTATGGCTGATAAGTTATACTTCAATTAATATTGCTCATTTCTTATTGAATATTAAAGTCTTCATTGTGCACTTTTCCTGCCAAGAGATTGTAAGCTGAACTTTTACCTCAGAGTTAAAAACTTTCTCATACTGAGAACAGATATAGTACAATGGCTATGTTCTACACAGACATGTAAATACAGTGGTTTCCATTTTTCTGTTTTAGTCTCCAGAATGCAGCTGACATCGGTATTGCCATGGTGTTCTTGCTGGCTTTCACTGCCATTCCTGTTGGCTTTGTTAGTTATGTTGTCAGTGAACACAGTAAGAAAGAGAAACAGCTGCAACACGTCAGTGGCGTGGGAAACTTTCTCTACTGGTTTACCTCCCTTCTCTGGGATATGGTAGGTTCCTGGTCACCACTTTCTAAACACTGTCATCTCTAAGTATGTTATAATATCAATGGCGATGCAGATTTTGTTTTATATGTATAGATAAGCCACTTTGACTACTGGAGAAAATAATTGCATTACCATACTGTATCAGTAACATTGTGTCTTAATCTCTGGGTGTTTTTTTATTTAGGGTATATGCCTTGTATATATGTATATGATTTCTGTTTCAGGCGGTTTTCTGCTTAACTGTTGGACTCGTAGTAGTTGTGATGGCCATCTTCAGGCAGAATTCTTACTGGGCACGAGAAAATCTGGCTGGTGTGGTTGTTCTCCTACTGCTGTACGGGTAAGTCCGATAAACAAACTTTGTGAAATATCATGAAATCTGTGATGATACAGCACTAATTTTCTCAAATTTATTCATTTTTATTGCTGATTTTGAATGACAGCTTTTCAGGAAAATATGATATTGCATGGTAGGGTAGTAAAAAATGTTTCCTTCAAAGCTGTGCCATTTCGATTCAATGGAATACTGCCACTATCACCAGGGTTACGATGATGATGTCATATGGGTCATGACAATAAGGATAACAATACAGTCAGAAGCTTTATAATGATTTTGTTTGTTATAGATGGGCCACTTTACCCTGGATGTACTGCACAGTGAAGTTGTTTAAGGAAACCACCTCAGCGTACATGGTCCTATTCTGTCTCAACCTCTTTATCGGTGTGTTACTCGTGTCCTTGGTGTTCGTCCTCAACTTCTTCTCCTCACAGGAGGTAGGTAATCTACATAATGTTGGGTAGGTGAAATATAGGATGTCTTGACCATGGTTTTTGATGAATGTTAACTTTGTATATATATATTGACTTTACCTTTTACTCAAAGAAGAGCTCATCATGCAGACATTTTATTCTTTTATCTTCAGTAAGCAGCTTTTATGTATCTTAACAAATCTCTGTAGCATTTTTACCTTGAAATATTCTGTACTGGTAGAAAATTTTGAAATTTGCAAACTTTCTCTTAGATTGTTAGGATGCTACGATTTATATATGGAATGATTTTTACAGGGCATAAAGAATGTGTACGACATTGTGCGACGTGTGTTCTTGATATTTCCACCATATGTGCTGTGTGATGGCCTGATAGAGCTAACCTCTAACCAGGTTCAGGCCGAGATCCTGGCCCGCTTCAAACAGGACACTTACGTCAGTCCATTCTCCTACGACATGTTGGCATACAACTACATAGCTTTAGCTATTGCTGGATTTGCCTTTTTCATCCTCTTGTTCTTCACAGAAATAAGATGTCCATCTCGTGCACGGTAGGTTTTCTGTTTGTCTCTGTTTGAGCGATGATGATATTGCCATAGTGTGTATGTACTGCAGCTTGTCTTACTGTATCAGAAATAATTCAGTTTATTTTGTGTTCCCTAATTATGGGAATTTTAGGCATAAAGTACTGCATGACATACATACTATTCTGGTTTTGTTTAATTCCATACTTTGGATATTGTTTACAGAGTGAAGAAAAGTATTGATGATGAAATTGAGGAAAGCAATGAGGTTAGAAATGAGAAACAGCGTGTCCTGTCCCATCAAGCTCGCAATGATGCCCTTGTGGTCAGCAGTTTGTCCAAGGTAACTATGGGAATGTCTCTATTAATCTTTACAATTTTGAAATATGATTTCAGACTTCATATTTCTGCTATAAACAATGTCAGACTCCTTTAATATTTGTGAGACTTCATCAAAGATTGGTAAGGGAGGCAAAATCATCATTTTCACGGAAGCTGAAGGAAGGTTCTTTGATCATGTAAAATTGAAAGGAGAACATTTTTATTTTCAGGATAAATAGTATACTGATTGTCATATTTCTGTTGATATTTACCTAAAGTTTCATTTCAAAGGTGTATGTCCTGTTGTACAAGACTTCAGAGATGTTCATATGATATCTATCATTACAGGCCTATAAGAGAGGACGCAAAAGTTTCTTGGCCGTCAACCATCTGTCATTTGGTGTACCAAAAGGGGAGGTAAATGTTAAAGGAAAAATGCATTCTCCTACTTCTCATTTTCAATGTAGTTGTTCATTTAATATAAGTGATCTGTTTAACAGGTGCACTTTATTTTATTTAGAGGATGTAATCCATATACCTATTCTGGTGTTATACTATCCAAGCTTAACCACTATAAGTAAAAAAAAAGTGCAAGGTATTTTAATGATAAGACTTCATTTTAATGAATAGTCTGCAACTTGTGATATCGGGGACAAGATTACAACTCTGAGTAGAAATCAGGAGTCCCATAAAGATATCTGTTTCGTGTCATTGAAACCTCTCCCCACACTTAAAACCCATTCTGGGTTGAAAGCTGGTTATTGATGATGATCTGTTTTACAGTGTTTTGGCCTTCTTGGAGCGAATGGTGCAGGAAAAACGACAACGTTTAGAATGTTGACAGGTGATGTTCTCCCTAGTGAGGGTTCAGCCACTGTTAATCATAACAGGTAAGTAGTATATTTTTTATGACTGCAGGGCTAGTAATGCCTTTTGTTAAGTCTTACCTGTAACATATTGTTCTGTACTTTGCTATGTCTTACCTGTAACATATTGTTCTGTACTTTGCTATGTCTTACCTGTAACATATTGTTCTGTACTTTGTTACGTCTTACCTGTAACATATTGTTCTGTACTTTGTTACGTCTTACCTGTAACAAATTGTTCTGTACTTTGCTATGTCTTACCTGTAACATATTGTTCTGTACTTTGTTATGTCTTACCTGTAACATATTGTTCTGTACTTTGCTATGTCTTACCTGTAACATATTGTTCTGTACTTTGTTACGTCTTACCTGTAACATATTGTTCTGTACTTTGTTACGTCTTACCTGTAACAAATTGTTCTGTACTTTGTTATGTCTTACCTGTAACATATTGTTCTGTACTTTGCTATGTCTTACCTGTAACATATTGTTCTGTACTTTGTTACGTCTTACCTGTAACATATTGTTCTGTACTTTGCTATGTCTTACCTGTAACATATTGTTCTGTACTTTGCTATGTCTTACCTGTAACATATTGTTCTGTACTTTGTTACGTCTTACCTGTAACATATTGTTCTGTACTTTGTTACGTCTTACCTGTAACATATTGTTCTGTACTTTGCTATGTCTTACCTGTAACATATTGTTCTGTACTTTGCTATGTCTTACCTGTAACATATTGTTCTGTACTTTGCTATGTCTTACCTGTAACATATTGTTCTGTACTTTGTTACGTCTTACCTGTAACATATTGTTCTGTACTTTGCTATGTCTTACCTGTCAGCGATGCTATCATTGACTCCAGTAAATATGTGTTCTATGTATATGATGTTTATATGAAGCACACAGTGATGGCAGTTGATGTATTTCATCTTGTATTTTGTTCCTAAAAAAAAATAACTGAAATATCACTTTTGTTTTTCTTGCTCAAAAAAGCTTACTACAGTGTATTTTTGTCCTAAAATTGTGTGGGTGTTTTACAGGGTTACACGGGCCAACCCAGCTATCGGACAAGAAGTGGGTTATTGTCCACAGGAAGATGCTTTGGATGGGTACCTGACAGGAAGAGAACTTCTCCACTGCCATGCCAAGCTTCGGGGCATGCCTTCTGATCACAGAGATTCTGTATGTATTTTGTATGTGGGGGAGAAGGAAAGATGAAACAAGTTTTTGTAATTGGAGGGGGTGGGGGAGGGGTGTGTGGATGGGAGTCTGAACTACATCAATGTGTGTGCTTAAGCATAAGTATAAAGTCATGATGAAATGATCCCTTACTTAAATTGACTTTAGTAAAAAGTGAAGAAATTAATTGCTGAAGATGACTTAAATGTTATGATAAGTAGGATATAGTGTGACAAAGATATCAATGTCAGATTGTATACTACAGATTGTGGAGGACCTAGTGATCAGGCTGGGCCTGGACTTCGCTGACCGTACCGTTCATACATACAGTGGAGGAATGAAGAGAAAGCTGTCCATTGCTATCGCTTTACTAGGTGACCCTCAAGTGGTTTTCCTGGTAAGAGCAAAACACTTTTATCAAGTATAGTTTCAACAATACTAAAATTTATCATTAAAAGATAGAATTCAAAGTTGGAACAAAATGTTACATGTAAATAGTCTGAGTATGGAGAAAGGATTTGTTTATTTAAGCTTAAGTAGATTAGGACATATATGTTAATTGTGTGATGTTCATAAACAGGATGAGCCAACCACTGGTATGGATCCTGTTGCTAAGCGACTGGTGTGGAACTGTCTGATGACCTGTGTAAAGAATCAGCAGGCAGTGGTCCTCACATCTCACAGGTAGGACCATCCTAATGTTAGGATAAGTAGGACCATCGTAATGTTAGCTTAAGTCCGAACATTCTAATGTTAAAAATGTAGGATAAAGATTAATCACCTAATGTTAGGATTAGAAGGAACATCCTAATGTTAGGATTAGAAGGAACATCCTAATGTTAGGATTAGAAGGAACATCCTAATGTTAGGATTAGAAGGAACATCCTAATATTAGGATTAGAAGGAACATCCTAATGTTAGGATTAGAAGGAACATCCTAATATTAGGATTAGAAGGAACATCCTAATGTTAGGATTAGAAGGAACATCCTATTTCAGATTTTTTGTATAATTTTTAGATGTTAATATAAGTATGATTTAAAACATTCAGTTGTTAGAAGTAGGAACACTAGTAAAAGTTTGCCTGAAGTTTATAATGATTGTTTACAAAAAATGTTGATTTTAAGTTTGATGATGTAAATCACTGTTGTATTATTGTAGTATGGAGGAATGTGATGCCATGTGTACCAGACTTGCCATCATGGTTAATGGAGAGTTCCGTTGTCTGGGTTCTCCCCAGGTCCTAAAGAACAAGTAAGTATTCAACAGGTACAGATATAACTGATATTTTTACTGGTTTACTGGTGTGTATCTCGTGGTTAAAACCACTTTTAAATATTGTATCCTTCCTGAAATAGACCAGGTGTATCATTTCTCAATCTACTGGTTTTGCCTTCAGATACGGAGATGGATATACAGTGACACTGTTCACCAACGGGCTGTCTACCAATATGATGGCTCTGTCAACATTTACACAGTCTTCATTCCCAGGCTCCATCATCAGAGTAAGTATGACAAAGCTGTGGAAGAGATACTCTTACTTTATAGGCCCACAAGCTGCTTTCAGGTTTCACCAGTTTTGTGATATTTGTGCAACCAATGAAATTCGTGTCAAATTATATACATGTATATGATTGTTTAAATAATTATGTTTCTCACCTGCCTTCCATTCTGTAAATACAACAGTCCCTATCACTAAATATGTTATCTTGGAATCAGATTCCTTTCACACATACTTTATAACCATTATTGCTGGATGCTGACTTGTCCACACATGTAGAACTAATATTGTGTTCTTTGTGACTTGTAAGTGATAAACTTCATGGAATTATTATTGTCTTCTTTCTTCCCTCAGTTAGGAACTGGTCAGGACTAGTTTGCCTGTATATTGAAGTCCTTTTCTTGGTCACTTATATCTTTATGATGCTGATTTTTTACCTTGAAGTGTCTTTATGGGTCTAAACTTGTGGTTAATACTTTTACTGTCATTACGTCTTTAAGAAGCATAAAGTGTTGCCCAAGTTTTAGGGCTCCATGGTCAACATCAAATTGGGTTTTGTCTAACAATAATATTGATTAGCTGGAAAGAGGAGACATTCATGCTTCAGACATTTTCTTGTTCAAGTTTAACATTGTGGTTGTTAATAAAAAAATCATGATTTTTTCTGACATGTTTTGAACTTGTGTATGTCTGTTACTTACCTGGTATTGGGCTCACTTCTTCAGAAGCAGTGTGAGTCTCATCGATTCGCTCAGAGTGTAAAAGTGAGGGTAAGATTGACGTTTAGACCCCAGTGTTGTCTAGTCGTGACATGACTGTCAGGAAATTCTAAATCTTTAGTTAGAGGATACACTTGTCTTCTGGGCAATGTTTCCTCAGTTCTATTTCTCTCCTTGTCCCCATCATCAGACATTGGGATGATCTTGTGCATGGTAGATTCCTAGAGTACTTTGGTTTTGTCTGTATGTCCATCCATTTGTACATGGAAGGCCATCTGAAGTAAACTTCTTACCAAATCAACCAATTTCTATGCTGAGGTAGTTGTGCACACATATTTATTTTTCATACTTTTTCCTGGGAGTTATATATCTTATTGAGATCCATAACGAAAATTGTAGAAGTCTTTTTGCTTCCATTGTGTTATACTTGGTACACATACCACAACGTTGTACTTTACTTTGTACCACAATGTTGTGCTTTACCTTGTACCACAATGTTGTACTTTACCTTGTACCACAATGTTGTACTTTACCTTGTACCACAATGTTGTGCTTTACCTTGTACCACAATGTTGTACTTTACCTTGTACCACAATGTTGTACTTTACCTTGTACCACAATGTTGTACTTTACCTTGTACCACAATGTTGTACTTTACCTTGTACCACAATGTTGTACTTTACCTTGTACCACAATGTTGTACTTTACCTTGTTCTACAATTCATTGCTTCTTCTCAGAAAGAACTTTCTTGTTATTAAAACCCTATATATGTATTTAATTTTTGTTTTTGTTTTCATAATTTTCTTGGGAAATATTCAGCACTTCCTGTTTAATCTTATAGTTTCATACACAGGATTGAGATGGTACATCATTCTTCTATTTATAATGTTACAGTTAAATTGTGAAAACCCAACTGGGGGATAAATCTTATTTTTCATTTCTGTAATTCAGAATGTTTACTTATTTCTTCAGTGATCAGAAAATCCCTAGCTGTAAAAATGTAATAATCAGATCTAAGATGGCATTATCTTCTATTGGGCTACATGTTTATCTAATTTAACAGTAATCACTAATTTCTGTTTTTATTTGAGAGAATTTTTACATAAATGACGTTGCTTCATGTAGGTATAGAGACAACAGATTGTTTGGTACCCTACATTGTAGTACAGACAACAGATGGTTTGGTACATGACAGTTGTATCTGGTACCCTACATTGTGGTACTGACAACAGATTGTTTGGTACCCTACATTGTAGTACAGACAACAGATGGTTTGGTACCCTACATTGTGGTACTGACAACAGATTGTTTGGTACCCTACATTGTGGTACTGACAACAGATTGTTTGGTACCCTACATTGTAGTACAGACAACAGATGGTTTGGTACCCTACATTGTAGTACAGACAACAGATGGTTTGGTACCCTACATTGTAGTACAGACAACAGATTGTTTGGTACCCTACATTGTGGTACAGACAACAGATGGTTTGGTACCCTACATTGTGGTACTGACAACAGATGGTTTGGTACCCTACATTGTAGTACAGACAACAGATGGTTTGGAACCCTACATTGTAGTACAGACAACAGATGGTTTGGTACCCTACATTGTAGTGCAGACAACAGATTGTTTGGTACCCTACATTGTGGTACTGACAACAGATTGTTTGGTACCCTACATTGTAGTACAGACAACAGATGGTTTGGTACCCTACATTGTAGTACAGACAACAGATGGTTTGGTACCCTACATTGTAGTACAGACAACAGATTGTTTGGTACCCTACATTGTAGTACAGACAACAGATGGTTTGGTACCCTACATTGTAGTATAGACAACAGATTGTTTGGTACATGACAGTTGTATCTGGTACCCTACATTGTAGTACAGACAACAGATTGTTTGGTACATGACAGTTGTATCTGGTACCCTACATTGTAGTACAGACAACAGATTGTTTGGTACATGACAGTTGTATCTGGTACCCTACATTGTAGTACAGACAACAGATTGTTTGGTACATGACAGTTGTATCTGGTACCCTACATTGTAGTACAGACAACAGATTGTTTGGTACATGACAGTTGTATCTGGTACCCTACATTGTAGTACTGACAACAGATTGTTTGGTACCCTACATTGTAGTACAGACAACAGATTGTTTGGTACCCTACATTGTAGTACTGACAACAGATGGTTTGGTACCCTACATTGTAGTACAGACAACAGATGGTTTGGTACCCTACATTGTAGTACAGACAACAGATGGTTTGGTACCCTACATTGTAGTACAGACAACAGATTGTTTGGTACCCTACATTGTAGTACTGACAACAGATGGTTTGGTACCCTACATTGTAGTACAGACAACAGATTGTTTGGTACATGACAGTTGTATCTGGTACCCTACATTGTAGTACTGACAACAGATTGTTTGGTACCCTACATTGTAGTACAGACAACAGATTGTTTGGTACATGACAGTTGTATCTGGTACCCTACATTGTAGTACTGACAACAGATTGTTTGGTACCCTACATTGTAGTACTGACAACAAATTGTTTGGTACCCTACATTGTAGTACAGCAACAGATTGTTTGGTACCCTACATTGTAGTACAGACAACAGATGGTTTGGTACCCTACATTGTAGTACAGACAACAGATGGTTTGGTACATGACAGTTGTATCTGGTACCCTACATTGTAGTACAGACAACAGATGGTTTGGTACCCTACATTGTAGTACAGACAACAGATGGTTTGGTACCCTACATTGTAGTACAGACAACAGATTGTTTGATACATGACAGTTGTATCTGGTACCCTACATTGTAGTACAGACAACAGATTGTTTGGTACCCTACATTGTAGTACAGACAACAGATGGTTTGGTACCCTACATTGTAGTACAGACAACAGATGGTTTGGTACCCTACATTGTAGTACAGACAACAGATGGTTTGGTACCCTACATTGTAGTACAGACAACAGATTGTTTGGTACATGACATTTGTATCTGGTACCCTACATTGTAGTATAGACAACAGATTGTTTGGTACATGACAGTTGTATCTGGTACCCTACATTGTAGTACAGACAACAGATTGTTTGGTACATGACAGTTGTATCTGGTACCCATACATTGTTTGGTACATGACAGTTGTATCTGGTAGTACAACAGATTGTTTGGTACATGACAGTTGTATCTGGTACCCTACATTGTAGTACAGACAACAGATTGTTTGGTACATGACAGTTGTATCTGGTACCCTACATTGTAGTACAGACAACAGATTGTTTGGTACATGACAGTTGTATCTGGTACCCTACATTGTAGTACAGACAACAGATTGTTTGGTACATGACAGTTGTATCTGGTACCCTACATTGTAGTACAGACAACAGATTGTTTGGTACATGACAGTTGTATCTGGTACCCTACATTGTAGTACAGACAACAGATATTGTTTGGTACATGACAGTTGTATCTGGTACCCTACATTGTAGTACAGACAACAGATTGTTTGGTACATGACAGTTGTATCTGGTACCCTACATTGTAGTACAGACAACAGATGGTTTGGTACCCTACATTGTAGTACAGACAACAGATTGTTTGGTACATGACAGTTGTATCTGGTACCCTACATTGTAGTACAGACAACAGATTGTTTGGTACATGACAGTTGTATCTGGTACCCTACATTGTAGTACAGACAACAGATTGTTTGGTACCCTACATTGTAGTACAGACAACAGATTGTTTGGTACCCTACATTGTAGTACTGACAACAGATGGTTTGGTACCCTACATTGTAGTACAGACAACAGATGGTTTGGTACATGACAGTTGTATCTGGTACCCTACATTGTAGTACAGACAACAGATTGTTTGGTACATGACAGTTGTATCTGGTACCCTACATTGTAGTACTGACAACAGATTGTTTGGTACCCTACATTGTAGTACTGACAACAGATGGTTTGGTACCCTACATTGTAGTACAGACAACAGATTGTTTGGTACATGACAGTTGTATCTGGTACCCTACATTGTAGTACAGACAACAGATTGTTTGGTACATGACAGTTGTATCTGGTACCCTACATTGTAGTACAGACAACAGATTGTTTGGTACATGACAGTTGTATCTGGTACCCTACATTGTAGTACAGACAACAGATTGTTTGGTACCCTACATTGTAGTACAGACAACAGATTGTTTGGTACATGACAGTTGTATCTGGTACCCTACATTGTAGTACTGACAACAGATTGTTTGGTACCCTACATTGTAGTACTGACAACAGATGGTTTGGTACCCTACATTGTAGTACAGACAACAGATTGTTTGGTACATGACAGTTGTATCTGGTACCCTACATTGTAGTACAGACAACAGATTGTTTGGTACATGACAGTTGTATCTGGTACCCTACATTGTAGTACAGACAACAGATTGTTTGGTACATGACAGTTGTATCTGGTACCCTACATTGTAGTACAGACAACAGATTGTTTGGTACCCTACATTGTAGTACAGACAACAGATTGTTTGGTACCCTACATTGTAGTACTGACAACAGATGGTTTGGTACCCTACATTGTAGTACAGACAACAGATGGTTTGGTACATGACAGTTGTATCTGGTACCCTACATTGTAGTACAGACAACAGATTGTTTGGTACATGACAGTTGTATCTGGTACCCTACATTGTAGTACAGACAACAGATTGTTTGGTACCCTACATTGTAGTACAGACAACAGATTGTTTGGTACCCTACATTGTAGTACTGACAACAGATGGTTTGGTACCCTACATTGTAGTACAGACAACAGATGGTTTGGTACATGACAGTTGTATCTGGTACCCTACATTATAGTACTGACAACAGATTGTTTGGTACCCTACATTGTAGTACAGACAACAGATTGTTTGGTACCCTACATTGTAGTACTGACAACAGATGGTTTGGTACCCTACATTGTAGTATAGACAACAGATGGTTTGGTATCCTACATTGTAGTACTGACAACAGATTGTTTGGTAACCTACATTGTAGTACAGACAACAGATGGTTTGGTACATGACAGTTGTATCTGGTACCCTACATTGTAGTACTGACAACAGATGGTTTGGTACCCTACATTGTAGTATAGACAACAGATTGTTTGTTACCCTACATTGTAGTACAGACAACAGATTGTTTGGTACATGACCGTTGTATCTGGTTTCCATCAATGAAGGTTTGTTCCTGTGAAAACCATGCACATTACACACAGTATGTTTATACAAGTTTCTTTTGCCAGGATCAACACCATGGCATCCTCCAGCTCGACATTCCTCATTCTAATCTGTCTGTGGCCAATATCCTGGAGCGCCTTGAAGCCGCTAAGGACACCTACAGCATTACTCACTACTCTGTTTCACAGACTACGCTTGACAATGTAAGTAGTTTAACTGGTGAAATAGACATGCCTCTAGGAATTGGTGTTTCTTTATATAACTGAGTTTTGTTTTGTTCAGTTTCTGTCGTATCCATAAGATAGAATATACCGTAACTAAATGCTCCTATATCATTTTTACTCAGACAGATGTTTATCTTTTTACCTCCAGTTATTATACGATCAGCTGATTAATCATATTTCATAAACATTAAGATTCTTGGATTTGAATTTTTAAAATTATTTATTATAGGTTTTCATGAGTTTTGTGAGAGAGCAGAATGATGGTCTGTCACCCGAGTACGACAATTACTCCAGTAGTAGCGGTGAATCTGACAGTGTGGCTACCGGAGAACCCTTCAGCAATCCAGGCTACAACAACTTTGCCTACTCCAACGCTGGATTTACTGGCAGTAAGTTGGATGGATTGCATGTCCAGCGTGAACCTGCTGGAGTTTTCCTACCAAAGGAATCGTCTATATACCCAGATTTGTCTACAAAACTGTAATGATGATTACAGCTCTCAAATCATTTTCAATGCAAACAAAATTGGAAACAATTGTTTTTTAAATGTCACCATTCACCATATGTAAATAGAAAATGTAGCCAAATATGCAAGGGACATGAATAGGAGCAGTGTTTATTTTCAAATGTAGAATTCTCAAAAAACTAGAAGCAACATTTAGATCCTGTCTGTGTTCAGGACATTGTCTTTTACAGACGGGTTGAGTTGGTGATTAAGTTGACGACTATATATTATGTGATATTGATCATTTTTTGTTTATTCTTCCTCATCACGAGACACAGTGACTGTGTGATGTGTCTATATATACTGTGATATGAACACGGGTCACACCATGTGGAGTTCTGTGTACTACTTCAAGGTTTTTATTTAGGGTTTGGTATTGGTGGTAAACACCATACTCGGCCATGAAAAGCTATGACGCCTTTCATATGCAAGTCCCTGTACAGTTTTAATTCTTAATTTGGTGTGATGATTTTGCCAAGAATCATCATCAATAATGACCAAGTGCAGAAAATAGATTTCTCTTAGTGATCACAATATCTTGATAGTGAAGAAAAAAAAAAAAAGGAAGGGAGTTGGATTACATGTATTTAATAGGATTCACAAAGAGATGGTTTGTTCTGTAAATCTTGAATTCCTCTAATTATCATATTCAGTGTTTTTGTTACAGTGTGCTGTGTTAATAAACTAGCATCTCAATAGTAGCATAATTAATCTTCCAGCTTTTGGGTTACAATCACTCCTATGACATAGCTATTATACCAAAGCTTCACATTGCGAGCCAAATACATTTCAGAGTAGATCAGACTGTTATAATTGTATATTGAGTTGAAATGTCTTGCGTGTGAAATGTTTCCGTTTTTTTTATTCTCAATAAATCATTTAGAGATTTAGGCAAGAGTTATCTTCAAGTTATGTTCACTTCGGTTCATCTGTTCACCAAATGAAAATTTATTAAAATTATAAAGATGATTTGAAGGCCTCTAATGGTAAAATTTTCAGAATTTGACAAGTATTAACAAGCACTCTACATGTTTCAGAATCAAATGGATATTTCATACAACCTGAGTTGTATTCTCGGTAAGCCATCTACGATGAGTTTGTTGCATTTTTACCTTATGAAGTGCATGTTTTACTCACTTTTTTGATGGTCTCTCAGACTTCTAATTTTCAATGGCAGAACTAACAAATGTTTGCCTGGATATAACCCTAATTCATTGTTTGGTTTTAGTCTTAAAAAGTATTAACTATCATAAACCATTTCATTGGTGTGATAAAATCAGGCTTTCTATTGTGAGCAACTGTGATGAAAATCTTACTTTTGGCCAAGATATAGAAACTTACAACTTTGAGAAAGGAATGCAAATGAGGTTGATCATGACCACCAAATCATGGACTGACAACCATTATCATATCATCACTCAGCCCTGATCAATATACGAGAAGTTAACTAGAGACTGAGGTCTGATCAGTCAGGCATGAAGCTTACATGGACTTTTATGTACCTTTTATATACACGTAGTGGTCACAGAGCATGCGATATGAATCCTGACCAAGTTTTGATCAACATAAATGCATTGAAGATTTATGAACTGAATTTGTGTGCATGTTTTTTTTTTTTTTTTTTCTATTTTCTGTTTTTTATCTACATATTTTTTTTACATTTTGGTTTATAAGTTTTCTTAACTACTATACTTAATGTTAGGTAAACAGCTTGGCAAAAGGTCCTGAATTTCTCAATAGTCAGACAGCTTTGTGAGAGGTACTGAGTCTGTCAACAGCCAAACAGCATGGTAAGAGGTTCTGAGTTTGTTAATGGTCACAGATCTTAATAAGATGTCTTGACTTTGTCCATTGTCAGTGTAAATGATGATCCTGAAATTGTCAGTTGTCACACAGCTTCATGAGAGGTCCTGATTTTGTCCATCGTCACTCAGCTTCATGAGAGGTCCTGATTTTGTCCATCGTCACTCAGCTTCATGAGAGGTCCTGATTTTGTCCATCGTCACTCAGCTTCATGAGAGGTCCTGATTTTGTCCATCGTCACTCAGCTTCATGAGAGGTCCTGATTTTGTCCATTGTCACACAACTTAAAGAGAGGACCTGAGTTTTTCAGTTATCACACAACTTAAATAGAGGTCCTGAGTTTGACAGTTGTCAAACAGCTTGGCAAGAAGTCCAGAGATTGTCAATTGAGCAGCTGCTGGATGAGAGGTCTTTAGTCTTTCAGTTGACACATGGCCTGGCAAGAAATCCTGGATTTAAATACAATTGTCTGTGTTGCTGTAATAAAAATACATTATCATTGTGGTGTCATTATTTATGAGACCTGTATTTTCTGTGAGGAGCTTATCATAATTTGCTTTCAAATTAAAAGTGGCAATTAATAATTAATATATGTAAACAGAAAATGATTTAACAAGTGAATATATGTGGATTTACCGGGTAATGCTGTATGCTTTAATTTTATTTTGCGCATGACAAGTTGACAAGTTTTTGATCATCTGGAATTTAGGTGCTTTTACTGGCTTATTGGATGCTGTAGTAATAATTTTTTTGTTTTTTTTTTTTATTTGTTTTTTTTTCTTCAATTTTTTATTTTGAATTTACATTATAACTTACAAAAGGAATCAATTCACACTATCAGCTATTTAGTGATTTACATTTTTATAGTGGTTCACATAAACACAATGAATGCTGCAGTAAAAAGTGATTTTTGTAAGCATGTTGATAAAAAATGAACATTACAAATATATTAAGTTACATGAAACAAGATGAACTGATCTTCCATTAGCATGATAAAGTTTTGTCAAAATTGGCAAAATATATAATGGATGTTGTCTTGTTGTTCCTTATATGTCTGTTGTTTGTGATTTATATTTCGCTGTCATTGAGTATTTAATACATTAAAAGAGCCTTTGATGAAACCCTGGTGTTAAATACAATCATTCGCAAATAATTCTAAATGGTAACACCATATTTTTTGTGTAGGTGAAGCTTCTAAAAGTCACTGTTAGCTTCAATCTTACAGATTTCCATCATAATTATGTGTTATACATACCATTTACAACAGAGATTTTGTGTTTGTATTGTTGGATGTCTCTAACACATTGCATTTCTTCTCAGGTTTATAAAGATTGACATTTTCATATTTCTTAGTCAGAAAAAGTTTCAAAAAGAAAAGAACAAGGAGGGAAAAAGGTCCTTTCAGTGTAAATAAAATTAAATATAATGCATTCCAACATCTTAGGAAGACTGAACATGTTTATCTGAAAAATTTCTAAAATGATGCATTCTTTTTTTGAAGAAAATCCAGTGAGTTTTACCCACCAGTAAGAAGATGATTTGATCAATTCCAATTTCCAAAGTAAAGTAGACTTGGCAGAGAAACATTTAATTGTTCAAGGACTTCAAGGATTGTCATGTTAATGAAATGCAGAGAATTATTTAGTTATACAAGGAAGGTATGCTGCTTGTGTTTGCCTTACAGATACAACGAAATACCATTTAGTTATACATGGACTTCGAAATGATATTTCAACAAAATAGAGAGAAAAAGTGATTTACTTATGCCAGGATAATATATCAAGTTGAGATCTAGCAATATTGACACTACAATGGAGAATGTTTAATTTGTACTTGGATGTTGATTAGTGCTAGCTGTATATACTTAACATGTAGGTGTGATAGGTAGCAGTATGCTTATGCTAGCTGTATATACTTACATGTAGGTGTGATAGGTAGCAGTATACTTATGCTAGCTGTATATACTAACATGTAGGTGTGGTAGGTAGCAGTATACTTATGCTAGCTGTATATACTTACATGTAGGTGTGATAGGTAGCAGTATACTTATGCTAGCTGTATATACTTACATGTAGGTGTGATAGGTAGCAGTATACTTATGCTAGCTGTATATACTTACATGTAGGTGTGATAGGTAGCAGTATACTTATGCTAGCTGTATATACTAACATGTAGGTGTGGTAGGTAGCAGTATACTTATGCTAGCTGTATATACTTACATGTAGGTGTGATAGGTAGCAGTATACTTATGCTAGCTGTATATACTAACATGTAGGTGTGATAGGTAGCAGTATACTTGTGCTAGCTGTATATACTTACATGTAGGTGTGATAGGTAGCAGTATACTTGTGCTAGCTGTATATACTTACATGTAGGTGTGATAGGTAGCAGTATACTTATGCTAGCTGTATATACTAACATGTAGGTGTGGTAGGTAGCAGTATACTTATGCTAGCTGTATATACTAACATGTAGGTGTGATAGGTAGCAGTATACTTGTGCTAGCTGTATATACTTACATGTAGGTGTGATAGGTAGCAGTATACTTATGCTAGCTGTATATACTTACATGTAGGTGTGATAGGTAGCAGTATACTTATGCTAGCTGTATATACTAACATGTAGGTGTGGTAGGTAGCAGTATACTTATGCTAGCTGTATATACTTACATGTAGGTGTGGTAGGTAGCAGTATACGTATGCTAGCTGTATATACTAACATGTAGGTGTGATAGGTAGCAGTATACTTGTGCTAGCTGTATATACTTACATGTAGGTGTGATAGGTAGCAGTATACTTATGCTAGCTGTATATACTTACATGTAGGTGTGATAGGTAGCAGTATACTTATGCTAGCTATATATACTTAATGTAGATGTGATAGGTAGCAAGATACTTGCATCAACTTTCCACTCAGCTGTTTATTCAAGTTTACGCGTCAGTCGCCAAAGCCATCATTTTAGTGAAATAATTATATATTATACTGTTTTTCTCGCCATATATTGTTAAACATGTAGTGATAAAGTATATTAATATGACAATAGTGTATTGTTTGTCAGGAGTGTTCTACATCTTCAAGGAACATAACCATGTTATATAGTTTTGTCCTACATTAACAGGTAATCAATGCAAATTTTTTGTAAATATTTTATGTAAGTTTACATGTTTATTTTTTAGTGTATAAAGTTACTGTTAACTTTCTAGAGACAATACAATGCTATCTCATAGCTTTTTGATATCAATGCAAAACGCTAGCATTTGCCTTCAGTTTGGATGTGCTGATTTCGGTTCACAAGACCTGAAGGCTTACATTTTACATGTTTTTGTAGATACAAGTTGTCTGAAGATATATTTACTTTATGTTCTATGTTTCGTTGTTTACAAATTGGAATTCTATTTATAGTATTATTGCAATAGCTGTAGTTAGTATTATCTAATAGTTTTACTGAAAGCATGTTGTCATTGTACAATTGTTTAGGAAATCAAGGTGCATATATTTTACAGGGTAGCCAATGTACAATTGTTTGAGGAGGGTACAGATATTTTACAGGGCAATAGTGTTAATGTAATGGGCAATAATGTAATTGTACTGTTGTCAAGGGAGACTGGTACAGATATTTCACAAGGCTGTAAATGTACTGTTGTCAAGGGAGACTGGTACAGATACTTCACAAGGCTGTAAATGTACTGTTGTCAAGGGAGACTGGTACAGATATTTCACAGGGATCTTATGATATTACATAGACTTACTCCTCAATCTCAGCAAGTCTTCATCTCTATCAGTTTGTAATTAAGGATTTATAGAGAGCCCTGTAATCCTCTTCCATGTCACTTGGTCTCTGTCCTACAGACTTTCTGTGTGATGGACTACCTTTGTATTTTACAATGTCGAGAGTGCTGATACTTTACATCCTGTGGTTTAAGTTTTGACAATGTATGTTACTGTTATTTTCTTTGTATATTTTCTCTAGTTGTTCCGTTCTTTCTTTACTGATTTCTTGTGCTGGCCACAAAATATAATAACTTACACAAAGATGTAATATTTTGTACCTTGTATACCAAGGATAATGGTTCATAGATTGTATCGTATATAGACCTGATCATCAAACATATTACTGTGTTAGTAAATCCTACTATTTTTATAACCTGTAGATCAGACTTGCTTTTGTAATAAAATATTATCCAAGATAATATACAAGTGTTGGTTTCTTTTCACCCACCATAATCATATGGTTTCTTTTCACCCACCATAATCATATGGTTTCTTTTCACCCACCATAATCATATGGTTTCTTTTCACCCACCATAATCATATGGTTTCTTTTTACCCACCAAAATCATATGGTTTCTGTTTTTATGGTTTGCTGTTCAAATCGCCTTTCATTTGTAGTCTTTCTGTACTTTAAACAATTCTTATCACTATTTTTAAGGGTGTAAGACATGATTTTCATCATATGTCTGAACATATTCAGATATGAAGATGCAGCAATTTCCACAGAATATTAAGAGGTAAGAGTATTTGCAACAAGTAAACAAAAAGACATTTGCATTATTGTCTGATAACAAATCTTGATATGTTTTTAGCAAAACGAAATCTATTTGCCCCAAAACACTTCTTTGTCAAATCTTACTATTGGGGTTTTACACCCAAGGGTCTGTGTCAGTCTTACTATTGGGGTTTTACACCCAAGAGTGTGTCAATCTTACTATTGGGGTTTTACACCCGAGGGTCTGCGTCAGTCTTACTATTGGGGTTTTACACCCTAGGGTCTGCGTCAGTCTTACTATTGGGGTTTTACACCCGAGGGTCTGCGTCAGTCTTACTATTGGGGTTTTACACCCGAGGGTCTGCGTCAGTCTTACTATTGGGGTTTTACACCCGAGGGTCTGCGTCAGTCTTACTATTGGGGTTTTACACCCGAGGGTCTGCGTCAGTCTTACTATTGGGGTTTTACACCCGAGGGTCTGCGTCAGTCACTATTGGGGTTTTACTCTGCATCAATCTTACTATTGGGGTTTTACACCGAGGGTCTGCGTCAATCTTACTATTGGGGTTTTACACCCGAGGGTCTGCGTCAATCTTACTATTGAGGTTTTACACCCGAGGGTCTGCGTCAATCTTACTATTGGGGTTTTACACCCGAGGGTCTGCGTCAATCTTACTATTGGGGTTTTACACCCTAGGTATGCGTCAATCTTACTATTGGGGTTTTACACCCGAGGGTCTGCGTCAATCTTACTATTGAGGTTTTACACCCGAGGGTCTGCGTCAATCTTACTATTGGGGTTTTACACCCGAGGGTCTGCGTCAATCTTACTATTGGGGTTTTACACCCGAGGGTCTGTGTCAATCTTACTATTGGGGTTTTACACCCGAGGGTCTGTTAGAGAACTATATTATGTATCCTTCTCAATACTTGTTTAACTCCAATCAGAAGGACAACAATTCTTAGCATTTTGCGATTTTAACAAACGGGTGTGTCCTGGTTGTAATTTATACAAATTTTGAAACATTAACACAATTTGATTCTTATTTGCCTAATTCTTAATTGTGAAATGCAATCCTGTACAGTGAATTTGAACCTTGTGGTTTTGGTTACCAGATGTGTGTGTTGATGAAAAGAAGAGGTAAATGTTAGTAATGTTGAGTCCCTGAACATGTCGGAGGTCTGTGAATAACAATTCCCTAACTGTGAAAAATGTCATATTTGTAATAAGAGTTTCAGAAGTGAATAAATTTATTCCATGTCAACAAGATTATATTTATTGACCGGTGATTTGGCAAAGGGGGGAAGCTCCAACATTTTCCAAGATAATTTACAAACCTCAGGCCACCCTAGAACTTACATTGCGTTACTGACAATAAGGGAAAGAATGGAACATATTTCATAGTGCAAAAAATATGGTTCATAAGAACAATGTCATGTGAATTGTTATCAGAACAAGTTATATACAGCCAGGGACGTATATACAGCGTACAGGCAGGAATAGACTTACAAAATTCTAACTGTTATACAATGTGAGAACAAGTTAAATACAGCGTACAGGCAGGAATAGACTTACAAAATTCTAACTGTTATACAATGTGAGAACAAGTTATATACAGCGTACAGGCAGGAATAGACTTACACAATTTTAACTATTATACAATGTGAGAACAAGTTATATACAGCGTACAGGCAGGAATAGACTTACAAAATTCTAACAGTTATACAATGTGAGAACAAGTTATATACAGCGTACAGGCAGGAATAGACTTACAAAATTCTAACTATTATACAATGTGAGAACATGTGATGTACAAAAGTGAACGACGGTAAATAAAGTACAAGGCTACATAGTCCAGGCTGTGTTGTGTTCTCGTTCACTAACTATATTTTATTTAACGTCGATCATTTTTGTTTATGCCCACCAATGTTTGATCTCTATTTGCTCTGAGAAAGTAGGATATTTTCTTTTCTCTCCCCTTCTCTGTTTGTTACTCTTAATGATCAGAAATTTAACATTCCCTTGCAGAAACAGTAATTATAATCTTTATCTGCTTAATCCTAAATGTTCGCCTGGAAACCATTTTTTATTCTGATCCGTCCCAAAATCAAACAGACACGAATAGGGAACACACATGTAAAACTGAGAGGTCTATTCAATACTTCTTATACAATAGGGATAGCAATCTTTACCAGGCGCCTTTATGCCCTTTTTTATTTTTCTGATCAGACCCAAAATCAAATGGGCACAACTAGGGGACAAGGGGAACTCACATCTGAAATTTAAGAAAGATCCATCAAGTACTTCTAAAGAAAAAGCGATATCAAACAATATTGCAGCAAAGGCAAAAACCGATCCGAAAGTAATTTGGAACTACATTAAGTCAAAATCAACAATTAAATCTGATATCGGAGATTTATATTCAGATCCAGAGGACAATAAATCAGTCAAAATAACAACAGACAAAGGCAAAGCAAATATCCTCTGTAATTTTTTTAGCAGCGTTTTTGTAAAAGAGCATGAAGGCAACTCACCAGAACTATGTCAAAAACCCATCAAAGAAGAAATGTCTAGACTCGAGGTGAAGGAGGAAACTGTTTTTCAGCTATTGAGGAAACTCAAACCAGAAAAATCACCTGGACTAGACGGTCTCCACCCTACGTACCTAAAAAATATCGCATCATCAATATCGGGTGCACTGACAGAGATTTTCAATCAAACGCTATCCGAGGGAACACTGCCAGACGAATGGAAAAAAGCTCAGGTCTGTGCAATATACAAGGAGGGGGACAAATGCATGGCAGGAAATTATAGACCAGTCAGTCTAACCTCTGTTCCATGTAAAGTTTTGGAAACAATTGTAAGGGAACATATCACAAACTTCATGAGAGAAAACAACTACTTCTCACCAAAACAGTACGGTTTTATATCTGGAAGATCAACCTGTCTCCAACTATTAGAGGTGATGGACAAGTGGACAGAAGCCCTAGACAATGGTAAAATTATTGACTGTGTCTACATGGATTATCAAAAGGCTTTCGATACTGTACCACATAATAGATTAATCAGCAAACTTAAGTCGTATAACTTCTCGAAACAATGAACCTATTGGATATCATCATTCCTGACAAACAGAAGCCATAAAGTCTCAGTAAATGGGGAAGACTCTGAATGGGGCAATGTAACTTCAGGTATTCCACAAGGATCAGTCTTAAGGCCAATACTATTCGTAATATTCATAAATGATCAGCCAGATGTTGTCAAATCGGATATGTACCTCTTTGCAGACGACACAAAGATATTTAAAATAATAGAGAACAAAAACCACTGCATTGAGCTACAGGAAGACCTGGATATTATGTGTAACTGGAGTGATACATGGTTACTTAGAATGCATCCGGATAAATGTAAGCATATGAGAATTGGAAAGGAAACATCAAAACACCAAGAACACCTTGATCATGCGGCATACAACCTCAAAGGAAGAAACCTTCAAACAACAACTAAGGAAAAAGATATTGGAGTGACCATAGACTCAGATCTTTCATTCGATAAACATATATGCCAAAAAGTTAAGAAAGCAAACTCTATGTTTGCTCTCCTAAGAAGAACATTTCAATTTATGGACCTAAAATCATTTGTACCTCTATATAAATGTCTAGTACGGTCTCAGCTGGATTATGCTAGTCCAGTGTGGTCCCCATATCTATGTAAACATGTAGATATGATAGAGGGAGTCCAACGCAGAGCGACAAAATGTCTTCCAGGCATGAAGGATCTGGACTATATGGATAGACTGAAAAAAATAAAATTGCCAACATTGGCCTTTCGGAGGGTAAGGGGAGATATGATTGAGCTATACAAGATAGTAAACGGTGTATACAACAAGGAATGCTGCAATGCCTTATCATTATGGGAGGAAGCATCACAAAGACATAGTTGCAGAGGAAACTCAAAGAAGATATATCCCAAGAGAGCAACATGCACATTACGGAAAAACAATTTCTATATAAGAACTGTCAAGATATGGAACAGTCTACCAGAATCAATAGTATCCGCAACCAGTATAAATGCTTTCAAAAACGCCATAGATAATCACTGGAATAATCAAGAACTAGTATATAACTACAAAGCCGAAATAACATAATTTATATATGGAAAACAGAACTTTAAATTTTATTTTGAATGCTTTATTTTATACTCAGAAGTTACATATGTTTTTTTTTTTTTTTTTGGTATGGAGCCTGGTATAGAGGACTACAACAGTCCTGCGCCGGAATAAACTTAACTTAACTTAACTTAAACTTCATTGAAAAAATCCAAGATGGCCGCTTATCGGCCACTTTGTTTTTCTGATCAGTCCCAAAATTACATTGGCACAACTAGAGGGGAACCTACATACTTTTCAAAAAATAGCGATAACAAACTTTATTTAAAAATAATAAAAAAAACCAAGATGTCTGCCTGTTGGCCATTTTTTTTTTTTTTTTTTGCATGCCCAAAAATCAAATGGGCACAACAAGGGACCAAGGGGAATCTACATATGCAATTTGAGAAAGATCCATCCAGAACCTCTCAAGAAATAGCGATCACAAAAAAATGATTACGGACGGACGGACCACGGACACAGAGCGGTTTGAATAACCCACCATCTGATGATCTGAGTATCAGGATACGTTTATGATAGGGATACAAATAATATTATGATATGACACCGGGTACGGCGCCGGTGCGCCGGTGGTGGTGGTGTCATAATATGTAATTACTGTTGTTGCCAATATGATAGCCCGTTATCATTTTCATCTTCTTGACAATAGATAGCTCTCTGAAACCTACCCCATCTCGCTGATACAAAACTAACACACTTGCCAGAGATCAGTTCAAGTGCAAAAGGGTCACATTGAGCTTTGGCGGCAAATTAACCACCAGTCGTTGCTGTTTCGCGTACCACTCCATTTGTCTCACAGCTAACGACGGTACCGCGAGGGAAATGTCATATTACCAAAACATGCACAAAATGGAACATAAGATTTATGTATCAATTCCCGCGAATTTTTCACGCTGAAGTCCTTCTAGTTCTAAACAGGTGGCTCTATTTATGTGTAAAATCAAAGCATTAGGCCTTCGCATTGGTACCAATAACATTTAAAATAAATAAAATAGGGGATGAAATTGTACTGTTATAGTCAGTGTTAGCTTCAGTAGCCTTGCCAGCCGTGGAGAACTACAATTTTATTGATTAATCGACAGAAGAAAAGAGATATCCATCATGTGCTTCCAGCGAAATGTTACATGGTGTTGTAGGGGAATCTCCGAACTTCAGTTTTGAAGCTTCGTGAGAGGAAATCGCTACTTAAGTGAGAAAAATCTATACCGATGTCTGTGGAAGAATATATCATACAGTGAAGAAGTAGGAAACCATGTGTTTTAGAGGGCGCTATAACGGGACATACTGAGCACTTTTCTGTCTGAATGTTTCCTCGGAATGCCAACGATGTGACAAGGAAGACAACTCTGACATACCAGTTTCTTCGCGGAACTCTTTACATGATGGAGGTAAAACATAACATTCATCGTCAACACGGAGAATCACACGAAGTGACAGCTGAAACGAAGAGTGTTATGTAGCTGATTGTACGGATAAGCTTTGTGTTGAAGTAGATGTAATTATCTGATGGTTTACATTGAAGCTTTGTTACGTAAGTCACCCTTAGAATAAAGGAAACATTTTGAGCTAGTGATTCTCGATAACTTGAATCCTGGTCCGACCAGGGGAATCCAGCTCCAGTAACCGGACCTCATTCCGACAGAGTTAACAACTGATATATACTGTCATTAGCCTTGACTTACACGCTGGACTCCAAATATATTAGAGACAGAAATATCTAAATACAGGAAACTAGGGCTATTGTCGTAAACTGTCAAAATGATAATCAATACTGAGAACCCGGACGTTAGACAGGAACTAGACATTTCTAGTCAATACGACAGACCAACGCACTTCTGAGTAGTTTAGGACATATTTGTAGTCTCAGTGTCTAAAACGCTATTAAATGCATGTTTATGAAATGCGAAAATATTTTTTGTATTTATTTTAATTTCATTTTTATCAGGTCAGAGACACTTTAATTCTCAGTTTAGACAAGTTGGGGAAATTCTATCTGTCAAGACAGCTTGGGAGCATCTTTTTTACACTCGCCTGAATCCAATGTTAAGAACCGAGAAAAACAAATGTCCCAACAAGAATCAAACCAGGTCTCAAGCATGATAATTTACATGCTCCATCTGCTGAGTAACAGATATTCATTCTAAATATTATGTACAAGCTACACCAATTTTCTGTGCAAGTAAGTCTGGGAAGTTATTTCCAACCTTGGTTGATACAGGTTGAGAGCAGCCTGTTTGCGTCCTTAATTTCAACTTAAGAAAAACTCAGTTATAGTTTATACTAGATGGAAATTCCTCCCAGCTTTGACAAAGACAAAAAGATATTGACCAATCAATTTTATAATTGTTAATGTTGACAGATAAATCTGTTAATTGTTGATGTTAATATATCCATCTGTTTATTGTTAATGTTGACTGATCCATCTGTTTATTGTTAATGTTGACTGTTCAATCTGTTAATTATCAATGTTGGCAGATAAATCTGTTATTTGTTAATGTTGACTGATCCATCTGTTTATTGTTAATGTTGACTTTTCAATCTGTTAATTATTAATGTTGGTAGATAAATCTGTTAATTGTTAATGTTGACTGTTCAATCTGTTTATTGTTAATGTTGACTGTTCAATCTGTTAATTATTAATGTTGGTAGATAAATCTGTTAATTGTTAATGTTGACTGTTCAATCTGTTTATTGTTAATGTTGACTGTTCAATCTGTTAATTATTAATGTTGGTAGATAAATCTGTTAATTGTTAATGTTGACTGTTCAATCTGTTAATTATTAATGTTGGTAGATAAATCTGTTAATTGTTAATGTTGACTGTTCAATCTGTTAATTATTAATGTTGACTGTTCAATCTGTTAATTATTAATGTTGGCAGATAAATCTGTTAATTGTTAATGTTGACTGTTCTATCTGTTTATTGTTAATGTTGACTGTTCAATCTGTTAATTATTAATGTTGACTGATCCATCTGTTTATTGTTAATGTTGACTGTTCTATCTGTTTATTGTTAATGTTGACTGTTCAATCTGTTAATTATTAATGTTGACTGATCCATCTGTTTATTGTTAATGTTGACTGTTCAATCTGTTTATTGTTAATGTTGACTTTTCAATCTGTTAATTGTTAATGTTGGTAGATAAATCTGTTAATTGTTAATGTTGACTGTTCTATCTGTTTATTATTAATGTTGGTAGATAAATCTGTTAATTGTTAATGTTGACTGTTCAATCTGTTTATTATTAATGTTGGTAGATAAATCTGTTAATTGTTAATGTTGACTGTTCAATCTGATTATTGTTAATGTTGACTGTTCAATCTGTTAATTGTTAATGTTGACTGATCCATCTGTTTATTGTTAATGTTGACTTTTCAATCTGTTAATTATTAATGTTGGCAGATAAATCTGTTAATTGTTAATGTTGACTTTTCAATCTGTTAATTATTAATGTTGGCAGATAAATCTGTTAATTGTTAATGTTGACTGTTCAATCTGATTATTGTTAATGTTGACTGTTCAATCTGTTAATTGTTAATGTTGACTGATCCATCTGTTTATTGTTAATGTTGACTTTTCAATCTGTTAATTATTAATGTTGGTAGATAAATCTGTTAATTGTTAATGTTGACTGTTCAATCTGTTTATTGTTAATGTTGACTGTTCAATCTGTTAATTATTAATGTTGGTAGATAAATCTGTTAATTGTTAATGTTGACTGTTCAATCTGTTTATTGTTAATATTGACTGTTCAATCTGTTAATTATTAATGTTGGTAGATAAATCTGTTAATTGTTAATGTTGACTGTTCAATCTGTTTATTGTTAATGTTGACTGTTCAATCTGTTAATTATTAATGTTGGTAGATAAATCTGTTAATTGTTAATGTTGACTGTTCAATCTGTTAATTATTAATGTTGGTAGATAAATCTGTTAATTGTTAATGTTGACTGTTCAATCTGTTAATTATTAATGTTGACTGTTCAATCTGTTAATTATTAATGTTGACTGTTCAATCTGTTAATTATTAATGTTGACTGTTCAATCTGTTAATTATTAATGTTGACTTTTCAATCTGTTAATTATTAATGTTGACTGTTCAATCTGTTTATTGTTAATGTTGACTGTTCAATCTGTTTATTGTTAATGTTGGCAGATAAATCTGTTAATTGTTAATGTTGACTGTTCAATCTGTTAATTATTAATGTTGGTAGATAAATCTGTTAATTGTTAATGTTGACTGTTCAATCTGTTAATTATTAATGTTGACTGTTCAATCTGTTAATTATTAATGTTGGCAGATAAATCTGTTAATTGTTAATGTTGACTGATCCATCTGTTTATTGTTAATGTTGACTTTTCAATCTGTTAATTATTAATGATGGCAGATAAATCTGTTAATTGTTAATGTTGACTGTTCAATCTGATTATTGTTAATGTTGACTGTTCAATCTGTTAATTATTAATGTTGGCAGATAAATCTGTTAATTGTTAATGTTGACTGTTCAATCTGTTAATTGTTAATGTTGACTGTTCAATCTGTTAATTATTAATGTTGGCAGATAAATCTGTTAATTGTTAATGTTGACTGTTCAATCTGTTAATTATTAATGTTGACTGTTCAATCTGTTAATTGTTAATGTTGACTGTTCAATCTGTTAATTGTTAATGTTGACTGTTCAATCTGTTAATTATTAATGTTGGCAGATAAATCTGTTAATTGTTAATGTTGACTGATCCATCTGTTTATTGTTAATGTTGACTTTTCAATCTGTTTATTGTTAATGTTGACTTTTCAATCTGTTAATTATTAATGTTGGCAGATAAATCTGTTAATTGTTAATGTTGACTGATCCATCTGTTTATTGTTAATGTTGACTTTTCAATCTGTTAATTATTAATGTTGGCAGATAAATCTGTTAATTGTTAATGTTGACTGTTCAATCTGATTATTGTTAATGTTGACTGTTCAATCTGTTAATTATTAATGTTGGCAGATAAATCTGTTAATTGTTAATGTTGACTGTTCAATCTGTTTATTATTAATGTTGGCAGATAAATCTGTTAATTGTTAATGTTGACTGTTCAATCTGTTAATTATTAATGTTGGCAGATAAATCTGTTAATTGTTAATGTTGACTGTTCAATCTGTTAATTATTAATGTTGGCAGATAAATCTGTTAATTGTTAATGTTGACTGTTCAATCTGATTATTGTTAATGTTGACTGTTCAATCTGTTAATTATTAATGTTGGCAGATAAATCTGTTAATTGTTAATGTTGACTGTTCAATCTGTTTATTATTAATGTTGGCAGATAAATCTGTTAATTGTTAATGTTGACTGTTCAATCTGATTATTGTTAATGTTGACTGTTCAATCTGTTAATTATTAATGTTGACTGTTCAATCTGTTAATTATTAATGTTGACTGTTCAATCTGTTAATTGTTAATGTTGACTGTTCAATCTGTTAATTGTTAATGTTGACTGTTCAATCTGATTATTGTTAATGTTGACTGTTCAATCTGTTAATTATTAATGTTGGCAGATAAATCTGTTAATTGTTAATGTTGACTGTTCAATCTGTTTATTATTAATGTTGGCAGATAAATCTGTTTATTGTTAATGTTGACTGTTCAATCTGTTAATTATTAATGTTGGCAGATAAATCTGTTAATTGTTAATGTTGACTGTTCAATCTGATTATTGTTAATGTTGACTGTTCAATCTGTTAATTATTAATGTTGACTGTTCAATCTGTTAATTATTAATGTTGGCAGATAAATCTGTTAATTGTTAATGTTGACTGTTCAATCTGATTATTGTTAATGTTGACTGTTCAATCTGTTAATTATTAATGTTGACTGTTCAATCTGTTAATTATTAATGTTGACTGTTCAATCTGTTAATTATTAATGTTGACTGTTCAATCTGTTAATTATTAATGTTGACTGTTCAATCTGTTAATTGTTAATGTTGACTGTTCAATCTGTTAATTATTAATGTTGACTGTTCAATCTGTTAATTATTAATGTTGGCAGATAAATCTGTTAATTGTTAATGTTGACTGTTCAATCTGTTAATTATTAATGTTGACTGTTCAATCTGTTTATTGTTAATGTTGACTGTTCAATCTGTTAATTATTAATGTTGGCAGATAAATCTGTTAATTGTTAATGTTGACTGTTCAATCTGTTAATTATTAATGTTGACTGTTCAATCTGATTATTGTTAATGTTGACTGTTCAATCTGTTAATTATTAATGTTGGCAGATAAATCTGTTAATTGTTAATGTTGACTGTTCAATCTGTTAATTATTAATGTTGACTGTTCAATCTGATTATTGTTAATGTTGACTGTTCAATCTGTTAATTATTAATGTTGACTGTTCAATCTGTTTATTGTTAATGTTGACTGTTCAATCTGTTAATTATTAATGTTGACTGTTCAATCTGTTAATTATTAATGTTGACTGTTCAATCTGTTTATTGTTAATGTTGACTGTTCAATCTGTTAATTATTAATGTTGGCAGATAAATCTGTTAATTGTTAATGTTGACTGTTCAATCTGTTAATTATTAATGTTGACTGTTCAATCTGATTATTGTTAATGTTGACTGTTCAATCTGTTAATTATTAATGTTGGCAGATAAATCTGTTAATTGTTAATGTTGACTGTTCAATCTGTTAATTATTAATGTTGGTAGATAAATCTGTTAATTGTTAATGTTGACTGTTCAATCTGTTAATTATTAATGTTGGTAGATAAATCTGTTAATTGTTAATGTTGACTGATCCATCTGTTAATTGTTAATGTTGACTTTTCAATCTGTTAATTATTAATGTTGGTAGATAAATCTGTTAATTGTTAATGTTGACTGTTCAATCTGTTAATTATTAATGTTGGTAGATAAATCTGTTAATTGTTAATGTTGACTGATCCATCTGTTAATTGTTAATGTTGACTTTTCAATCTGTTAATTATTAATGTTGGTAGATAAATCTGTTAATTGTTAATGTTGACTGTTCAATCTGTTAATTATTAATGTTGGTAGATAAATCTGTTAATTGTTAATGTTGACTGATCCATCTGTTAATTGTTAATGTTGACTTTTCAATCTGTTAATTATTAATGTTGGTAGATAAATCTGTTAATTGTTAATGTTGACTGTTCAATCTGTTAATTATTAATGTTGGTAGATAAATCTGTTAATTGTTAATGTTGACTGATCCATCTGTTTATTGTTAATGTTGACTGTTCAATCTGTTAATTATTAATGTTGGTAGATAAATCTGTTAATTGTTAATGTTGACTGTTCAATCTGTTAATTATTAATGTTGGTAGATAAATCTGTTAATTGTTAATGTTGACTGATCCATCTGTTAATTGTTAATGTTGACTTTTCAATCTGTTAATTATTAATGTTGGTAGATAAATCTGTTAATTGTTAATGTTGACTGATCCATCTGTTAATTGTTAATGTTGACTTTTCAATCTGTTAATTATTAATGTTGGTAGATAAATCTGTTAATTGTTAATGTTGACTGTTCAATCTGTTAATTATTAATGTTGGTAGATAAATCTGTTAATTGTTAATGTTGACTGATCCATCTGTTTATTGTTAATGTTGACTGTTCAATCTGTTAATTATTAATGTTGGTAGATAAATCTGTTAATTGTTAATGTTGACTGTTCAATCTGATTATTGTTAATGTTGACTGTTCAATCTGTTAATTATTAATGTTGGCAGATAAATCTGTTTAATTTTAATATTGACCACTCAGTTAAAGTCTGTGATATTGATAAGGATATTGATTTGATGTAGACAATTTTAGACAAAAATGTGGTTCTCTTGTAAATTACTTTTATTATATAGCTATTTTTTTTCCTTACAGATGCAGACTACCGGTAGTTACTTGTGCTTGGACTTAATGGCATATATTGTATAAATGGGATATACAGCTTAGACTCTTCAACACCTACTTCTTACCTAAGTATGGGTGACTCATCAGATGGAGGTGCTGTTTCTGTTTCTTCGACTCTTCCTGTGAACTTTGGATCAAATCTACATCTTCCTTTATTCTCGTCCATGAGAATTCCAAGTATGGATTCTCTTGTGAGCAATCATGGTTCTACTGTGTCAGAAGATGAATACAGATTTGTAGAAGTCTCACACCCAGCACAGCTTCTCGCAGGACTGAATAATCTCCGAAAAAGTCGAATATTCTGTGACATCACAATATGTGTAGATGGCAGAGAGTTCTATTGTCACAAAGTTATCTTATCTTCATTCAGTCCATATTTTAAAGCCATGTTTACTGGAAGTATGGCTGAAAGTTTTCAAGATAAAATTTCCATTAATTGTATGGAAGCTTCCATGGTAGAACTTCTTTTGGACTTTGCTTATACATCAGAAATACTGATCAACAAATCAAATGTCCAGTCTCTCTTGTCAGCGGCTAACCTTTTTGAAATTCTAACAGTGAAGGAAGCATGCTGCCATTACCTTGAACAAAACATGGAGGAATCCAATTGTATTGGTATCCATTGTTTTGCTGAAATCCATGCCTGTGATGACCTACAACAGAAATCTCGTGAATATTTGTTACAAAACTTTGTCACAGTTTGGCAACAAGAAGAATTTGTCCAAATTAACCTGTCCAAACTGGTAGAAATTCTGTCAGATGATGACCTTGTGTGTGAAAGTGAAGAGGTTATATTTGAAGCAGCAGCAAGTTGGTTGAATCATGACATTGAGAAACGTAAGGATGACTTTGATAATGTGCTTGAGTGTGTAAGACTCCCACTGACAAACCCTTATTTCATTCATGACTTTGTTGAAAGCAACACAACTATCATGCAGTCTGGGTCATGTAGGCGTTTGGTAGAAGAGGCCAAGACCTTTCAGTTGTTGAAGGACAGACAATGTCAGTTCCACAATCCACGGACACGGTTAAGAAAAAGTGCAGGTACAGAGTTATAGTTAATTGATATTAATGTATGTGTGATTGTAAATTCTTAAACTGAAACAATTTTGATTCTTATGAAGGTACATTTGTTTTTGGTTGAAGTTCATGATAAAATTGAAATGTACAGGAATATCGAAAGAAAAGAGACAAGGTTACTGAGTATCCACATTAGGCTGTTGATTGCCATTTTAAGAAATGAAAATCATAGTCCATTGATGATGAGATACTTGATGATACTGATAACATTCCTGAGATTATGTCAACTGGTGTCGTGTTCAGTAATCAAATTACTCGAATACAAATGAATTCCATGCTCTGATCATCTCATATGGTCAGGGAATTATGTTTTGAGTGTGTTCACATTTGTAAATTTCAATTTCATAACTGTGTTACGAAACACATTAATTTGTAAGACACAAATTATATTGCTGACAAGAGGAGATCCTAATGACCAGGTCACCAGTGATGTCATTGTGTCATGTGACCTTTCAACTTTCTAAAATCTTGATCGAGTGAGATTGGCTAATTTTAAGGCCTGAAAATAAGTAACAGAGTTTACCTGGACACCAGCAAGCACCAACTTTGCTTTTCAAACAGCTCCATAAAATGTTTATGTTGTGTTTCAGAAAGTTCAAAATTGTATCCTGTGTCTTTTAGTGTTTGATATGGATAATGCTAACTATGCTCTACTTGTTTTCACATGACTTTTCTCCCTTGTAAACTCCAGTGATGACAGAAGTGATTGTAGCTGTTGGAGGAGAAGATGACAAGGTGGTCCTTCGTAGTGTGGAAACTCTGGATCCTAGTACTTTCCAATGGAAACCTTTAGCTTGTCTTCCATTTGCAGTAAGCAAGCATGGATTAGTGGCATCAGGTAAGGGCACGGATACTTAACAAGCATGGATTAGTGGCATCAGGTAAGGGAACAGATACTTAACAAGCATGGACTAGTGGCACAAGTTAAGGTACAGATACTTAACAATCATGGATTAGTGGCATCAGGTAAGGGTACAGATACTTAGCAATCATGGATTAGTGGCATCAGGTAAGGGTACAGATACTTAACAGTCATGGATTAGTGTCATCAGGTAAGGGTACAGATACTTAACAGTCATGGATTAGTGTCATCAGGTAAGGGTACAGATACTTAACAAGCATGGATTAGTGGCATCAGGTAAGGGTACAGATACTTAACAAGCATGGATTAGTGGCATCAGGTGAAGGAATGAATATGTAACAAGCACGGATTAGTGGCATCACATTTGGGAATGAATATTTTACAAGCATGGACTAGCAGCCTTAGATCAAAATAAGGATACTGTATATTAATGCAGTTCATGCTTATCAAATTAAATGAATTTCAATTTGTCTTTGATCATTTTTAGGGTCCACCTGTCTGTACCTTGCTGGAGGAGAGTACCCTGATGGTTCTGCCAGTAAAAGTGTGTGGCGATATGATTCTTGTATAGACTGCTGGGAGGAGCTGTCTCCGATGCAAGTTGCCAGATCTGAGTTAGGTATGGTGATTTACCTACTGAGTACTGGTTATCTCTGATAGCAGTGCTCGTGTTGATGAGAGAGAGTTAAGGAGTGGGGGGGGATTAGATAGAGAAAGGGAGTGAGCGGAGGAGAGCGTTTAGACTCTTAGGTGTGTAAACTATTGGACAGGTTTCTTATATAACTAATGATGTGGTTATCTATGTGTCTGATACCAGATCTACAGATTAGATGTTTTTATTCTAACTTCTATTGGCTTTACTAAAGTGTTATATAGTTTAGTGAACTATTGAGTGACTCCTATTAAATCTTTAGGTGTAGCAATGCTAGACTCTTACATGTATGCTGTTGGGGGATGGGATGGCTCAAGTCGACTGGATAGTGTGGAGCAGTACAGTGTGACCACCAATAACTGGACATTTGTGGCTGCAATGAAGATAGCACTAACCAGTCCAGCAGTGGCGGCCATGGAGGGATGTCTATATGTTACTGGTGAGTTCTACAATCTATATGTTACTGGTGAGTTCTACAATTTAACTGAGTTAAACAATCTAACTTTGTACTAAGTAAATCAAAGATTTCCACATTTGTTTTTTCTACATTCATCCTATCAATTTATAAGTGAGTCAAGGAACCATACTGTTGTATTAGGTCGAGGACTTAATACCTAACTGTTGTATCAGGTCGAGGACTTGATACCTAACTGTTGTATCAGGTCGAGGACTTAATACCTAACTGTTGTATCAGGTCGAGGACTTAATACCTAACTGTTGTATCAGGGCGAGGACTTAATACCTAACTGTTGTATCAGGTCGAGGACTTAATACCTAACTGTTGTATCAGGTCGAGGACTTAATACCTAACTGTTGTATCAGGTCGAGGATGTATAACCTTACTTTTATGTATCAGGTTGATGTTGATTGTGGTTATGCAGTAAACTCTTTTTATCAAATCAAAATTTTCCTACTACATAAAGACATTATATTGATGTATAGGTGGCGCTGTGCTCGAGGATGGGGATGGGATAGAGCTGGTTCAGTGTTACAACCCACGCACAGATAAATGGACTGACAAGAGCTCCATGTTGATTCCTCGCTCAGGATCTGGGGCCTGTGTCCTGAATGGCTTGCTGTATATTATAGGTAGGATAATACAACCCTTCCAAGCTATCAACAAACCAGTATACTGATAATTTACTTCTAAACTACATTTATACAAGTATTATGCTGTACATGTACCTACAACACATTATTAAGGGCAAGTAGTCATATGCTGAGATCATACAAAACAAGGACAGTGCAGATACTTTGGAGATTTGTTCAGCTGTTAAAACATTAAATAAAGGTTTGATTCCATATGTCAACCCAACTTTCATTGGCTGAAGACAGATATTACTTTTATAAAATGATGACTATATAGTACTGTATGTGTTAACTTGTCCTATTTTACTATAGGAGGTTGGCATGCATCAACGGAAAATACCAGTAAGGTTGAGTGTTACAACCCTAGGACAGATCAGTGGGCCCAAAAGAGCCCCCTCCTAGAACGCCGCTATCGTCCAGGGGTTGCCGTTGTATCTGGCAAAGTCTATGTTCTGGGAGGAGAGGAAGGCTGGGACAGGTCAGTATAGTATCTTTATATCGTACAAGTAACTCAGAGTTACTCAGATTTTTAAACCATTTTATACCTTTGAAATATAAGTTTGACATTCTAAGCATTGTATTTTGATGAAATATATACTAGGAAAACTTTTCAGTCAATACGCTCTTAAATATAACATTTATTGCATGCAGATATCATGACACCATAGAGTGCTACGACCCTGAAACAGATAGCTGGGAGATTGTAGGCGAAATGCAGTCCAGTCGCAGCTGGCTCAGCTGTGTGGCTCTTGTACTACATAAAGATGTTTTAAATCGAGACAGACACACCCACCATTGTACTGTGTGACATACCCACTGATACGGAATGTTATTGTTACAGTCTGGAATGATGGATTATATAAAATCAGACTTCACGAAAATCATATTAAACTGTGTAAGTTATGTAATGTTCTAATGATTAGAATCTCATTTAATCTTGTTTTTCAGCATTAGCACCTTATTTTCATTTTCCAAACTGGACATAGCTGATATAATACATGTAAGTGCTTGTCTGATTTAGCTAATGCTGTGTATACTCGCTTGATAATGAAGACATATCTGATTTAGTCTGACAGCATAGATCCATTGGTGATGTATCTGATACATGTAATCTTATTGTTTTACATGTCGTGTATTCCTATGTAGGACTAGTGGGTGAAATTTATCTGTGAAATGAGTTTTGCTCATATCAATTAATACATTGCTCAGATTGATTAAATGGCATGAAAATAAAGGCACAATTTTATGTTTCACTTTGTGTGTAGTCATGTTCCTCAGTTTTAGTGCTGTGTGCCTCTGGGAGTTGTCTTTCTTGGTTTGCCTTTTCTTTCGTCTAAGTCATTGGTCCTTTCTATTTAACAAAGAAATAATATGGTAGTGACAAAAATAAAAGGGTGTTATAATTTCTCCTCAATTCATTCTTGTTTATCTTTAGGGAGTTATCTTGTAGCTGTTATAAGAGACTTGTGCACAATCTAGAACATTTGTATAACTGAATTACATCTTAAAGTACATAAAAAAAAGTGGTAATTTAATTCTTTCAAAATTTCTAAATCCTGTCTAATTATGGATTAATTAAATTCATATATTATTGTTGAGAGCTGCTTAAACCACTTTTTATTGAGAATCAAGTAAAAAAAAGATCAGGTGATGACAAAGTTTGTGTTCTATACTTCAATGTTATAAATGTATTTTTCATTACATGAAGACATGAATGTACTGTTTAATGTTAGATATATTTAACCGGTTGTTTATGAGATGTGTTAATGCCCTTTGCTATATGTTACATTGATGTAGTGTTTTATATACATTTACTGGTACTAGTAATATATTCATTCTTGGCTTGATGCTAGAATTTATGTTCATCATGACATCAAATGATCTTACATTGTGTGATATTGATTTAGCCTAGTAATGTTGTTCTAGTTCAGTCCCCTTCTAGCCAAAGTTGACCAGATATGATGACTTGGTGCAGACCAGAGTTACAGTTGCCTAATTCACTGTAGCCTTATTCAGACCAGTTCTACAGTATCCTTATTCACTGTAGCCTTATTCAGACCAGTTCTACAGTATCCTTATTCACTGTAGCCTAATTCAGACCAGTTCTACAGTATCCTTATTCACTGTAGCCTTATTCAGACCAGTTCTACAGTATCCTTATTCACTGTAGCCTTATTCAGACCAGTTCTACAGTATCCTTATTCACTGTAGCCTTATTCAGACCAGTTCTACAGTATCCTTATTCACTGTAGCCTTTTTCAGGCCAGTTCTACAGTATCCTTATTCACTGTAGCCTACATAATTCAAACAAGTGCTATGCACTAACAGTATTTCTCTAGTTTGGTCCAGTTCATTGGGCATGTTCAGGCAGCAAGATGTTGGTTACTGAATAGTTGAATGTCATTATGTGATAAAATGTCAAATGTTTGTTGTTGTTTGTTATTTATTAGCTGTGGTTTCAGACCACTCGCAACAATTGTTATAATGAAGAGATATGACTGATTATTCATCAACAAGATGGCATAGTCAGTTGGAACGAATAACAGGCAAAGCTGATATAAATTCTCACCATCAATGTAGACAGTTTTGAAATGATAATGTAGCACAGAACAATAAGATGAAACAAGACTAAGGGAAATAACTCATGATGGCAACAACTCATCAAACACTTTGTGTATATTTACTTATACAATTACATGTACTAGTACATTAATTACAACATCTATACACACCATCAGAGACAGATATTAGCAGACTCTGACCAAACTAAATGTACATTATCACACAGGTCACTGCTATCAACAACCGTTATACTTGATGTAATCTATGCATTACATACATACACTAATGAAACGTGCTAATGTAACCATATAGAATGACAAGCGAAGTACATGTACGAGCAGTCATGTCTAACTAGAGTCTTGCATGCAATTGAAAATCAATTTTTGTTTTTAATTTGGTTATAAATCCTGTTTTTTTTTTAATGTCTTTTTCATTATAAAATTATGTGTTTTTCCAATAAAACATGAACATCCTCAAGAACTTGTTTTCGGGATCTTAACACACCACAGGAGATCAATACACACCACAGGAGATCAATACACACCACATGAGATCAATACACACCACAGGAGACTAATATAAACCATAGGAGATCAATAGATACACACCACAGGAGACTGATATAAACCATAGGAGATCAATAGATACACACCACAGGAGACTGATATAAACCATTAGAGATCAATAGATACACACCACAGGAGACTGATATAAACCATTAGAGATCAATAGATACACACCACAGGAGACTGATATAAACCATTAGAGATCAATAGATACACACCACAGGAGATCAATACACACCACATGATATCTATACACACCACAGGAGACTGATATAAACCATTGGAGATCAATAGATACACACCACAGGAGACTGATATAAACCATTGGAGATCAATAGATACACACCACAGGAGATCAATACACACCACATGATATCTATACACACCACAGGAGATCAATACACACCACATGATATCTATACACACCACAGGAGGCTGATATAAACCATTGGAGATCAATAGATACACACCACAGGAGACTGATATAAACCATTGGAGATCAATAGATACACACCACAGGAGACTGATATAAACCATTGGAGATCAATAGATACACACCACAGGAGACTGATATAAACCATTGGAGATCAATAGATACACACCACATGAGATCAATACACACCACATGAGATCAATACACACCACATGAAATCAATACACACCACATGAGATCAATACACACCACATGAGATCAATACACACCACGGGAGATCAATACACACCACATGAGATCAATACACACCACGGGAGATCAATACACACCACATGAGATCAATACACACCACAGGAGAGATTTGAATTCACAATACCACAGAAGTGAGTCACAGTAACGATTGAAATCATTTTTCATTGTTTTTCATGTCATTGACTTTATTTTTTTAGATAGCTGTTCTGTTGATATGATCATGACTGCTTTTACTGCTATATCCAGTACAGGTACGTAGTAAATTGATATAGTGTGGGGAAACTCACACAAGGACAACTATTGACAAAAAGATGTGTGTGATACTGCTGATAGGCTGTTAACTCACTGTCTGCAGGAAGCTGATTAACATCTCCGTTCACGTCAATAACACCAAATATACGGATAACGTTGAGTATCCGCAAGATAATTGACTCGATGTCAAAAAGTAATAAGAATGAGATAGTTCCTCATGTCTACAAATGATCTTAAAAGGGAAATACTTCTGGTATTTCCTTTCAAAAACTGAAATGATTGCACACATCAATAAAATGTGTCTATCACTTACATAACCAAAGTCAAGCACTTCGTAATTATTGAAAAACAGAAGCTAAACGAAGACACCATACACCAATAAGAATTTGCTGTGAGATTTTTACTTTCTCTCACACTGACAAGATAATGGCAGAGGTCTAGACCAATGTTTGGACAAGATTGGTTTTATGTTTCCGTCCGACAGATAGCTGCGATCATGACCGTTTCCTTCATCTATTTTATTGCTTCTTTATGTTATCTAGTTACTGGCTTTTGTGTGACAGACATATTGCCTTATTTTAACATGCTCTATATGTTGGTGAATTTTTGTTTGACCTCGTGATTCTGTCATTGTTGAGTCTGGCTATCATGAATGAAGTGAAGTAACCAAACCCAGTTCTCTGTAATCTACAAGCATGTTATAGAATCTTCACCGGACACAAGTTTTGTCACTACAGACAGGTTATAGAAACTCCCACCGGACACAAGTTTTGTCACTACAGACAGGTTATAGAAACTCCCACCGGACACAAGTTTTGTCACTACAGACAGGTTATAGAAACTCCCACAGGACACAAGTTTTGTCACTACAGACAGGTTATAGAAACTCCCACAGGACACCAGTTTGGTCACTAGAGGCAGGTTATAGAATCTCCCGCAGGACACTAGTTTGGTCACTAAAGACAGGTTATATAATCTCCCACAGGACACCAGTTTGGTCACTAGAGACAGGTTATAGAATCTCCCACAGGACACCAGTTTGGTTACTAGAGACAGGTTATATAATCTCCCACAGGACACCAGTTTGGTCACTAGAGACAGGTTACATAATCTCCCATAGGACACCAGTTTGGTTACTAGAGACAGGTTATATCATCTCCCACAGGACACCAGTTTGGTCACTAGAGACAGGTTACATAATCTCCCACAGGACACCAGTTTGGTCACTAGAGACAGGTTAAAGAATCTCCCACAGGATACCAGTTTGGTCACTAAAGACAGGTTATATAATCTCCCACAGGACACCAGTTTGGTCACTAAAGACAGGTTATATAATCTCCCACAGGATACCAGTTTGGTCACTAAAGACAGGTTATAGAATCTCCCACAGGACACCAGTTTGGTCACTAAAGACAGGTTATATAATCTCCCACAGGATACCAGTTTGGTCACTAAAGACAGGTTATATAATCTCCCACAGGACACCAGTTTGGTCACTAAAGACAGGTTATATAATCTCCCACAGGATACCAGTTTGGTCACTAAAGACAGGTTATAGAATCTCCCACAGGACACTAGTTTGGTCACTAGAGACAGGTTACATAATCTCCCACAGGATACCAGTTTGGTCACTAAAGACAGGTTATAGAATCTCCCACAGGACACAAGTTTTGTCACTACAGACAGGTTATAGAAACTCCCACAGGACACCAGTTTGGTCACTAGAGGCAGGTTATAGAATCTCCCGCAGGACACTAGTTTGGTCACTAAAGACAGGTTATATAATCTCCCACAGGACACCAGTTTGGTCACTAGAGACAGGTTATAGAATCTCCCACAGGACACCAGTTTGGTTACTAGAGACAGGTTATATAATCTCCCACAGGACACCAGTTTGGTCACTAGAGACAGGTTACATAATCTCCCATAGGACACCAGTTTGGTTACTAGAGACAGGTTATATCATCTCCCACAGGACACCAGTTTGGTCACTAGAGACAGGTTACATAATCTCCCACAGGACACCAGTTTGGTCACTAGAGACAGGTTAAAGAATCTCCCACAGGATACCAGTTTGGTCACTAAAGACAGGTTATATAATCTCCCACAGGACACCAGTTTGGTCACTAAAGACAGGTTATATAATCTCCCACAGGATACCAGTTTGGTCACTAAAGACAGGTTATAGAATCTCCCACAGGACACCAGTTTGGTCACTAAAGACAGGTTATATAATCTCCCACAGGATACCAGTTTGGTCACTAAAGACAGGTTATATAATCTCCCACAGGACACCAGTTTGGTCACTAAAGACAGGTTATATAATCTCCCACAGGATACCAGTTTGGTCACTAAAGACAGGTTATAGAATCTCCCACAGGACACTAGTTTGGTCACTAGAGACAGGTTACATAATCTCCCACAGGATACCAGTTTGGTCACTAAAGACAGGTTATAGAATCTCCCACAGGACACAAGTTTTGTCACTAAAGACAGGTTATAGAAACTCCCACAGGACACCAGTTTGGTCACTAGAGGCAGGTTATAGAATCTCCCGCAGGACACTAGTTTGGTCACTAAAGACAGGTTATATAATCTCCCACAGGACACCAGTTTGGTCACTAGAGACAGGTTATAGAATCTCCCACAGGACACCAGTTTGGTTACTAGAGACAGGTTATATAATCTCCCACAGGACACCAGTTTGGTCACTAGAGACAGGTTACATAATCTCCCATAGGACACCAGTTTGGTTACTAGAGACAGGTTATATCATCTCCCACAGGACACCAGTTTGGTCACTAGAGACAGGTTACATAATCTCCCACAGGACACCAGTTTGGTCACTAGAGACAGGTTAAAGAATCTCCCACAGGATACCAGTTTGGTCACTAAAGACAGGTTATATAATCTCCCACAGGACACCAGTTTGGTCACTAAAGACAGGTTATATAATCTCCCACAGGATACCAGTTTGGTCACTAAAGACAGGTTATAGAATCTCCCACAGGACACCAGTTTGGTCACTAAAGACAGGTTATATAATCTCCCACAGGATACCAGTTTGGTCACTAAAGACAGGTTATATAATCTCCCACAGGACACCAGTTTGGTCACTAAAGACAGGTTATATAATCTCCCACAGGATACCAGTTTGGTCACTAAAGACAGGTTATAGAATCTCCCACAGGACACTAGTTTGGTCACTAGAGACAGGTTACATAATCTCCCACAGGATACCAGTTTGGTCACTAAAGACAGGTTATAGAATCTCCCACAGGACACTAGTTTGGTCACTAGAGACAGGTTACATAATCTCCCACAGGACACAAGTTAAGTTATTTGGGCTCATTCTCCTTATCATTGATCACTATCAGTCTGTCTGGAATCATCATTCTGTCCTCTGGAAAAGAATTATACAGTTTGACCCCTGAAGGTCACCAGACTGATGTTCATCTTGTTTTGCCCCTACATGACTAATGGTGTCAAGCTATACAGCTATAATGTTTCTTTACAGGATTGTTATTATCTGTTTTAGAACATATTACATTTATAAATATATTTTCCTGTTAGTGATGAACCTCTTGTAGGTCTTGGGCTTTTTGATTTATCATGTAATAGTTGGACAAAGTCTACCTCTGCTAACTTTCATCACAATATATTCTATTTATTTTGAACATTTCATTCAGGTTGGTAATGCTAATAGAATAGAAGTTCTTATAACACAACCAGTAGAAGATTTCGATGACAACATTGTCACCTTCAACAGACAAATGACCAATATGAAGCGCACTAGCACTGACGTACATAGTGTACAAGATAGTAAAGAATCAACCATTTTGGTTTTTTTTTAATGTGACGAAATAGAAAATGGATTAAACAAAATATAAACACAATAGGGTAACAATCAACCTTTTATTCATACTAATCATAGCATGTCAAATTTACATCATAGTCTTGATTATGTAGATTTCAGGTGTATCCCTAGGTCCTAGAGATAACTTCAATAAATCCTTCATTTACTTATCTTTATTAACCTCATCATGTCAAAGTGACGAGTCTATATGTGTGACCTCTGTCATACATCAATGTGTCCAGCCTGTATGTGTGACCTCTGTCATACATCCATGTGTCCAGTCTATATGTGTGACCTCTGTCATACATCCATGTGTCCAGCCTGTACGTGTGACCTCTGTCATACATCCATGTGTCCAGTCTATATGTGTGACCTCTGTCATACATCCATGTGTCCAGCCTGTACGTGTGACCTCTGTCATACATCCATGTGTCCAGTCTATATGTGTGACCTCTGTCATACATCCATGTGTCCAGCCTGTATGTGTGACCTCTGTCATACATCCATGTGTCCAGTCTATATGTGTGACCTCTGTCATACATCCATGTGTCCAGTCTATATGTGTGACCTCTGTCATACATCCATGTGTCCAGCCTGTATGTGTGACCTCTGTCATACATCCATGTGTCCAGTCTATATGTGTGACCTCTGTCATACATTCAACTGTCCAGACTATATACATCATAGATATGTGACCTCTGTCATACATCCATGTGTCCAGTCTATATGTGTGACCTCTGTCATACATCCATGTGTCCAGCCTGTATGTGTGACCTCTGTCATACATCCATGTGTCCAGTCTATATGTGTGACCTCTGTCATACATTCAACTGTCCAGACTATATACATCATAGATATGTGACCTCTGTCATACATCCATGTGTCCAGTCTATATGTGTGACCTCTGTCATACATTCAACTGTCCAGACTATATACATCATAGATATGTGACCTCTGTCATACATCCATGTGTCCAGTCTATATGTGTGACCTCTGTCATACATCCATGTGTCCAGCCTGTATGTGTGACCTCTGTCATACATCCATGTGTCCAGTCTATATGTGTGACCTCTGTCATACATTCAACTGTCCAGACTATATACATCATAGATATGTGACCTCTGTCATGCATCAATGTGTCCAGTCTATATGTGTGACCTCTGTCATACATCCATGTGTCCAGTCTATATGTGTGACCTCTGTCATACATCCATGTGTCCAGCCTGTATGTGTGACCTCTGTCATACATCCATGTGTCCAGTCTATATGTGTGACCTCTGTCATACATTCAACTGTCCAGACTATATACATCATAGATATGTGACCTCTGTCATGCATCCATGTGTCCAGTCTATATGTGTGACCTCTGTCATACATCCATGTGTCCAGTCTATATGTGTGACCTCTGTCATACATTCAACTGTCCAGACTATATACATCATAGATATGTGACCTCTGTCATGCATCCATGTGTCCAGTCTATATGTGTGACCTCTGCCATACATCCATGTGTCCAGTCTATATGTGTGACCTCTGTCATACATTCAACTGTCCAGACTATATACATCATAGATATGTGACCTCTGTCATACATCCATGTGTCCAGTCTATATGTGTGACCTCTGTCATACATTCAACTGTCCAGACTATATACATCATAGATATGTGACCTCTGTCATGCATCCATGTGTCCAGTCTATATGTGTGACCTCTGTCATACATTCAACTGTCCAGACTATATACATTATAGATATGTGACCTCTGTCATGCATCCAGGTGTCCAGTCTATATGTGTGACCTCTGTCATACATCCATGTGTCCAGTCTATATGTGTGACCTCTGTCATACATCCATGTGTCCAGTCTATATGTGTGACCTCTGTCATACATTCAACTGTCCAGACTATATACATCATAGATATGTGACCTCTGTCATACATCCATGTGTCCAGTCTATATGTGTGACCTCTGTCATACATCCATGTGTCCAGTCTATATGTGTGACCTCTGTCATACATCCATGTGTCCAGTCTATATGTGTGACCTCTGTCATACATTCAACTGTCCAGACTATATGTGTGACCTCTGTCATACATTCAACTGTCCAGACTATATACATCATAGATATGTGACCTCTGTCATGCATCCAGGTGTCCAGTCTATATGTGTGACCTCTGTCATACATCCATGTGTCCAGTCTATATGTGTGACCTCTGTCATACATCCATGTGTCCAGTCTATATGTGTGACCTCTGTCATACATTCAACTGTCCAGACTATATACATCATAGATATGTGACCTCTGTCATACATCCATGTGTCCAGTCTATATGTGTGACCTCTGTCATACATCCATGTGTCCAGTCTATATGTGTGACCTCTGTCATACATCCATGTGTCCAGTCTATATGTGTGACCTCTGTCATACATTCAACTGTCCAGACTATATACATCATAGATATGTGACCTCTGTCATGCATCCAGGTGCCCAGTCTGTATTGCTAACTTTGTTATACATTCCTCTGTCCAAGTGTCGTGACTATATATACATTATAGATATGTGACCTCTGTCATGCGTCCAGGTGCCCAGTCTGTAGCAGGGTGTACTTGGTAATAAATTGCTGATTGAGATCACCCTCCAGACATTTCACTGCTCTGAAGTGGATCGTGCCTGCCTCCTCTGGTTTGCCCTGTGGGTGGGTCTGTTCTAGTTGAATGTAGTTAATCCAAAGGTCTGTAAACAAAACAAGACATAATTATTATTTTATAATTATTGGGTATTAAACAAAAGTTTACCACAAAACAATAGAGGAACTTTTAGTCTATAATTAATCTCAATATGTTTTTGATATTGTTGTGACTTTGACAGCCTCTTAATAACCTGCTGTGTTGCATTATTCAACCTTTTAAGCCTTAAACAAGCTCAGAGAAATTACTGGGACACTTTCTAATGATATGTGTTGAAATATGAAGCTAAGGTGATAGAAAACACAATTTGCATTCAATAAAGAATTTACATATCATACATATAGACCATAGCTAAGTATATAGCAGGCAAAAAATAGGCCAAGTATCAAAGTGGTAGGTTTTGATTAAGTATACAAAACCTCTATCTGTATATAGAGGCAGGTGGGCTTATTACAACAAATATGTCAATACATTACATTCAACTTTGAAAACCAAGTATAAAGCTGTCTGTGAACTTTGAAAGCAGAGGATAAAGTTATTGTAATCATCTGACCTCTTTCAATTAACTATTTATCATGTTCTACAAGCACTGGAGCACCATTTGTCTGTGCTTGACAAGAGCTGACATGTAGTTAGTATCAATCTGTACATGAGAACAATACATCACATTCAATGCAGTACAAAACAAATACAAACTATAAAGCTGTTGCCAATACTTTGCAGATCATGAAATATGAATTTTTGAAAAGAAACGGAGATGTATGATGTTGAGACAATAACAGACGATAATATTTTGTTGTAGACAAAGAGAGACAATATGGCAACATTAAAACCAACAATAATGATTCTAGAATGGTGAGTCAAAAGTGAGTGACTAATGTGGTTCACTAATGGAAGTAAACAGCATCTATACAATCGTAACCAATTCAAATCTCAGGTACTTCAACACAGTCAGAAGTGACAATAATTCACCTTACTGTTTGATAGATATTGAGAATTCAGATTCCACAGAGATCTTCGTTGCTTCTACATATACGTTTCAGTCCCAAGTTTAATATGTACAATTGCAACAACCTTGCAAAGTCAAAATCCAAGATGGCCACCTGTCGGCCACTTTTTTTTCTGATCAGTCCCAAAGTAAAATGGGCACAACTAGAAATCAAGGGAAACCTAAATTGCTTACGGAAGGATGGACAGATGACGGACAACAGACGTGGGGTGATTTGAATAGCCCACCATCTGTTGATGGTGGGCTGAAGAAAAATAAATGAAAACAAAAACAAAAATACCTAAGCAAACACAAAACCTAACCAAAAAATATATACATAAATAAACTCATCTGTCAAAATCAAAGGTCCACTGAAATATACATAATTAAGGATCAATTGGCACCCACAAATCAAATATGAAGATTCATTATTAATTCTTATTAATTAATTATTAATTAAGTTCAAACAATTTTTTAAATGTCAAACTCCATGATGGTTACCTGCTAGCCTTATTTTCACTATCAAAATAAAAGTGTTACATTGTACTACAGAAGGTTGGAGAGTATTACAGAATTAACTTGCTAAGTGTTACACTGTACTACAGAAGGTTGGAGAGAGAATTACATAATCAACTTGTAAAGTGTTACATTGTACTACAGAAGGTTTCACAGAATTAACTTGCTAAGTGTTACATTGTACTACAGAAGGTTGGAGAGTATTACAGAATTAACTTTCTAAGTGTTACACTGTACTACAGAAGGTTTGAGAGTATTACAGAATTAACTTTCTAAGTGTTACACTGTACTACAGAAGGTTGGAGAGTATTACAGAATTAACTTTCTAAGTGTTACATTGTACTACAGAAGGTTGGAGAGTATTACAGAATTAACTTGCTAAGTGTTACACTGTACTACATTGTACTACAGAAGGTTGAAGAGTATTACAGAATCAACTTCAAAGTGTTACATTGTACTACATAAGGTTAGAGAGAATTACATAATCAATAGTCAAAGTGTTACATTGTACTACAGAAGGTTTGACAGTATTACAGAATTAACTTTCTAAGTGTTACACTGTACTACAGAAGGTTTGACAGTATTACAGAATTAACTTTCTAAGTGTTACATTGTACTACAGAAGGTTTCAGAGTATTACAGAATTAACTTGCTAAGTGTTACATTGTACTACAGAAGGTTGGAGAGTATTACAGAATTAACTTGCTAAGTGTTACATTGTACTACAGAAGGATTACAGTTAACTTGGTGTTACATTGTACTACAGAAAGTATTACAGAATTAACTTTCTAAGTGTTACATTGTACTACAGAAGGTTTGACAGTATTACAGAATTAACTTGCTAAGTGTTACACTGTACTACAGAAGGTTGGAGAGTATTACAGAATTAACTTGCTAAGTGTTACACTGTACTACAGAAGGTTGGAGAGTATTACAGAATTAACTTGCTAAGTGTTACACTGTACTACAGAAGGTTGGAGAGTATTACAGAATTAACTTTCTAAGTGTTACATTGTACTACAGAAGGTTGGAGAGTATTACAGAATTAACTTTCTAAGTGTTACACTGTACTACAGAAGGTTTGACAGTATTACAGAATTAACTTAACTTTCTAAGTGTTACATAAAGTGTTGCTAAGTTACACTGTACTACAGAAGGTTGGAGAGTATTACAGAATGTTAACTTACTACAGAAGGTTGGAGAGTATTACTTAAGTGTTACACTGTACTACAGAAGGTTGGAGAGTATTACAGAATTAACTTGCTAAGTGTTACACTGTACTACAGAAGGTTGGAGAGTATTACAGAATTAACTTGCTAAGTGTTACACTGTACTACAGAAGGTTGGAGAGTATTACAGAATTAACTTTCTAAGTGTTACACTGTACTACAGAAGGTTGGAGAGTATTACAGAATTAACTTGCTAAGTGTTACACTGTACTACAGAAGGTTGGAGAGTATTACAGAATTTACTTGCTAAGTGTTACATTGTACTACAGAAGGTTGGAGAGTATTACAGAATTAACTTCCTAAGTGTTACACTGTACTACAGAAGGTTGGAGAGTATTACAGAATTAACTTTCTAAGTGTTACACTGTACTACAGAAGGTTGGAGAGTATTACAGAATTAACTTTCTAAGTGTTACATTGTACTACAGAAGGTTTCAAGTGTTACACTGTATTACAGAATTAACTTGTACTAAGTGTTACAGACAGAAGGTTGGAGAGTATTACAGAATTAACTTGTAAGTGTTACACTGTACTACAGAAGGTTGGACAGAATTAACTTGCTAAGTGTTACATTGTACTACAGAAGGTTGGAGAGTATTACAGAATTAACTTGCTAAGTGTTACACTGTACTACAGAAGGTTGGAGAGTATTACAGAATTAACTTTCTAAGTGTTACATTGTACTACAGTATTACTACAGAAGGTTAACTTTCTAAGTGTTACACTGTACTACAGAAGGTTTGAGAGTATTACAGAATTAACTTTCTAAGTGTTACACTGTACTACAGAAGGTTGGAGAGTATTACAGAATTAACTTTCTAAGTGTTACACTGTACTACAGAAGGTTGGAGAGTATTACAGAATTAACTTTCTAAGTGTTACACTGTACTACAGAAGGTTGGAGAGTATTACAGAATTAACTTGCTAAGTGTTACATTGTACTACAGAAGGTTGGAGAGTATTACAGAATTAACTTTCTAAGTGTTACACTGTACTACAGAAGGTTGGAGAGTATTACAGAATTAACTTGCTAAGTGTTACACTGTACTACAGAAGGTTGGAGAGTATTACAGAATTAACTTGCTAAGTGTTACACTGTACTACAGAAGGTTGAATTAACTTTCTAAGAGAGTATTTACAGAATTAACTTAACTTGCTAAGTGTTACACTGTACTACAGAAGGTTGGAGAGTATTACAGAATAAACTTTCGAAGTGTTACACTGTACTACAGAAGGTTAACTTACAGAATTAACTTGCTAAGTGTTACACTGTACTACAGAAGGTTGGAGAGTATTACAGAATTAACTTGCTAAGTGTTACACTGTACTACAGAAGGTTGGAGAGTATTACAGAATTAACTTGCTAAGTGTTACACTGTACTACAGAAGGTTGGAGAGTATTACAGAATTAACTTGCTAAGTGTTACACTGTACTACAGAAGGTTGGAGAGTATTACTTAACTTAACTTTCTAGTGTTACACTGTACTACAGAAGGTTGGAGAGTATTACAGAATTAACTTGCTAAGTGTTACACTTAACTTGCATTGTACTACAGAAGGTTGGAGAGTATTACAGAATTAACTTGCTAAGTGTTACATTGTACTACAGAAGGTTGGAGAGTATTACAGAATTAACTTGCTAAGTGTTACACTGTACTACAGAAGGTTTGACAGTATTACAGAATTAACTTTCTAAGTGTTACACTGTACTACAGAAGGTTGGAGAGTATTACAGAATTAACTTTCTAAGTGTTACACTGTACTACAGAAGGTTGGAGAGTATTACAGAATTAACTTTCTAAGTGTTACACTGTACTACAGAAGGTTTGACAGTATTACAGAATTAACTTTCTAAGTGTTACATTGTACTACAGAAGGTTGGAGAGTATTACAGAATTAACTTGCTAAGTGTTACACTGTACTACAGAAGGTTTGACAGTATTACAGAATTAACTTTCTAAGTGTTACACTGTACTACAGAAGGTTGGAGAGTATTACAGAATTAACTTGCTAAGTGTTACACTGTACTACAGAAGGTTGGAGAGTATTACAGAATTAACTTGCTAAGTGTTACACTGTACTACAGAAGGTTGGAGAGTATTACAGAATTAACTTGCTAAGTGTTACACTGTACTACAGAAGGTTGGAGAGTATTACAGAATTAACTTTCTAAGTGTTACACTGTACTACAGAAGGTTTGACAGTATTACAGAATTAACTTGCTAAGTGTTACACTGTACTACAGAAGGTTGGAGAGTATTACAGAATTAACTTGCTAAGTGTTACACTGTACTACAGAAGGTTGGAGAGTATTACAGAATTAACTTTCTAAGTGTTACACTGTACTACAGAAGGTAATTAACTTTCTAAGTGTTATTAACTTGCTAAGTGTTACACTGTACTACAGACTTGCTAAGTGTTACACTGTACTACAGAAGGTTGGAGAGTATTACAGAATTAACTTTCTAAGTGTTACACTGTACTACAGAAGGTTGGAGAGTATTACAGAATTAACTTTCTAAGTGTTACATTGTACTACAGAAGGTTGGAGAGTATTACAGATTTAACTTTCTAAATGTTACATTGTACTACAGAAGGTTGGAGAGTATTACAGAATTAACTTGCTAAGTGTTACACTGTACTACAGAAGGTTGGAGAGTATTAAGTGTTACAGAGAAGGTTAAGAATTAACTTTCTAAGTGTTACATTGTACTACAGAAGGTTGGAGAGTATTACAGAATTAACTTTCTAAGTGTTACATGTACTACAGAAGGTTAATAGACTATCATCTTGTATTAAGAATTAACTTTCTAAGTGTTACACTGTACTACAGAAGGTTTGAGAGTATTACAGAATTAACTTCTCTAAGTGTTACACTTTAGTACTACAGAAGGTTTTTGGAGAGTATTACAGAATCCAGCGATTTAAAACAATAACTGTTAAGCTTTACATATTTCTGATCATTAGGACCTAACGACAAATCTGTGACATGCGATGTTTGTGTTAGAAGTAATGGTCCATACTGTTGTATAATGATGAGGATGTTAAGGCATGAGTATGGAGCCACTGATCTACATTGTGTAGGTGATTAGTCTAGTGAAAGTACAATTTGAGACTCACCAGTATCTGTCGACCCAAATTCAGTCACTGCATCCTCATAAGCCTGTCGTAACAGCTTCATCTTGGGTTTGGCCTGAAATGAATAATTACCAGACGTGTAGAACACAACTATGTACACATGGGTATTAGGAAAAGATAGTGTGGTAAACTAGTGAGGTTTAATAACAATAATAATAATAGACATCACAATATCATAATATTTTGAAAGAAATGATTTAACATGGAAAAGTACGTTAATGATAATCAGTTTAACAAATTACGGTCATGAAGCAACAGTTCCTGTAAAAAAACATTTATTCTTAAAATATTTACAAAGAAATAATATGATGTGTGTATATGATATTGTAGATGATCATGAAACTTAATTCACTGATTGGCTTACATTCAAATTAGAATTTGAAAATAATATTAATTCTAGATAAGAGTTACCTCCCTTGCCTTAGAGTTGATTTGATTACCAAACTACTTTATAGATATATACCCTCGACTCTCAACAGTGGTCAGATTTTATTATAGAAATTTCATGGTTTGTACAGAGTTGGAGACATCAAATCTCCAAACTTTTCCAGGTCTTTTGACAATTCTCATTTCAAAATTCAACAACTTTTCCCAGATGATCAAAAGCATTCTTGTTCAGTTAAAGTGTTGGAATTATCAATTTTCATAATAACGTTTGTATTTCTACTTAATTAATCATTATATATTTATGATTATAAGATGCACATAATAACTGTAACAAGAGGACCAAGAGCCTTAATGGTCATCTGCTTGACAATGCTTCTTATAACTTGTCACAGAAATGATTTTGTCAAAAAAGCTCATATAACTGCAAATGTAAATTGTGTATACATTAACTGCTGTTCTAAGCTAAGACTTCTAACCAAGTTTGCATTAAAAGAAATTACATCCAAGTTTGGAATTTTCAATAAAAAATATTCCAACCAGAAACAGTAGAACATCATTGAAATTTCAGTAAGCTGGACCCTTTTTTGGCCCTTCCCATCGGCCCTTGGGGGTTAGTCATGTGCATCTCAACAAACTGTCAGCTGATACTATTAAAAAAACCAAACCGTGATTTTCCTATATATAATACAGTAAGTTATACCCCCTCCCAAGGGTAAATGTGAGACCCTGCGGTCATGAAATTTACAATTTCTATAAAGCACCGTAAGAAACTTCCATCCATGAAGAGTTCTACATCATCTTGGTATTTTAGAAGAAGATTTTTGAAATATCTGTCAATTTCACCTATTTTTAGCTCTGCCCAACAGCCCCTGGGGGTCATCCAAGGTCAATAGGTGTATCTCATTAAACTGTCATCTGAAAGTAATTATTCTTACCAGGTCTGAACTATTTCCAATAGAAAATAAACAAATAATTTTGATAAATGAAATTTTCCTAAATAAACAATAGTAAAACTCAACCCTAGGGGAAAAGCGAGACCCTAGGGTCATGAAATTTACAATTTTGGTTAGGCATCTGAAGGTCTTTTCATCCATAAGAATACTTGATTCTATCAAACCTTCGATTTGAGAAGATTTTTAAAATTCCAGTCAATCTTTCCAATTTTTGGCCCTGCCGCAAAGCTCCTACGGGTCAGCTGAGGTCAATGTGTCCACATCAAACTGTCATCTTAAACCAATAATTTTAATCAGGTTTGAACTATTTCCAATAAAAATAAACAAATGATGTTCAAAATTGTTGTTTTCCAAATATAGTAAAATTTATTTGAGAAGATTTCTGAAGTTTCAATCAATTTGACCCTTTAAGGCCATGCCCCTCAGGCCCCTAGGGGTTAGGGACCTTAAAATTTTATAATTTTGGTGCACATTTAGCCCTGGAAGGTTTTTGTAAAATTTCATTGAAATCAGTTCAAAAGCTTTCCAGAGGAAGTCAGAAATGTTAAATTACTTAGGAATATTTGGTATCCCCATGGATAGGAATATTTTGTATCCCCATGGATAGGAATATTTGGTATCCCCATGGATAGGAATATTTTGTATCCCCATGGATAGGAATATTTTGTATCGGAATATTTGGTATCCCCATGGATAGGAATATTTTGTATCCCCATGGATAGGAATATTTTGTATCCCCATGGATAGGAATATTTGGTATCCCCATGGATAGGAATATTTTGTATCCCCATGGATAGGAATATTTTGTATCCCCATGGATAGGAATATTTTGTATCCCCATGGATAGGAATATTTTGTATCCCCATGGATAGGAATATTTGGTATGTAAATGGTTAGGAATATTTGGTTTGTAAATAGATAGGAATATTTGGTATGTAAATAGATAGGAATATTTGGTATGTAAATAGTTAGGAATATTTGGTATGTAAATAGTTAAGAATATTTGGTATGTAAATAGTTAGGAATATTTGGTATGTAAATAGTAAGGAACATTTGGCATGTAAATAGTTAGGAATATTTGGTATTTAAATAGATAGGAATATTTGGTATGTAATTGGTTAAGAATATTTGGTATGTAAATGGTTAGGAATATTTGGTATGTAAATAGTTAGGAATATTTGGTATGTAAATAGTTAGGAATATTTGGTATGTAAATAGTAAGGAACATTTGGCATGTAAATAGTTAGGAATATTTGGTATTTAAATAGATAGGAATATTTGGTATGTAATTGGTTAAGAATATTTGGTATGTAAATGGTCTGGAATATTTGGTATGTAAATAGTTAGGAATATTTGGTATGTAAATAGTTAGGAATATTTGGTATGTAAATAGTAAGGAACATTTGGCATGTAAATAGTTAGGAATATTTGGTATTTAAATAGATAGGAATATTTGGTATGTAATTGGTTAAGAATATTTGGTATGTAAATGGTCTGGAATATTTGGTAAGTAAATAGTTAGGAATATTTGGTAAGTAAATAGTTAGGAATATTTGGTATGTAAATGGTTAGGAATATTTGGTAAGTAAATAGTTAGGAATATTTGGTATGTAAATAGATAGGAATATTTGGTGTGTAACTAGTTAAGAATATTTGGTAAGTAAATGGTCTGGAATATTTGGTATGTAAATAGTTAGGAATATTTGGTATGTAAATGGTTAGGAATATTTGGTATGTAAATAGATAGGAATATTTGGTATGTAATTGGTTAAGAATATTTGGTATGTAAATGGTCTGGAATATTTGGTATGTAAATAGTTAGGAATATTTGGTATGTAAATAGTTAGGAATATTTGGTATGTAAATAGTAAGGAACATTTGGCATGTAAATAGTTAGGAATATTTGGTATTTAAATAGATAGGAATATTTGGTATGTAATTGGTTAAGAATATTTGGCATGTAAATAGTTAGGAATATTTGGTATTTAAATAGATAGGAATATTTGGTATGTAATTGGTTAAGAATATTTGGTATGTAAATGGTCTGGAATATTTGGTATGTAAATAGTTAGGAATATTTGGTATGTAAATAGTTCGGAATATTTGGTATTTAAATAGATAGGAATATTTGGTATGTAATTGGTTAAGAATATTTGGTATGTAAATGGTCTGGAATATTTAGTATGTAAATAGTTAGGAATATTTGGTATGTAAATAGTTAGGAATATTTGGTATTTAAATAGATAGGAATATTTGGTATGTAATTGGTTAAGAATATTTTGTATGTAAATGGTCTGGAATATTCGGTATGTAAATAGTAAGGAATATTTGGTATGTAAATGGTTAGGAATATTTGGTATGTAATTGGTTAAGAATATTTGGTATGTAAATAGTTAGGAATATTTGGTATGTAATTAGTTAGGAATATTTGGTATTTAAATAGATAGGAATATTTGGTATGTAATTGGTTAAGAATATTTGGTATGTAAATAGTTAGGAATATTTGGTATGTAAATGGTTAGGAATATTTGGTATGAATGGTCTGGAATATTTGGTATGTAAATAGTTAGGAATATTTGGTATCTAAATGGTCTGGAATATTTGGTAAGTAAATGGTTAGGAATATTTGGTATGTAAATGGTCTGGAATATTTGGTATGTAAATAGTAAGGAATATTTGGTATGTAAATGGTGTGGAATATTTGTTATGTAAATGGTCTGGAATATTTGGTATGTAAATTATTTAGGAATATTTGGCATGCAAATAGTTAAGAATATTTGGTATGTAATTGGTTAAGAATATTTAGTATGTAAATAGTTAGGAATATTTGGTATGTAAATAGTTAGGAATATTTGGTATGAATGGTCTGGAATATTTGGTATGTAATTGGTCTGGAATATTTGGTATGTAAATTATTTAGGAATATTTGGTATGTAAATAGTTAAGAATATTTGGTATGTAATTGGTTAAGAATATTTAGTATGTAAATGGTCTGGAATATTTGGTAAGTAAATGGTTAGGAATATTTGGGTAAATGGTCTGGAATATTTGGGATGTAAATAGTAAGGAACATTTGGCATGTAAATAGTTAAGAATATTTGGTATGTAATTGGTTAAGAATATTTGGTATGTAAATGGTCTGGAATATTTGGTATGTAAATAGTTAGGAATATTTGGTATGTAAATAGTTAGGAATATTTGGTATGTAAATGGTTAGGAATATTTGGTATGTAAATGGTTAGGAATATTTGGTATGTAAATAGTTAGGAATATTTGGTATGTAAATGGTTAGGAATATTTGGTATGTAAATAGTTAGGAATATTTGGTATGTAAATAGTTAGGAATATTTGGTATCTAAATGGTCTGGAATATTTGGTAAGTAATTGGTTAAGAATATTTGGTATGTAAATGGTCTGGAATATTTGGTATGTAAATAGTTAGGAATATTTGGTATGTAAATGGTTAGGAATATTTGGTATGTAAATAGTTAGGAATATTTGGTATGTAAATAGTTAGGAATATTTGGTATGTAAATAGATAGGAATATTTGGCATGTTAAATGTTTAGAAATATATGTTAGTTGTATTTTGTAAGTTGGTATGAGCTGACAATTGTAATCACAGTTTACTACAAAGCATGCCTAAGTAGACTAAAATTTCCGATGTTTTAGTTATAAATTTCATATCTTATTTGATATTGGGATGTTTTAGTGAACAAATACGGTAAATACATTGACACACTGATTTGTGAAAAATTGTTTCCATTTGACTTAATTAACTGTGACCTTGGCCACCCTCCTGTCCTCGGCGGAACATTCCTCTCCTGAAGCTGAACATTCCTCTCCTGAAGCTGCACGTGAGCATCAATAATTGAATACTTTCAATAAAATAAATCACCATCTAGGTGAATATACTTTATATCAACCAGTGTTATGTCTCCACACTGACCTCTTAGAGGACAATCCTGTCCCCACACTGACCTCTTAGAGGACAAGTCCTGTCCCCACACTGACCTCTTAGAGGACAAGTCTTCTCCCCACACTGACCTCTTAGAGGACAAGTCCTGTCCCCACACTGACCTCTTAGAGGACAAGTCCTGTCCCCACACTGACCTCTTAGAGGACAAGTCCTGTCCCCACACTGACCTCCTAGAGGACAAATCCTGTCCCCACACTGACCTGTCCCAACACTGACTTTCACAACAGAACAATAATTTCATGTCATTTGTATTAATGTCTAGTGAAACAAAATTATATTATAGAAGAATAAAAAGTTATTCACAAAAATAATTCATAGAGAGATTATGGAGTTGATAAATATTTGAATTCCTCCATCGCCTGTAAATTACGATGAATACTGATTCACTAACTACCCAGAGAGGCTACTTTCAGTGATATACTTAAACAGGATCAGATTACCTATTAATGAAAAAACTCCCGATATAATGATAATGTTGTAGATTTTTTTAGACCATCCAGTCACATCTTAATCATCTCCTAATAGCTTGTCATGATTTTAATAATGTATTACAAACAACCTTTTCATAGCCTTGAACAATCTCCAAAGAACTATTTTCTACAACATCATTGATTTTCAAAAAGCTTTCCATAAAACCTAGGGTATTAGGCACACTTAGAGCTTTCACAGTAATTACCAGCCTCATCAGCAGTAATATACCGCTGACAGTTTCTTTTGTTTACAGGCTGTGATGCTACCAGTCATTAACCACATATTTCAGGCCTTTCTATACACTAACAGCAAATTTTAATCTATTTTAAATCTCCAATCAGGTTATCACACAAAGCCAGTTTGGAAGACTCCAGGACAAAGTATACATGTTTATTGACACCTGTGGTCATCTCGAGTGACCACCGGTCCCTGGACCACACCCAACAGCGACATCACAAACCTTCTAACATTACAAATTTAATGCTCCTACTGAGTCATTAATCCATGCGATTAACCATGTCCATTACCGAAACTATTCACAAAGCCAAATAACTTCATTGTGGCTTTGGACCAAGAAAATTAATTTTGATAATGTAATTATTAATCATGTGATGTATATCATTGACATGCATCTGTCATACTGGTCTATTGGGTAGAGATGAATGGAGGGACTCGAATGACCATGAAACAGATAACATTCTAAGTACATGAGCAGTAGGAGATGGGGAGATTATATTGAAGGTGATTGATGGCCATATAATATTACTGTACAACAATAACTATAAATACTCCAACCACGAGTTCATTCTACCCAGAACTGTACCACTCCAACCACGAGTTCATTCTACCCAGAACTGTACCACTTCAACCACGAGTTCATTCTACCCAGAACTGTACCACTCCAATGACAGGTCCATCCTACCCAGAACTGTACCACTCCAATGACAGGTCCATCCTACCCAGAACTGTACCACTCCAATGACAAGTCCATCCAACCCAGAACTGTACCACTCCAATGACAGGTCCATCCTACCCAGAACTGAACAACTCCAATGACAGGTCCATCCTACCCAGAACTGTACCACTCCAATGACAGGTCCATCCTACCTAAAAATTTACCATTCCAATGACAGGACCATTAGGGACCATCAAGAACCATCGGAACAGGTCAACTGCAACAGTCACACCAGAAGTCCGCTGGACCCGTTACAGTCATACCACAAGAGGTCCACTGGATTTGTAACAGTCACAAAACACCTCAAGAGGTCCACGAGACCTGTTACACTCACAGACCAATACAAGAAGTCTATTTAACATGTGAATGTCATGGAACATCACACCTGTTAGAATAACAGAACATGACACAAAAGGTCCATTGGACCATGGCCAACAAAAGTCATTGGCCATCAAAATAACATCATGAGGCCTATTACAGCCACTGACCATCACAATAGGTCCATTAGACATGTTACAGCCACTGTCCATCACAATAGGTCCATAAGACCTGTTCCCGCCACTGTCCATCACAATAGGTCCATTACACCTGTTACAGCCACTGTCCATCACAATAGGTCCATAAGACCTGTTCCCGCCACTGTCCATCACAATAGGTCCATTAGACCTGTTCCTGCCACTGTCCATCACAATAGGTCCATTACACCTGTTACAGCCACTGTCCATCACAATAGGTCCATTAGACCTGTTACAGCCACTGACCATCACAATAGGTCCATTAGACCTGTTCCCGCCACTGTCCATCACAATAGGTCCATTAGACCTGTTACAGCCACTGACCATCACAATAGGTCCATTAGACCTGTTCCCGCCACTGTCCATCACAATAGGTCCATTAGACCTGTTACAGCCACTGACCATCACAATAGGTCCATTACACCTGTTACAGCCACTGTCCATCACAATAGGTCCATTAGACCTGTTACAGCCACTGACCATCACAATAGGTCCATTAGACCTGTTCCCGCCACTGTCCATCACAATAGGTCCATTAGACCTGTTACAGCCACTGACCATCACAATAGGTCCATTAGACCTGTTCCCGCCACTGTCCATCACAATAGGTCCATTAGACCTGTTACAGTCACTGTCCATCACAATAGGTCCATTAGACCTGTTCCCGCCACTGTCCATCACAATAGGTCCATTAGACCTGTTACAGTCACTGTCCATCACAATAGGTCCATTAGACCTGTTCCCGCCACTGTCCATCACAATAGGTCCATTAGACCTGTTACAGTCACTGTCCATCACAATAGGTCCATTAGACCTGTTACAGTCACTGTCCATCACAATAGGTCCATTACACCTGTTCCCGCCACTGTCCATCACAATAGGTCCATTAGACCTGTTACAGTCACTGTCCATCACAATAGGTCCATTAGACCTGTTACAGCCACTGACCATCACAATAGGTCCATTAGACCTGTTACAGTCACTGTCCATCACAATAGGTCCATTAGACCTGTTACAGCCACTGACCATCACAATAGGTCCATTAGACCTGTTACAGTCACTGTCCATCACAATAGGTCCATTAGACCTGTTACAGTCACTGTCCATCACAATAGGTCCATTAGACCTGTTACAGCCACTGACCATCACAATAGGTCCATTAGACCTGTTACAGTCACTGTCCATCACAATAGGTCCATTAGACCTGTTACAGTCACTGACCATCAGAAGAGGTTCAACAGACCACAAAAGTCACTGACCATCAGATGAGACCAGGTCCATTGGACCTGTAATAATCACAGATCATAACAAGAGATCTACAGGAACAGGCCTAATAGTCCTGCTACAGCTTTGTATTGTATAAACAAATCATGTTAAACAAACCTGTCACTGACAGTTACTGCTTATTCATTAATTTTGGTATAAATATCATTTGATACATTCTAACTTTTCTTCAGAAGATTTTCCATTCCTAGCTGTCTTTACTGAAGTGAGAGCATATGGGATTCATTTGATGCTTACCTGGGACATTTCCATCTTAATATATTCCTGAATGAGCTGTAAGGGTACAAGCCCAGCCTGCATAAACCTGAAACAATACAAAAGTCTCATTGTTACAAGGACTTTTACCCTTTTAATATAAATACACCAAAGTAAAGTACCTTTCAGGACATAGGGGTAATTAAACATCACACCATGAATTATCCATGGAAGGCCTCCATGCATGTGAGACAGACTATTCTCTATTTGCCTGACAAGCTCCCATCAGCTTGCCAATTCTCAACCGACTGAAAGTAAAAAAATCAATTTACAAACAGCTCCCATGATCATTAATAGATTTTTAGGTGAAAATATAACATTTTTCAGCCTAATTTATTCCAAGGTCACGGGCCTGCTGACATCACAATAAGTTGTAATATTACTTAGGTAATGTCTGCTCCTGCTATACCCTATCAATGAGATGCACACAGAGGACTTATGGCTGGGAAAGCAACACACTTCTGACATAAACTGCATATCACCTTGACAAAATGAATGGCATATCAAAATATCAGCTTAATTTCTTACAGTTGATTTGCCCAATCCGACAAGTTAAGCTGCCTGCTGATCTGTACACAGGCAATCACTGTTTTCTCAATGGTGTGAGAAATGAAATCTGGAGCAGGGACAATGGTTGTATCGAGTGGGCTTATGGTGGGACTAAGGCTTGATGACACTGGTCTGCTACATGTAATCTCAGAAAATCTTATGCACACACATCACCTTTACCACATTTTTCATGATTATGAAAAAGTGTCCAAGGACATGACAGATTGCTGATGATATCAATTCACACTTGAATTACACACATTTGTGCATTTTCAAGATCCTAATTAAATTTCTGAATTTCAATTTGAAAATTGAAGTCAAGGTGAAACAGGAGATTGAATGTCAGGGCTCAGAAGATGTGAAACCGATTGATCCAACAACATTAGAAAGAGAAATATGATTGAGTAGTGATATTACCTTTTATAGAGATCCCGAGTTTGGCTGATACCTGCAGACATGTAAGTCCACTGTAAGTAAAGCACCTTCACAGGTCCTGATACTGTCCGATGGCTATTAACACCTTTCTGAAAAAGTTATACCCAATAAAATATACTACTGAGTACATTTTTGTAAAATGTACTTTAGAAAATACATTACATTGAGTAGGATTCTACTGTATATCTCAACACCTTATCATACTCCATAATACACCAAATTTGTAATCTGCAATAGTATTGATAATTCCTTATAAAAAGAATGATATTTTTCTGTCTGTTATTACCATCATAATTATGTCCCCTGATCTTTCCTTTCATCTTAAATGAAGTTATCATTGACAACTCACCTCAAATAATGTGTTGGTTGAATCTGATTAACAACTCACCTCAAATAATGTTTTGGTTGAATCTGATTAACAACTCACCTCAAATAATGTGTTGGTTAAATCTGATTTGTTGGCGATACAGTAGTCCAGAACCAACTGCCACAGGGGAAGACTCTTCTGTAATGGAATAGGAAAAGATATAACAAGACATCAGGTAACAGTAATAGGAGTAGTAGGAACAGTACTATTAACCAAAACATTGCAGAATAACTTACAGTTAATGTAAAATACATTTTTTAGTTTCTAAGTATGAATTTTCCACAAAATTTCAGGTGTTGTTCAGGCATCATGGTTGCCTTACTGAACTTTCCATAAGGCTGAAAACTAACACTTTATCAACTTCCTTTCATCAACATCCCCACCAATTTTCAGTTCAGTAGCACCAGTGGAACTTGAAAAGAGTTTTAATATGTGATTTACAAGATGGCTGTCATGACAGCCATATTTAATTAAAAAAAAATAACATCATACCAGGACCATCTCATGATCCTATTTCAGACAATTTTTTTGAAGAAGAAACACAATGGCTATATGTAATCCTGACCCTTTGATTCAGACGACCTTATTAGGAATTAACTTTCAAGCCCTTAAGGACCAGATATTTGACTTCAACTTTCTAAAGAATTTATTGGCAAGGACTGGTTGGCCTTTTGGTCACTTTAACATGAATTGTGAGATGTCATACTGTCCTGTTCTGGTTGTGACATTTCAGTGTGACAACAATATAGTTAACTCCCCCGCTCCGATTAGCTTCACTATCTGTGGACACTTCAAGCCTTCAAATGACGTCAGCTGTTGTAAGGATGTGTACCACAAACAATAAGACTATATTTGGTTTCGTTTTAAGTGAATATACACAAGACATGCTATACTAAGAAATACAGATAATATTTTTTCAAATTGTTTTCAATTATTCCATGTGGAGTAGAGCCAAGAAAATATAATCACATTTCTTCACTTAGATATATAAAAATATATCCTTTATGCAATTCTCAGTTTAGGCCTTAAAATGGAACAGCTCCCCAGAGACTGCAGCAGAAAGAGATTCTTTGGAATAAACCAAATCTCACAAATCTCTAGATAATAATTTTTTGGGTAAAATGAAAATACATTGTTTAACTGCATAACATCTAATCAAAGTTCCAGTGAAATACAAATAGAGCCATACATTTCTGACAGATTTTAGCTTTTAATTTTGTTATTAGAATGAAAATGTAGTACAGAAATAGCACAATGAGAACGCCTCAACAGATTTTTATAATTCTTAGTGGAATAAATACCCTGTTACCTTTTTATAGTGACTAATTTTCTTGAGCAACTATACTCAGATAAGATCTTGTACATTTTTAGAGTAACTTATTTTCTAGAGCGACTATGCTGTGATAATCACTTCGTCCCTTTTTATGTTGACTTACGGTACTTTTTATATTGACTTACGGTACTTTTTATATTGACTTACGGTACTTTTTATATTGACTTACGGTACTTTTTATATTGACTTACGGTACTTTTTATATTGACTTACGGTACTTTTTGACCCTTTTTAAAGCGACCATCGTTCAGATTGACCATGTTTTAATAAACTCCATTTTGCAAAGATTTGTCAGCAAGGTTTATTTACCTCAATTATCTTATAACCTGGTATAGGTTATATCTCCCCCAAATATCTTATAACCTGATATAGGTTTATCTACCTCAAATATCTTATAACCTGGTATAGGTCATATCTACCTCAATTATCTTATAACCTGGTATAGGTTTATCTACCTCAAATATCTTATAACCTGGTATAGGTTATATCTACCTCAAATATCTTATAACCTAGTATAGGTTTATCTACCTCAAATATCTTATAACCTAGTATAGGTTTATCTACCTCAAATATCTTATAACCTGGTATAGGTCATATCTACCTCAAATATCTTATAACCTAGTATAGGTTTATCTACCTCAAATATCTTATAACCTGGTATAGGTTTATCTAACTCAAATATCTTATAACCTGGTATAGTTCATATCTACCTCAAATATCTTATAACCTAGTATAGGTTTATCTACCTCAAATATCTTATAACCTGGTATAGGTCATATCTACCTCAAATATCTTATAACCTGGTATAGGTTTATCTACCTCAATTATCTTATAACCTAGTATAGGTTTATCTACCTCAATTATCTTATAACCTAGTATAGGTTTATCTACCTCAAATATCTTATAACCTGGTATAGGTTTATCTAACTCAAATATCTTATAACCTGGTATAGGTCATATCTACCTGAAATATCTTATAACCTGGTATAGGTTTATCTACCTCAAATATCTTATAACCTGGTATAGGTTTATCTACCTCAAATATCTTATAACCTAGTATAGGTTTATCTAACTCAAATATCTTATAACATGGTATAGGAGTACAAGTTCCACACACAGATGTTGAATGAAGCAATAGTACATATTTCATACACAGATGTTCAGTGAAGGAATAGTACAAGCTTCACACACAGATTTTACATGAAGTAACAGGCACTTTTACACAGATCTTACTCAACAGAAACCAAGTTTTTTTTTCATTCAATTCATTGTGACAGGACAACCATAGCACTAATAAATCTCCCTGGATACCAATATCACACTACTAAATCTCCCTGGATACCAATATAGCACTTCTTAATCGTCTTGGATACAGAAGTTGATTTGTCAACAATGTTTTATATTTGTACTTAAGTCATTAACGAGTAGGAATCTCATCTAACATCGCATCAAATCACACTCTGGGGACTACAACACATTCTTGTGTGCAAATGACAGGTTAACTGATGTTTAACTGTTTAACTGTTAAAGTGTGTTTCAGAACAAACTTTTTTTTATTGAGAATAATGACTATTTCCTTTGTTTATAGAAAACTGGTACAGTGATGTAAGCTTGCTTGATCAGATTTGGTAGTTTTCATTCAGGAATATAGACTTGAGATGACCTAAACTTTGCCACAGGTGTTAAACAAAGTGTAGTCAAATTGACTACAGTCCATTCTTACCATCTTGTGTATTTTTTGACCAAAAATATGTTTATCGTCTCGTCACACTATTTTCCACCTTAGTGTACTGAGGATTATAATACAACTGAATGAGTATGTACTACAGTGAGAGTACGCTCCACACTGGTCATTTGTCTGATGAGTGTGACTGTGTAGTCATCAAAACATCACACTCTAATCTACAGTGGTCATTTGTCTGATGAAGGTGACTGTGTAGTCATCGAAACGTCACACTCTAATCTACAGTGGTCATTTGTCTGATGAAGGTGACTGTGTAGTCATCGTAACGTCACACTCTAATCTACAGTGGTCATTTGTCTGATGAAGGTGACTGTGTAGTCATCGAAACGTCACACTCTAATCTACACTGGTCATTTGTCTGATGAAGGTGACTGTGTAGTCATCGAAACGTCACACTCTAATCTACAGTGGTCATTTGTCTGATGAAGGTGACTGTGTAGTCATCGAAACATCACACTCTAATCTACACTGGTCATTTGTCTGATGAAGGTGACTGTGTAGTCATCGAAACATCACACTCTGCTCTCCTGCTGCTTTTATTATATTTGTTCACCAACCAGAAGAAAATGTTCGGAAATATGTTTTAAACTATATCAACAGTCAACTATAGGCCAATCCCAAGTAACTACAACTTCAGACCAAATACTGAAAAACATAAAAGCTTTTTGTTGGTAAAATTTGACACTGATGTAAAATAATGGACATTTTAAAGCCATCCTTATGTTACCTCAGCTCACAAAAATATAAATTGTTCCTCTGAATATCTAAAAAAATGTGTATAAAGGTAACGACAAATTACAGAGAGATATACACTCAGTATTCAAGGTGACCTTGGAACATGACAGATCCTCTTATGGGAACAACAAATCTCATTCATCATAATCATACTTTCTAAAACTCAAATTCATCTATTAAGCTTGTACAAATCTGACCTTGAAATGAATTGAACATGTCAGCTTGGATGTATCTTATATTGACTTGAAAAACATCGCTGAACTGATCAATGGGCCGACTTGATATCTGCAGCCGAAGATTGCACAAAAACCGAATAAATAGCACATTTAAATAGAAATTTTTCAATAAAACTACACAATACAGCTGTTTTCGGAACAGATTGAAAATGTACCATGTGTCAAACCTGTGTCCTTGTCCTTTGCAAGGTGCACGCACATAAGAGCAAAAATATGACATTGTTTTCAGAATCCTTTCAGAATTGAAGAGTGACTGCAATGAGCTATACAAAAGACATGAGTAAATCTATATGTTTACCTTTCTTAACAAAATTGTGTACATATAAAATTGAATAAGTTCAACAGAAAATACACCTGTAGATTTTTTGTTTTAAAGGTTAGCAAGCTTGTCTATAAATATCATTCTTAGTTCTCAAAATATTGAACACTCTTAAGGTTGGGAACACTAAAATACACGAGTATCAGTGAAACTGATGAATGCTCCCTAGGAACAACTCTACTGGGCAAAAGTTTTAGGTAAAACGCAATAATTCTGTAAAAAAAAAAAAAAAAAACAGATTTCAAGCACTTTATTTGGTATACTGTACATCCTCTTAGAAAGACAATTGTATACACCAAGTTTCATTATTCTATCTTACTTAAATACAAACGAAGTTATGTTTTGGACATAAAAGGTTAAACAAAGGGCAATAACTCTGTAATTAATGGGTTACAGGCCCTCAATATGGTACATTGTACATCATTTTAGTATGACCAATGTTTACGCTAAGTTTCATTATCCTAATGTAAATGCAAGCCAAATTGCAATAACACTGCAAATGAGAGCTTGTGGGCCCTGAATTTAGTACACTACACATTGTCTTAGTATGACTAATGTATGACTGTGGGCAAAGCTATGCTTCAGAAACGAAAGGATGGGTGGAAAGACGTACGAACAGGCAGACAAAGTGGTGACTATTATTAACATGTCATATGACTTAGTATAGATCATTAACATGTCATATGACTTAGTATAGATCATTAACATGTCATATGATTTAATAAAGATCACTAACATGTCATATGATTTAGTATATACTAAACAAAAAAA